TATTGCTTTTTCTGTTGTGTGTTGCTTTTGGTAGAGGTTCAAGAACCTGTTATTAAAAATAAACCGCGAGTGATCTCCCCTAAACTTTCTCGAATATTCTTATATAAAATAACAGGGGATGGGAACTCGGGCTATAGACATGATTTTTAATCCATTTTAAATACTTAAAGTTTTAAAAATAGAATAAAATCTCGTAGACAAATTAATTGCACACCAAGTGAACGCCAAATAAAAAAGCGCATAATAGTGCGCAATATTATTAGTACTTCTAAAATTTACATTAGTTTTTTGAGAAATCGAAAGTAGCGTAAATTACTACTTCCAGTCAACGGAAATTACTCAAAATTTAACAGAAGGTAGAGAATTAGATCTTTTACTTACATGTGAAATTTCATGTATCTATCTGAAATAGTACTCAAGTTATAGGCTTTTGAAAAATTCAAAGTAGGAAAAGTACCACTTCCGGTTATCGAAAATCGCTCAAAAGTTGATACGGATCTACGATTTTGATAAAATACTTATATATGAAATTTCATCAACCTAGCTGTAACGGTACTCAAGTTATCGTGTTTACACACGGACACACACACACACAGACACACAGACATACGGACAGAATTGCAAAGCCCAGTTTTTCAGACTGGAATACGCATAAAACCTTTTAATTTTGATAAATCTGGATTGATAATTTTTGCCCGATTAAAATAAGTCCTCTATACTTCGGATGTGATGAAGGACTGAGGTGTAATACGGTGAAAATAGTTAAAATTTCAAGTGATTTTTGTGCACGATTACAATACTTTCTCTATACTTCGTATATACGAGAAAGTAATAATACACTTTTTTTATAGATATACATCTAATTCATTTTAATTTTACTTATTTTTATTCACACTTTAACTTTAAATTTTTCTAAATAAAACTTTTTAAAAATGTGTGTTTACAAGCTAAAAGTGTGGCAGACGTAACTAAAATATTGCTTTAGGTCTGGTGTACGCATTACGGCATTTACGGTCCCTCCTCAACCAGTACAGCTACAGCTTCCATTATTAGTCGTCTGTTGTACTGTTATTTATGTATGGGCTTTTCTTTTACACAATATGCTGGGTTTTTTTTAATTAAAAAAATTAAATTAAAAATTGTAATTTATGTTTGAATATATCCTTACAGATAACTGCGAGATTACTAGATATTCGATTACTGGGTACGGCCATCGGAAAAATACTTGTCAGTTTGTTTGGGCCGTATGCCACGTGACTATATCCACATATGCTGGCAGACGAGTCCACTGATCCACGGATGAGACGTGCCAGTTTCCAGGACCGCCTACCACCCGAGACACGTGACCTTCGGGTATGACAGCCATTGACTGCTGACGTCACGGGGTCGTAGATAGGGCGGAAATGTGGAGCGGGTACCGGGTTAAAGAACGGGTTGACGCGCAGAAGAGGGTGTTGGGGGGGGGGGGGGGGGGCAGGGGCGCCTATAGCATAGGCACGGTCTGGGTAAACTGAGAGCTCCGGGGGTGTCTAGCTAGCAATAAAAGGATAGGGGCGCCTACAGAATTCGTACTTATATTGTACATACATACACATACACATACACATACACATACACATACACATACACATACACATACACATACACATACACATACACATACACATACAGCTTGACACCGCTTAACATCTTCCATAGCCAATCGATTTAACTGTCTTTTGTTTAAAGTTTAAGGTTATTATATAAACGTGACACGGAATTTGTTGTGAAATTTTAAAACTCTTCACTCTCTCTCTCTCTCTCTCTCTCTCTCTCTCTCTCTCTCTCTCGTAATTTTATTCCCCCCCCCCCCCCCCCCAAGTTAAGACCGTAATTAGTGCACCCTACATGCCTACAGTTTCAAAAAAAAAATTATTTTACTCTCGGTTAAAGCTTTAAATCATATCGTTGCCGAGATTATCAATTACATATCAAGTTTATGACTGTTGTTATGTTAGGGTAAGGATGTGTGTCAGTCTATGCTAGGATTTGTTTAAGTGTTAGATTGATACGTGTGTTCTAATTCCGTAAGTCTATGGAGGAAATCTTTCGTTATTTTTTCTACTGAAAGCCAAGATAAAAAACCAAACAACAAAAGTCATTTTAGAAATCTTTTTTCATTAACTATAGGTCGACATGGTCAAACGTTAGGGCATTCGCCTACTATCCCAAAGGTCTTGAGTTTGGGTCTCGGTCCGGACTCGGGACTGTAGTATGCCCCTGAGTCCACCCAGCTTTGATGGGTACCTGACTAACGTTGGGGAAAGTAAAAAGCGGCTGGGCTTAGAGCTTACCACACCATTCCTTCGTATACCGAAGTCAAGAAACTATGAATTTTAGGTTTGAAAGTGGCGCTTTTATAAATGTTATTTCATTAACAGACAACAATTCCATTCTTGTATTTAGTGTTGGGGTAGTCGCTGTGATAATGTTATCAGTCGAACAAACACGCCGTCCCCCGACTATCAGCCTGACCTACACGTACCAAACAGCAGATATTCGCGGCTGTGTGTGTTTGCATTTTGGACTGGACATTCAATGTCAAGGTGATTGCGTCAAAGCTGACCTTATGACCCCCACGTCAAATGGGTGTGTCCTAATATGTCAAGATTAAACAAGAATAAGGAAACGGGGAGGATGTCCCAAATTAAGGTCAAGCTTTTTTTTTTTTTGGTAACCTTGGGTCATAACTCTTTCTTCGTTACTTAAATTATTATGGCTCGAACTAGATGTAGTGCTTGTTGATGGTGTTAATTATGTTCATGTTGCTGTTCATATTTTTATTGTTGTTGCTATTGTTAAAACTTGCAAGTTGTATATGACCAGATGGGTAGAGCCCTATCTCCACATTACATAATTACATCAGGGTTATACGATTGGCTATGAGCGAACATTTAGATCCTAAGGTAAAACATAACCAGCCGTGTTATTACAATCACGTACACACACAGTGGCGTAGCTAGGTGAGGATGGGTGGGGCAGCCGCCCCCTTTGGAGCGCAAAATCGGATAGAAAAAAATATAGAAAGCTCATTTTGAGCTACTTTTCTCAACTAGACAAAGTCGAAGTTGAGGAAAATAAACCGGGAATGATCTCCCCTAAACTTTCTCGAATAGTCTAATATAACACTACGGGGGATGGCAACTCGGAACAATATTTATAATCCATTATTAATTACTTAAACTTTTTAATAATACAATAGAATCTCGTAAAAAAAAAATTGCAAACCAAGTGAACGCCAGATAAAATATGCATAATAGTGCGGGATATTATTAGTACTTTATAAATTCACATGAGTTTTTTTTTTTTTTTTTTTGAGAAATCGGAAATAGCGTAAATTACTACTTCCGGTCGACGGAAATTACTCAAAATTTGAAAGAAGGCAGAGAATTAGAACTTTTACTTACATGTGAAATTTCATTTATCTATCTGAAATAGTACTCAAGTTACAGGCTTTTGAGAAATTCAAAGTAGAAAAAGTTCCACTTCCGGTTATCGGAAGTAGCTCAAAAGTTGATACGGATCTACGATTTTGATATAATATTTATATATGAAACTTCATCAACCTAGCTGTAACGGTACTCAAGGTATCGCGTTTACACACAGACTCACATACACACACAGAGACATACGGACATGATTGCAAAACTATGTTTTTCCGACTAAGGGAGCCCTAAAACGTCGAGATTTGTATATAGATCTACGAGATAGTAAGATTTGTATATAGATCTACGAGATAGTAAAAAAAAAAAAGACTGCTACTCGGTGTTACGGACTTATTTAAATGTTTTCTACATGATATGTGTGACATAAAAACAACTTCAATAAATAGCAACAGGTTTTGATTATTAATTCTCAATATTGTCTACCCAACCCATTGTGTTATTGGCTTTAATGTTGGTAAAAATACAATTTTAATAATTTTATTTTTAAAATATCTACGATCAACGGTGGACAATTTCAGTCAAAGGTAGACAACTCCATAAAATAAATTAATAGCAAGTTATTGGTATATTTCCTTACCATTGAACAAAACTTCTTGTTAGTCAAAAAATCAAAAGCTGTAATTATTCTAAGCTATTATCCTTTACTTTAAAATTTTAAATTTTTTAAAAAAACTTAAGCCTACTATTCATCTCGAATGTAGCATACATCTGAAGCTTTCTTCTACAATTTAATTAAATAAATCGGTCACTTTAATGACCCGACGGGGCATTGCTATAATACAATGCATACCTACACTCACCTCTCGACTCAAACCTTCATCATGACATTTAAACTACCATTAGAATATGCTAGATCTAATTCATTACACTATGTCATACGGCATACAGTTGTTATTTGTACTTACTAGATATAAATAGTAAGCTATATTATTACCTTAAACAAAGCAATCTAGTAACTACTAGTGAAGCGCTTGCAGTTAAAGTATTCATTTTTTTTTAATAATAATAATCTAACATAGTGAAGCCTATATACTATGATAGACCTGTATCTGAATATCGCAATAATTTTTTTTTTATTTATTCAGAAACTAGTGTTTTTTACAGACTTGTTTCTCCGGAGAGGCACTTGAAATTTTCGGGGGGGGGGGGGGGGCGGACTAAAATTTCCCGGGGGGGGGGGGCGGACACTGTTAAAAAATATATTTTCTATATAAATTAAATTCCATTTCGTTCGGGGGGGGGCGGTAGACTCTCTTTGGGGGGCCTCCCCTCCCGCCCCCCCCCCCCCCCGAAAAGATGCCTGAAAGAAACTCTGATTGTGAATGCAACATGTCCAAAAAATTAAGTTCCCCACTTAATTTTATACCTATTATCCTAAGATTTTTCTTTAAATGCGAAAAAGAAATTGTAGATTCTAAGCTCTTGTTTGTTGAAATACACTTTTCTCAATAATTATCAACACCAATTCTAAGTAGATCTAGGCCTAATGTAAGTAAACTTAGGCTAGTCATAGTCATCTAGCTGTATTCTGGCCAAAAAAAGGTTAGATCAAGAACTAGATCTATATTCTAGATCTAATTTATTTTTAAGCCGCTAATCGTAAACTAAAAATCTAAATCTAGATATCGGACGATATTTCGAGTCGACCCTTTTATCCCTAACATACAATGTTTACAAACAAGTTAACAACAGAACGACCCACCCGGTGTGGCCTCAACCAACCAACCTGACCTGTTTTTGTCTTTTTATAGTTTATTGATGTTGCTTTCAGTCAACTTTCATTTCAGTGTTAAGTGTTAGAAGTCAGGCCTATACTACAAGATCTAGATCTGTATACTAACTAACTATAGAATAGATCTATATATTATACTATATAGTATATAGGCCCTAGTATATAGATATAGACTGATATAGTATTAGTAGCGAGGCTCACTAAATCTTAATTTTAATTATTTATTTTTTTAACCAATACCAATAAAAGCTAGAGATATTTTTCTAACTAACTAGGCACTACATTTGATGATTTTAGCTCATTATGAACTAAAATACATGATTTTAATTATTGGTGCCATACAGCTTAGCTGTGAAAGATTTTTCCATGACAACCAGTCTGAGATCTGATTCCTAAAGTTGACCTGAAAACTACCTAGGAGGTTCGTAAGGATCATGTGTGGGGAGGGGGAAGTGGAGGTATGCTGCAATAAAACGAAATCGAAAGGATACTCGTAACTTGGTTATGTAATCTATTTACTATATTTTTAGCAAACGCCAAATGAATGAACCAAAAATAATCACGTATAAATGTTTAAAAATATATAGATCTAAACTTTTTAAAGGTATTCATTTTCACGTTTTATTCAGTCTTGATTAATCAGTGTAAATAGGAATGTTTAATTAGGACAATTATGCATAATAATACATAGATTGAGTTAACGGCGGAATCTAACCCTCCTCCCAGGCTCCCTTATCCAGCATGGAAGCTTTGTCTAGGCTGAGTTTTAAATATTAAAAAAAAGTATATAGGCATAATAAAATATCTGTTTTTATTTTTAAAACTGTCGTTGCATTAAATTTCATCACATATGAGCGAGAAATGCATTCCAAACATCGCCACTCATAGGCTGTGCGTAGTGATGGCTCGCTCGCGTTGTTTTGTCAACGAGAGAAACATCGCCCGTCCGAAGCTAGATCCAGGTGGAGTTTTAATACTTAAATTTGTATCTTGAGCTGGTGTGTAGATCTAGATAGATCTATTTAAAGATTGTTAGGCTACGCCTATCACATTAACGTCGATCACTTGTGAGTGAAAAATTATGCAAATTCATCACGAGCCCGCTTGCGTTCTTTCGTCACGCGAGCGGGTGCGCAAGTCCCTGTACTGTGTCAACTAGATCTAGATCTAAGAATGCAAACTTTTGTTTATGCAGGCTGTCCTCTAATATGATTATTATAATTTATTAGCCTAGCCCTTCTGGATCTAAATCATAATAATTAATTATATAAAAATGAAAGCAAATGAAAATAATATTAACTATAATTCGATCTAGTAGTAATTAGTAATAATAAAATCAAGTAAATAATTTAGCACCTAGACTTTTTCGAGATCGCGTTTCACCACGAGATCACAGGTTTACGGGCTTTTACAGAAATACCAACTAATTCCTATCTTCCCGTGTTCAGATCGAAATACTTAATTAATTTGTCCAGCAATGTAAAAATCAAAATTGGAAAATATTCACTTAACGCTCGTCAACACAAACGTAGTAAAGAGTCGATAGAGCCACCTAGGCGAACGTCTGCCGCCCAATAGCGGTCACGTGGGTTATGGAATTTTTACTTCTGGTGGTGACCGTTTTGGAGAATTTTTTAAAAAATTAGCGCATGTAATATTCGATTTATTTTTACACAGACTGTTAAATCTAATATTGATGTACTTTCGGTTTCCGATCTACATCGTAGTTGCTAATATTTAAAAAGATCTACGAATGTTTGTCGGCACCACTTTTTGAGCTTCGGTCTTCATTATCCAAAGCAATTTATAGCGTTTCTCTGGCATATTTAGCACTGCCAACTATAGTTTGTTTACATTATGTGAAAAAACCGCAATTTTTCACGAGGTAAACATTTTAAAAACGAATTCCTATAAAGTCACTTGGGCAGACAAGAAAAATGTCCGAAACTAAGCGTCCGGTTTAGGACGTCATGTTGTTGTTACAGAGGCGTAGCGACCCTTCCCGGCGCCCGGGGACAACGCTACTGTGTTGTTAGCAACCAGAGACGCTTTCAAGTTAGTTATCCTTGCTATAATAAGTATGCATCAAATACTCTCACCAATACCAATCTGAAGGGTAGATCGATGTGTTCCGCGGGCTTTTATAGCCTTGTAAGATACCTATCATCACATGGCCAGGTAAAAGATCACTAATGATTCTCAATTAGCCTAATTACGCAGGAAATCAAGGCCAAATTGTGAGCCCATTTGAAATAATATACAACCCTTTTAGCGTCTATTGCGCATACTTCCGTACAGCATCCATCACAATAGCGATGACGTCACAATTAAAAATTACGTGCTTTCAGTGACCTTTTTTGGGCGCCGATTTCTTAAAATGGTTATAAAATAATTACAATATTTTTTCACTAAACGATCAGTCTAATAATAGCCTACCGTACAGTGCCATTTGGACACCTAACAGACCATTATTTAAAGTTTTTAAACAACTCAAACTATACCCATGTTTACGTTTGACCTACATTGTCGGAAGCAAATTTTAATTTTTTTTTCTGGCAAAAATAGCTTTGTCATCTTCAGATAGCTTAAAATACGCAAAAAAACCGCCATTTTTCGCGTGATAATTATTTTTAATGTTAATGTTAAGGTGGTCTCTCGAACAAAGCTGAAAAAATTGCCCAATCGTAGGCCAAGGTGTGGTAGCCATGTTCTGGTTAGCAACCAAGGACGCTTTTGAGTTAGTGAGCCTCGCTAAGTATTAGTATATATATAGTATATAGATTATAGATAGAGTTATGCCTATTTAAATGTTATCCTTATTATGTCAGGGCCAACTGCCCATTTAATTTAATATAAACTCAAAACAATGATAGATCTATATATTATATTAGATAGGGCCTAATAATAATATATTATTTATGGCCGATGCTAGCCGGAATAAGATACGCATGCGCAATGGAGAGAAACTACGACTTGCCTTCGCGGCAATGTTTTGAATGGTACTGCGCATGCGTGTGTTTACAACCGCAGAACCCTAACACCAACCCTAATCCTATCCCTAACCCTGTCATTCTAGCCCTAACCCTAGGTCACTGCGCATGCGCAGAGCTATCTTTTGCCGACTAAGTGGAGACGTTGGGGAGAAAAATCTTCTTCCGAGTAGTCACTTCGATTATTTATTTCGGCCTATAAAAACAACAATCTCATTGTAATTAAAATTTATTAAAATAAGCATATTTTCTGAAAAACTGTTTACAGTACTTTACAGTACAGTAGACAGTTTAGGGTAACTTTTATACCAGTGTCCAATAATAGAATCTTCTTTTAAAAAGGGGTGTTAGATTACCAGTAGTTAACTAAATACACACATGGCTGCTAATATCAATGCTAACCCTAATCCTACCATACGCCTAACCCTAATTTATAACCATAAAATTAGTTGAGGTTACGATACTACTAACAACCCAACACACCTATCTTATGGAAGAGTCTATTATCAGACATCGGTATCTAAAATCATCTGACAGTTTATTTCATTTTCTTCATAGGTTAGAGGTAAAGATTATGAAAGTAAAGTGACAACCTGGTCCTAGATGACTATTTAAAATATTTCATCGGTTGCCAAGTACAAGAATGTTTTCTACAAGCTCCCAGCTCAAACACTGGCTTTTCAGTGGAGAAACAGAACTTTCTACATGCAGGACAAAAGCAAATGCAGCATATATTGAGAGCAGACGAGGAAATATGACAGTAATTATTTTTTAATTATACTATTAGTTATCTTATAACTGACATGTTGAAGGTATTTTTTTGTTTTTTTGGTGTGATTTCCATAATCCTGATTATTTTGAAAAGCTAAATTCTTAAAAGTAAATAGCATCTGTTCATTTAAATACTTAAAAGTTAGCTGTTAGTAACTTAATGTAGGCATATACTAATACTTTGTTGCCCTTTTTAAGTAGGCTTTCTCTTATTAATTGAAAATGATGCTCACTAAACTGAAGATTTTACATTTGAACAAAGGAATTATTATTTAGTGAAACTTTAATTTAAATACATATATTATATACTTTTGTTTTCAGGGGCATCATAATTGGAGTATATTTTCTTTTAAATTGTTTTTCTCTTTGTTTTCCAGGATGAGGCAGTCGCAGCCTACTTTTTATCACCAGCTGAGGAGAAAATTTTAAGCCGGCAGTATGAAGTTGTTTTACGCAGATTTTGTTCTGAATTTCAGCCACCCATGCCCAAATGTGTCATTGTGAGTAATTAAGATAGAAGAAAGTAAAATTATTATAATTGTATATGTTTTATCCAGGAATAAAATTTTATTATTGTTGTCATACACAGGGAACTTCACTGGCATTTTTTAAAAGATTTTATGTACACAATTCCAATATGGATTTCCACCCTAAAGACATAATGTAAGCCAAACACAATTTGTTTATAACTTTGGTTTAGTTACATTATTTCAAATTTAACCTGTATTTCTGAAAAAAAAATCTGTTAGAAATTTATTAAATGTAGGCCTAGATTTATTTTTGTTTATTAATGTTTTTGGTGTAGGTTAACTTGTGTCTACCTGGCTTGCAAGGTTGAAGAGTTTTATGTTCCTATTGGTCAGTTTGTGAGGAATCTCAGAGGTGACAGAGAAAAATTTGCTGATGCCATTCTTAGTTTTGAACTCACTCTGATGGCTAAATTGAACTACCATTTAACCGTCCACAACCCATTTAGACCTTTGGAAGGATTTTTTATAGATATTAAGGTAAACTAGGTTGTTCTCATTGGATTATTTATAGATATTACGATAAATTAGATGGCTCATTGCAAATTATTGAAAAAGAGCGTTTTTTAAAAAAGATCTCTCTTCCATGTTACATAATTTTGTACAGATCATATACACATCATTTTCTTTTAAATTATTTTCCTTCATCAGAATAATTTTTTCACATAATCTTAATTTTTTGCTGCCAATCCCTTGTTTCATTTCAGCTGCATTTAATCTAGACTTGAAGACCATTCAATAGTTTTGTAAATTAAAATGAATGGTCATTTTACTTTGTCCCTTAATTTTAAATTTGCTCCTTAATATTTTTTTATTTAATTTTTATTTTAACTTTTGAAACTAGAATAATGACATTCCTGTTTGTAAATTCCAACCAACAGACAAGATTCAAAGAAGCTCAAAATTTTGAAAGAATAAGAAAATCTGCTGAAGAATTTATAGAGCGGAGTTTACAGTCAGATGCTTGTCTCATATTTTCACCTTCACAGGTAGTGATTTATAAACGCCATAATTTATTAGAGAATCTTCGCTTAAAGACAAGTATATCTTTCTTAAAGTGTTTATAAATACTTTCAATTATTATAAAATTTAATAACATTCTTAATAAATGCGTCTAAACAAACATTTTTAAACAACTGATTGTGACATTGTAAAAAATAATTTCTAGCCAAAATAATAGTTTTCCCTATTGAATTATTATTTAAAGTTATTTTCCTTGAAAATATCTAGATAGCTCTTACTGCCATTAGATTTGGTGCAGCTAAAGAAGGAATACCCATTGACAAGTAAGTAGTAACATACATTTCTATAGGATCAGTAGAACATAGTATTTGTACACTAAAGCTTGGCAGGCTAGAACACTGTCTGCTCACTAGTGGTTTCTTAAAATAAAGTTATTTCCTCAACTGATATTATGTTGTAATGTGCAAAATGAATTTTATAAACCTGACTATATTACTTGTCTATCAGATACATTAAAGAGATACTTTTAAAATCAGCGAGTGAGAAGGAAGCTGAGAACACAATGTATCAATTACGGCGTAAGTGTTCAATTATTTCAATAGCTGATATGGGAATAATATTTACTCTAATTGCAGTGCAACAGGCTTATACATTTTTTTATGTAAATCTCCCATTTGACACCTAACTTGCTGTTTTATGCTTGTGTTAAAACAATTGATTATTGATTTACCTTCCTTACAAATAAAACATCCGTCATTAACTTAAATAAGGGGTTTCTTATAACTTTTTTCTCTGGTCTAGATATTTACAGTTAGCTAGTTGAAGTGTCTGCTGTATCATGCAGTACCTTTTGTTTACACAGCCTCCCATAACACACCTTTCCTCCAAAGTCACTAGGGGGAAGAGTGTGTTACTAATCATAATACACCCATTTAATTAAATGTCGAATAATAATATTTTTGCTACCCTTTTTGCTATATTAGAACGATTTGTGGATTTAAAAACGCCAGCTTCTAATGATCATTTTCACAGGGGTCAAATTCATTGTTAAAAATACTGAACAAGTGCCGAGAGAGCAGGGTCAAGCTGTACAGAAAAAACTAGACCAGTGTCGCAATCAAGAAAATAATCCAGATAGTGATGTGTGAGTTGGTCACTTAATACTGTCTAGTGTAGCAAGCTGGGCACATTGTTAAGTTCAGCTGTTTTGGTTCTACTTGTGTCTAAATTAAGTTGATTGGTTAATGTTATGGTTCCATTTAAAACTAGCATGTGTTTTATATAGTTTATGATCTCTCAGATATAAGCAGCGTATGTTGGAAAAACTGGATGAAGAGGAGGATATGAGGGTGAGAAAGAGAGCAAGGTTAACAGAGGTAAGAGTACAGTGTATTAATCATTAATTAATAATTACTTCATTATCATTGTAGATTCACTTTTATAACATGATAGTGTAAGCACACATTTATTTTAATCAGTGATTCTCATGCTGCACACTGGGAGATTTTGAATCAAGGAGTAATTTAAAACATGAGTTGACTAACCTGGCTCTGATAGTTGCCTTTATGGTTTCTCATGTCAACCAGTACTTATTACAAGAATCCATGGCTGGTTTCTTTCCTCTCCATCACCCTCCCAGTGTTAATGTTTGAGGAGAAATGTATAACTATTTTTTTAATGTGTTGCCTACCTTGTGTAATAGGAGGATTCTTTGTTTTTCTCTTTCTAATACAAGGACAAGTGAAGATTTGGCTTTGGTCTATCTCAGGAACTACCTTATGGATCTGATCTGGGACAATACCAGATTTTTGTCAGTAGCATGTCAGTACTGTCAAGTGGATCTAAATGTTGATACTCATGCACCTCAGTGGCTAGCTAGATGCCGGCGGCTTTTGTTATGATGTTAGTGTAAATAAAATAGACAATCTTCACTGACTTGTCTTCAATGAACACATTTTTTTTTAGATTTACTTATTGTGCAGTTTTGTGATGTTTGTCAACTAAATCAGGATACCTGGCAAGCTTTGTGTTAGCCATCAAATGGGAAGAAGAAAAAATCAAGGAAGAAAGTTTTTTTTTCCATTCTTGTTTACTATAAAACTATATAACCAACAAGAGGCTGTAGCAGTAGTTCTAACAATAAAGGCTAATAACTGTACAACTATATTTTTTACAAGAACCACAATTGGTCTCAGAAAACTGAACAAAAAAGTACACAAGTAAAAAATAGCAATCAGGAATACAATTAAAATAACTATACTAAAATAATACAATTTATGGCTGTGTTAATTAAAAACATCATCAGTCATTAGTATAACTGGAAGTCAACTGACCAAATTGTAAATTAGCAATCTTCAAAATAACTGAAGGTAAAAATTAATGAATGAGCATTGTTTTGAAACTATGTTTTAAGTTAAAAACGTGAACACTAAGATCCTTATAAAAGCAATACAAATTCAACCAAGCTATATGTGTAAAAGAAACAACAGAATGGAAGAAAGAATAAACTTAAACAGTAATTCTCCTGATAATACAAAGTATAAAAATGCTGGAATAAAGGTTCTAACAAAATCTAGAATACAATGAACAAACTACAGAACAAATAATTTGTTCAATGCAAGAATATTCTATCAGACAATATAATTGGTTCAAAAAGGGAATATTTTAAGAGACCAAATTAAGTGTTCAACATACAAGAACATTTTACTTATTTCAATGCATTTTAAAACAAACAATACATCAGTTACAGCTATTTGTGAGGATTCTAACGTTAAGTTTTAAACTTAGTCTTTAAGAGGTTAAAAACATTTTGTTCAGTTTAAAACTTGTATTTAGAATCTATAGCTTAAAAGGTTTAAAACAAAAATGTGTAATGATGCATGAGCATTTTACTGCACACTGTATGCTAAGTACATAGTAATTTCAGCAGTTTAAAACTTTTCAACAATGTTTTGTTCCATTGGAGTACTTTGTTAAAATTATACAATAGTATTTTAAAAACAATTAAAATCTACCATTAAAATAAAAGAATACAATTTAGATTTAAAAAAAAGATTAACATCACTGAATTTGATCACATGTTTGGGAATATGAGGTAGCTTCCCTTTGACCATAAATTAAAAATGTTTCTAGACAAAACAATTGAATTGCACTACTAGAGGTAAAGGAACAACCAAACTGGGAGGGATATCTCCCAGGAGAGGTGCAGACTTGTGCTAGGGAAGGCATGAAAATTATTAACAAAAAATATATAACTGTAAATACTTATTTCATTAAAAAATTGTGTTTTGTTTTCACGGCCTATAAAATTACATTTAAAATACAATGGCTATCCCATCCTGATACCTATTATCAGAATTTCTTCATTTGTTCGTTTCAAAAATATTAAACCACAACAACCAGCAATAGTTCACTCCTTCCTAGGGTTCTGACCATACTATGACCATGAACAAAATGGGTTGAAAATAATTACAGATGAAGAAATGGGGAGACGCAGGGACAAAAAGTATGGAAATCAGTGAAATAAAAGTATACACAGAAAGTTTTACAGAAATGTAAACAAACCTTTGATACGGAAATGACCAGCAAGTGAGTAGATTAAATATTTTAAAAACGATTCTTAAGATACTAATTATTTATGTAAATAAACTATACATTTGAACACCGGAAAATGTCTAAATAAATTCTTTAAATAACATTATTTCACACAAATATTTAATTTATCTGACAATAAATATGTACATGGTATTCTATTATTACACTTTTTAAAAATGTGTTCTTTTAATCAAAATCACAGAAATCATTATTCACATGTTTAGACATAGATTTTTAAAATTTACCCACTAAACTTCTTGACAGCCGAATAAAATTGTAGGATGCAGGAAAAAAGACTATGCAACTTAGATTTAAATACACAAGAGTTAGTTTTAGTTTCTTTAGATCTAAAAATACCAATTCCTCAGTAAATAAAACAGAATTCTCTTGGTCCCTGGAAAGCAGTAACAAACACATTTGGCAATGAGTGTTTTAAAAAACTAGGGTTACCTCTAGGGACAACTAATCAGGATACCTGGCAAGTTTTTGTCAGCCACCTGGATCCCTATGGGAAGATTTTTAGATGTCTATTGTACAATAGTCAGAAACTCAAAACAATATTACATTTACCTACAAGTAAATCTTAGTTAAAAGATTAGAGAGTAGCCAGCAAGCTAACTATATTACAATGACTTTAACAACTTTTGTGTCAAAGTCCACAACCAGAAAAATATCTACTGGAGATTTAAAGATAAAAGTGAAACTGAAACCAGCAATTGGTAGTTTACAAGTCCATTGGTATGATGATCACACTTGTAGTGTTAGATTAGTTTTGTGACGCATTAAAATATTCTTAGATGACTGTATCAGACTTGTTTAAAAGGCAGCTTCAAACGTAGGTATCTTTTTCTTTGAAATCCCCATCTCCGCTTTGAATAGGTCTGAATGCATATTTACTCTTGCCCCAGTCTTCAACATGCTTCCCAACCTGAGATTCTGGCTGCTTGGTAAACACAAAATTCCTGCTAGGGGGAAGTTCTTCAGTGGGTGTTGGAACTTTATCAAACACACTAAAATCTGGCATCTGTTCTGATAATATACTTGAGGTGTCATCAGTTTTGTCTAAAAACTTAAAAGCACTTAAATTTGACTTTGGCGTAGTCAGTGAAAATGAAAACGGCCCAGGTGATCGAAGTTTCCCAGAACTGCTATAGAGGTCACTGCCAGCGATGTTTTCAGATGACCAGGATTTCTTCTGACCTGCTATAGGGTTTGTGTGCCTGGTACTGACCACCAGAGACAACAATGGGCTTATGCGGCCAGTCTTAAGGGCAGCTTGCCCTGGCTGGGGTGAGCTGGACTCTGACCTTGACATTGGTGAGCTCAGCGAGGGGGCACGGAATGCTGTGGGTGCAATGCTGACAAATTTAGGTGATTTCACCTCTAGCTTGGCAACCTTGGCACTAGAAGATGAAGGAGCCTGCAGGCCGTCTAGCACTTGCTGCTGTAGCTCCAGCTGAGCTGCTTTGTTGACACTTGACTCTGACAAACTTCTGCGTTTTGTGTTGGAAGCTGAGTCTGCGCGTCTTTCTTCTCTTCTAAAACAAAGTTCAAGCAAGTACCTTTAGTATTAACTCATTTAAAAAAAAATAAGTTGATCTCTTTTTTAAATGATCGTATAAAAAATATAAATCATAAACAATTTATATAAAGCCTAAACATCAAATACATCATAGGGCAGTTTTTTTTTTATTTTATTGTATTGGCATTAGCTTTCAAATTAGCTAAGTTCTATTAGTAAAATTTAAAAACTAAAAAAAATATTGATACTAGTAAGATTAAGGCTAGATTCAGTGAATGATTTAGCCTACCCATTTCTGACTTTCATCTTAGTAGGTGACACAGACTGAGAGGCTGTGCTATCTTCCACCTCACTTCTTGGCCTTCTAGTGTAGGAAGATCCAGTTATGTCCAGACTCCCTGGTCTCACATGGTGCTGGCTCTTGCGAGGTAGGTGAGAGCTGGAGGAACTAACTCTAGATCTGTCGCCAGGTTTTAAGGGGATGTCAAGCTCATTTGAACCAGAGAACCCTGCCAGATAAGAATCTTTCTCTGAAAAAAAAAGAACAATTTAATGACAGTTAACATTTTTTTTTAAATGTGTTCTAATTATGATTTATGAAATTTTTACATTATTTCTCAAATCTATTGGTTGAAATATTTCTGTATGTTTACAGATATTGAATAAACCTCTACATTTGTTTGAAATTTTAAGTTTGTTCCAACCCTAAATTAGTTCTTGAAAAGATGTACATTATTTGTTGTTAAAAAATAACCAACCTTGCCCAGTCAATGGACAACCAAGCATCACAGAGCGCTGCATGAGAACATACAAAGCAGTGTTGGCAACCTTCTGCTGGCCTTCTGTTGGTGCTTCAGATCCAGTTCCTCTTTTAACAGATTCTCTTACTCGAGGAGCTATCTTTTGATTCCATAGGTTTTTCATCCATCTGTAATAATATAATAACACTTTTAACATTATATCATTGAAATTATACTTTTGAGAATGCAAACACAAACATCCATGTTTCAACAACATAATTCTAGGTAAAATTTAAGGTTAAATTGAAAATTGAAAGTAAAACAATGAGGAAATAAACTCACTCAAGAATCAGTCGATGGTCTTGTTTTTCCAAAGGACATTTAAAAAACATGCAAGGTCCAAGGACCACCTCTAGAAAGCCCAGTTTGTTGAGGCTGTCATTAAGTCTCTGCCACACACAGACAATCCACTCCACGGCTCGCAGTACTGGATCTTCAGGAGACGGCAGGTGGCCATGGTATGTGTTGATGATGCGTCTCAGGAAGTGACGAGCTAACAGCCCTCTGAGAGGTTCTGTGTCCAGCCTAAACTGAACCCATCTGAACCGTGGTAGGATAGACAGATCTACACCTAATGACCTGGAAACAAACAAGTGTTTACAAAAAGTTCTTGTGTTATCACAGTACTAAAACTAATAACCATAGTGCCACAAACAAGGGGTTGCACAAAGTTTTTGTGTTATCACAGTACCAAAAATAATACCCATAGTGTCTGGTACAATTTTAAAACAACTAGATTAAAATATAACCCCATTGTATACGTTTTTGCTGCAGAAATCTTCCTTTTTTTTTTCAACACAAATACTTTACGTTCCTATTTCTGCAACATTTTAACACTTAGAAATGTATGATAGAAGTTCTGTAGATAGTTGTGTATATTACAGTAAAACAAAAGTACCTGGATTTGTTCATTGTTCCAATAAGGTAAAACTGATTCGTCAGATAGTGCATACCACTTTCACTATGGCCATCACCTAGAAGAATACATGGTCAAAATATGTACTGATTGTAAAAAAAAAACTTTTCCCAAAGATCACAAGTAACATTTGATGAAATCATAAAAGAAAGCTTGTGTACCTCTAAGGTAAAATGCATGCTTGATCCCCCTGTATTCCATGGCATCAAGCAGCTCACCAAACACCCGGGATATGTCTACCATCTCCAGATTGTCCAGCACAAGGATGGGAGCAACATTGTCTTGGCCTTTGTCTATGGGCACAACACAGTCTGGAGAGAAAGAAGAAAAAATGATGGGTTGGATTAGATTTTCTTTGCAGCCATCAGAATCTTGTACAAATCTTAAAATGTATTTTGCTTTTTGGCAAATGATTTTTAATATTTTTTAGAAACAAAAATACTAATAAGTTCAATAGTGGTATTCTACTATTACATAAAAATTCATTGTAAAATACCACTGCCCAAAAAATATATATATTAAGCTTAAACCTTTTCCCTTAAGTTTTAAGTGGTAGGTTGGTTAGTTTTAAATCTTAAGATTTTTACTTTAGAATGGTTAATTATCAACAACTCACTCTTTTGTTTTAGGAAGGTCAAAAAGTTTGACCAAGAATATCCCTGTTCTAACTGTAGTTGATAAATTGCTGGCTTTCGGCCCATAGCTATTTCCTGTGCCTACAAGTAAAATGAAACAATTCTATTAATAAACAACTCTAACATGATGTCTTACTGATAATTCACATTAATTGAGCTGGATATCTGTAAAAAAAGAGTGCTTATTTTGTTATGTCTGCTGTGAGAAAAATAAAAGTTGACATACTGCAATGCTCTGAGCCAGCCTCTGTGCCAGGTATGACTTGCCACTGCCACTTGGGCCGTAGAATATGACACTTTTGTACTGCTCCAGCTGAGAAGTGACACAAACATGTATTCCATCATCACCACTAAACAACCAATAGTTTCACAGCAATACAATTTAGCGCAGAAACAACTGAACAAATTTCGACATATCACTGCTGCATGCTATGGATTTATTAATGGAAGATATGGTTAAAGTCCTACTGTTAGTATTTAAATAGATAAATTCTTTTAAATAACTTCTTGCAGCTAAATAGAAAACCCAATTAAAAAACTTACCAAACGCAAATAATTGTTGATGCTATACACAGGCTGAAGAACATCAAATGCTATCAGCTCACACATATTGCCAGCATCTAAATTTTATTAATCATACAGAACAATTAAAAACTAATAAGTGATACCGTATTGTTATGCATAAAGAATTTTTTATTAATTCTTTGTTTTACAATACTAACCTACTTGATAAGAACCACAAAAAGTATAAAATATTTAAAACTTTATAAAAGTAATAAATTTTTAAAAACTCACCATCGACAACTACAGTTATTTTCCGAAGTTGGTTGTTATTTGCAATCATAACATATGGAGCAGTGTCTGTCTGCATGCCAGGTGTCCACTTATAGTATCCTGACAAGATATTTTACAGTTTAAAAACTCTCATAGTTTGCTTTCACTAGTTACTGGGTCCTAGTAAATATTCGTAACTGAGTTTTCTTCTACTTAAATAACTATTGGAATATCAATAAAATTACTAGTGCAATATTATGTAAAACATAAGTAGATACAGATAAAACTTAATACAAGTGAACACTTTAACTAGTTTCTTTGAAAGGGTAATCACAGATTAATTGGTGTTAACATTAACGTTAAGAAAAACAAAAAAAACTCACCCATTTCAAAGTGTTTGATGTTTGCCATTGTGAGACCAAGAGAGAACTCCTTGTCTTGCCTGTCAGCTTCGCCATCCAAACGAGTAATCCTCCTTGTTTTCAGACCTAAACCCAACTGAGCCAGGTAGAAATGCAAGGTGGATCGTAACTGGTCTTCTATCATCTTCCAACTGTAGCCTGGCTCCACATCCATGGTACCAATCTGGACATTGGACACAGTTGTGTTCTCCAAGATATAGCGAAGTTCTACAACCACTTTCAGCTTGGGCACACTGAGCCTCTCTAGAAACAAAAATATTTAGCTTTCATGCCGGTTTAGTAGTAAAACAAATCACTGACTTGCAGTAAAAAAAACTTACTATTAAGCTGAAATAGTGAGCTTTTTGTTTAGAAAAATGTAGATCTTTAATGGAACCTGATAAAACATACAAGTGCCCTTTGAGGTCTGAATATGGTATATAAGAATCCACAAGGTTCTTAAACAATAGGGTGGTCAGCACTATGCCCACTGGTTTAACTCAAGACTTTCATGTAGCAACCAAACCAAATACCATCATAAAGTAAGTCAAAGTTACACATTTTTTTTCATGTCGTGGCTTTTCAACATACCTAAATCAGATATGGCATCCTTACATGCAGGGGAGGCAACAACTTTGACAGACCTTCCTAACTTGTCTTTGGCATTCAAGTCTAAGGGAAGGCTTTCAGCCAACACAAGCAAGCAGTCCTGAAAAAAAAAATTATCATCCCACAAGCAGGTTAACATTCTATTTTCTTGGTGAAGTTAAGTCAGTCAGAAAAATATAACTATTTTTTTAAAGTTAAATAAGGTGTAGTGTAAACTAAGTAAAGGTGCTGTCCCTTGAACTAACAGTAATATTAATAGTGAGTTCAAAATCACTCCCATACTATCTATTAATCTTGAGCTTTTCAGATATTCACCCGCACATTTCAATGTAATATGAAAAAGTTATTTATAAAAATCTTGTCAAGTGTGGATTTTTTTTTAAAGAGGGAGGGCATTTTTAAACTTTTCTCCCATAACTGTATTTAGTAGCAGTCTAGAATTTAAAAAAACTGACTGGACTGGGTAAGTAGGCTGCCATGTGAGTGACAGTCCAACCATCCTTGTCCGTGATGTTCAGTATCTGGTAGGCAGCATCTGAAGCCTGTACAAAGTTCATTTTGTCCAGTATAAGCTTTAAGATATCTGGCTGGTTGCCTTGTACAGCATAGTGGATGGCTGTCAGATTGTCCTTTAGAGAGAGAGAAAGAACAAAGATAATTTTAAACCCATATTTTCCTGATTAATTTTAATATGACTTATTCATGCAGACTTTTGCTGATAGTTTAAAGCAGTCCTGCTTGGTTAATACAACTACTACTGCATAATTTAATTCTCAGAATTAAAAAACTTTAAATGGAATAGGTTTTACTACTTTAAAAGTTAGTTTTAAACATCTTATAACTAGTGACAATTAATTTTAAGACAGAAAATACATTAACTGAAGAAGGTACACAGATCAATGCTAATTATTAGATAATATCAGGAAAAAAAAATCAACCTGTGCAGTAAATAAAATATCAGCTCCGTGTCTAAGTAGTAGCTGGCAACATTCAAAGTGGCCAGATTTTGCTGCCAAATGCAAAGGGGTTTGACTTGTTGCTGAGACAGGGTTGACCACAGCACCATTGGACAGGAGTAGCCTTAAACAACTGGGATAATTTTAAAATAATTAACCTTCATTCTGAGCTAGGGTAAAATACACAACTACTAATTTAAATATATTAAAAATTATGATAATAACTTACCCAGAATGGCCTTTGGATGCTGCAATATGAAGGGGAGTTATTTTGTCTTCTCTTGGGCTGTTTGGTTTGGCTCTGTTGTCAAGAAGGAGCTTCAAGCAAGCTGTTGTTTTAAAAAAACAATGTAATCTAAATTATTGTTACATAAATAAGCAGCATTCATACTTTTAAAAGTGATATTAAATAATTCATTATTTTATTATTACTTTCACTATTAAAAAAAAAAACATCAGTTAACCAGATTAGTAAAATTTGCTTTAGAAATAAAGTCATGTGGTCACATAATGTCATGTGACAAGCAGAAGACAGGGGTCATGTATGGATAGATCCTATAAGCTTCATTGACATGACAGTTTGAGTTCCTATAACTTAGTTATGTAATCAGTAATTTTGGTCTAGATCAGGAGATATTCGCCTCTGGGGTAGGGTAACCACTCATTTAGGTCTATGTCAGGTTATCAGTAATTTTGGTCTAGATCAGGAGATATTCGCCTCTGGGGTAGGGTAACCACTCATTTAGGTCTAGATCAGGTTATCAGTAATTCAGGTCTAGATAATGAAATACAAAATACATTTAAATCTATGGTAACAACTTATTTAGTTCCAGATTGGCTTATTATTTCTAGATAAGATAAGCTGATCTATTTTTAACATGAAAAAACCAGCTTCCTACAGTAATTTAAAAAAGAAAAACACAACTTAATAATGTGAGGTTGTAATATGTTTCTTACATTCTTGATTGCACTCTGCAGCATAGTGCACAGCAGTGGAGCCATCTTTTAGTGCCAAGCTGACATCAGATGGGTTAGTTTTCAGGTGCTTGTGTAGGGCTATCACATCTCCAGAACACACAAGGTTGTATATCAAAGGCAGGGACTCAGCTTGCGAGTCCACCACAGCCTGATTTGGGGTGTTAACTTGGAAGAGCGACCACGAATCCTGAGGTGGTTTTGAGCTGTTAAAAATCTGCGATGAGGTCGATCTAGGAAGATAATGTGCAGTCTTTGTCGGGGATTTAGATCTTGATCTCGATGGAATGCTTCTTCGTTTGGCTGAAGGGGAGTTAGCAGTTAATTGCTGATTACTATGCAGAGAAAGCTGGGAAACAGGGGCAGGGAACTCTGCTGAAGGGGAGGGAAGTGATTTAGTGAAGGCAGAGCTAACAGATGTTGGTGACACAATATGGTGCGTGGAGTACTTTGTTGGTGTTGTTGTTAAGTTCTCGTCGTACACATGAAGGGGAATGCTGGTTGGAGATCCAATTTGAGCAGTGGCTGAGGTTTTAACATCCTGGTTGTTGATGACTAGCTTCAGGGTGTTGTTGTTTTGTTCCCTCACCGCTCCTGGTTGTGAGTGAGATGGACTTTCTACAAGAGAGAATGGGGTGGCAGTTTTTCCATGGGTAGATGAAGATGATGATGTTGGGGTGTAGCTTGATGAACTTGTCCTGGTCTCCGTAGCAATCACATGTGAATTACTCGTACTGGCCTCATCTGATGTGGATTAGTGATTAAAAAAAAAATAATCGGTGTCAGCAAGAGAGCAAACTGCTGAGTGAATTATGTTGACAATGGAGAGATAAGTAACAGATATAAAGGTTTTAAAATTAATTCTGTTCGTTTTTTAATACTTATATTTGTTTGTTTTTTTTAGTTTACAATATCAAATGCAACAAGGTTGGGAAAAAATATAAAGCAAGTTTTTAAATATTTTTTTTAATATTGGGATTGTCATTCCATTTTAAAAAGAATTTTAAGCTATATTGTTTACTTTCAAATTCTATCACAGAACTAAAAAACTTCTGTTTTTTTAGAAATTAAGTTAAGATAATAGTACTTGAATAGTTTTAAAAATGAGAACACAGGTGATTTGTGAATGTATGTCATGCTATACTTTATATTCAGTTCTAGCACACCTGACAAAAAAACAATTCCTACCTTTTTTTCTCTCTTCTGTGAATATGCAATCTTCAGCAAAAATACATTTTATTCTTTATGACACATTATCTACACCTAATGTATTTTTATTTGTATTTTACTCTTGGCATTTAGAGAAACCATGTACCGTAATACTAGTAAAATAACAGCATAGGTTGGCACTGCAGGGGAACACATTCCGTAACTATAAAAATAAAAGTCTAATCTTCTAAAATTTCTAAATTCAGCCACCAACAAAAAAAACGTAAAAGATAGAAAGAGGTACTTGGCAAGCAGACAACTAAGTTAGGAGGAGACAACAACAGGGGGAAGCTCCAACTTCTGTGAGGTGGAACCAGCACTAAACACTGAAGTATGTGCTTGTGATGTAACCCCAATGATCACGAAGAGAAATAACTGCTTCAAAACATCAACTCTTTTGAAAATTTTCTTATTACTGGAAATTCCTCCATGTCTAATTGTTCACAATTCATTTTTCACGAAACAGCTGGATCATCAGCTCAAGTCCTTTCACACAGAAGCTCACATTTCAAACAGAAAAAAAGATGCATGATTTCAATGAAATTTATTGCACTGTCTTTCTTCAATGTTTTGATGATATCAAACAATTAGCTAAGATAGCATGGAAGAACCTAATACTGACTTTCCACTATGGGACATAAATTTTTTTTAATTTATTTAAAAGTCTAGATATTTGTTAAATTATATTGCAATATACATCAAAAGCCGAAATTAAATATTTGTGATATATATATATATATATATATATATATATATATATACATATATATATATATATATATATATATATATATATATATATATACATATATATATATATATATATATATATATATATATATATATATATATATATATATATATATATATATATATATACATATATATATATATATATATATATATATAACACGTTATCTATTATTGAGAAATTTTAATATTTCATACACCAATGTACATTCGGACCTCTCCATATAAGAACTGGGCTTGGCTACCCTAGTAGAAATCCTTTTAAATTACCATGTTACATATTGAACACTTTGTTCTTAAATCTATCAGATCTAATAGATATGGCTAAGTTTTGTTTTTTGCTGAGAGTTGCAAATAGCAATCAACTACAAATGCAGCAATGTACAAATATACAAAGCAAGATGTATAGGGGAGTGGGGTTTTGATGTAAATGTAAAAATATTTACAAGTTTAAAAAAAAAAAAAAAACTATGAATATCAGATCTTGTAAGGAGATATAAGTGTATATGTGTGTAAACAGCAAATATGCCAACACTAAAAACTAACAACAACTTCTCATAAATGTATTGCTCATGCATACAGATAGCATTATAGGTGTGGTTGATGTTTGTTCACCAACACCTGAGCTTATTCAAAAGCAAGTCTACAGACAATGCAATTAAAATTTAATTTCAAACAAGAAAAAAAAATTGTTTTGAATTTGTTTCCAAAAATTGGTCACCAGACAAAAAGGCATTTAAAAACAACATTATGCTGTCTATTTATATTATTTTACAACCAGGATAATGCACCAGCAGCATTTTACTAAAGCTCAACAATAGTTTTTTTTTAATGAGTTTGGTTTATTTAAAAAAAAGGTTCAAAATTGGTTATTAAATCAAATACAATTTGTATTTTCTCCAAAAGTTATTGAAACAACTTGAGCAAAGCCAATGTGAGATTATGCATTAGAAAAAGCTTCATTATTAACTAAAAATGTAAGCGAAAATAAAAACTATGCTTTATAAATGAACATTATTTTGCATTCGAAACATCATAAATAAAACGTACTAGGTTAAAAATTAAAATTCAGATTTTTTTAATTTTTTAGTATGAATGGTCCTGGATTAAAAATTAAACTTGATATTTTCAAACCGTTGGCATGCAAATGCCAAGCTCCTCAATTCTTAGTTATGACAGCAATATTTTTTCTGCATTCAGTTTTTTTAATTTTATCAACAAGCAATAATTACACAATTATTTACATCTCAGTATTGGTAGTTTCTATTAGTATATTAAGTCAAATTAATGAAGATTTCTACTTGATATAAGTTAGAAAGTTTTAAATTTCCCATCATAAGAATGGGTAAATAGACAAAATGCCATTTTTAAATGTGTTAAATTGTTATTTATAATACTTTAAATATATTAAAATTTGCTAATGGAGATGATTTTTCATTAATCCAAGAATTAATAAAATATACCAAAATTGATACTATTATAAAGCTATGATAATAAGATTTACTTTTTCCTAATATATACGGTTTGAAAATACTTCAGTACTTGTGCATATAAATATAAGATTTTAATATTCTAAAATCACAAGAACTTAAAATATAATTTTGTTCAAATACTTTAACAAAGACCAAACCAAGTAAAAACACAGCCCTCAGCATGTAAAAATGGTAACAAATTTGTAATTTTGTTGTAAATATATAAAAGTAAATGCTAGGGTGTCTCTTGACCAACTTTTTCATGTGGTTGCCATGGTGAATAGGTCTACCAGTAAAGACCAAGCCTCATTTAGTTAATTTCAAAGTTTTGTGGTTATTTCAACAATATACAATAAATTTAATATTGCTTATTCTGCAATTTTACTTCTCTGATCATAACAAGGAGTCCTTAGTTTTTGTTGTCTAACAATATATTTGTCATACTTCTAGCAGAAGATAAGGTTAAAATTACAATTTATTATGCATTCTGCCAAAGATTTTATTTTTGGTTTATGGAAAACTAGACGTCTTTCTTATTCCTTCTATTAATTAAAAAAAAAAATTAGAAAAAAAAGCTTGGACACGATGAGTGCCTAACAAGCCTCTTTAGTCTGCCATCAAAAAAGCTAAGAGTGGTTATGCACGGGAACCATTCAAAAACAAATGCCTTGTTTTAAACAAGCCATTTCCCTACCGATATTTAAACTTGGTATCAAATTAAAGGAAAACAAATGTAGTTTTTTTTTAAAGGCTTTTAAAACAATAATGTGAAATTACCAGGCAACACCCTAGTTAACACACTAGGTGAAAGTGTAGGTCAATTTTATAATATCTGACACCCAACCAATGAACACATTTTATTTTACTTTTATATAGTTCAAGCTGTCTTTGTCAAAATCTGAGAACAATACGGTAAAAAGTGAGAAGCAAATGAGCACCAAAAAGCACTAGATTACAGCATGCAGCTAACAGTGTAAGCTCACCTGTCCTCATTGTGGCCAAAAGTTTCTGCAAGTTGGCCATTTCCGCACCCAGAAACTCAAGGGGGTGACTAGAGTCAGAGGATTTAACTGCAGTGGAAAGGTGCTCTAAGGGGGGACTATCCACAACAGGCTGCAAGAAAACAGCAAGCAACATGCAACATGCAGATAACCAAAGATAATTTACACACACATATCAATGTAAAGACAAAATGCAAAAATAAGTGAGGTAAAAAAAAAAGTTGCTGTTGTAAATAAAGTACAACATGTTTATATAAAAAATTTATATTATATAGTTAATTAAAAACAAAAGAAATTAGCAAACGAAGATACGACATCAAATGACAATAGAATAGGATCAAACAATAAAAGCAACGTGTGATGAGAGGATGCTAGAACAAAAGGTACAGGAAAATGAGTTGAACATTTCATACAAGTTTTTAACTACTGGAATACAAAATGACTGCTCAAGCATGTGAATTGGGAAATTTAAGTAATTGTAAAATGGGATTAAATTAAGCTACCTCACGTAGTTATGATTTAATAATTGTATAAAGGGAGCATTTATTTTGTTGTTCATTTTTTGCTGTTGTATTTCTCCATAGTTTAGAAACAAACTTGTATTATTCACAGAAAAGTATTAAAGGAACACAAAAAAAGTATAATATAATAAATAATAAAAAACACAACACTATTACAATATGAACTATAAAAGGATTCAAACTTGATTGGTGTGAGACACCTGTTACCTCACACCTAACTGAACCTCCACGCAATGAATAGAGGAGAAAGAATGAGAACATGCCCCACACAGCTGGGTACACAGCATTATCATTATAAACAATACACTAGCAATATTGTACACAATGGCAAATAAAACATACATGTATCAAATGGTGGGTGCAGCATAAATATTCTCAGGCTGCAGTTTAACATTACTAACAAGATACTAAATAAAACTTGGAACACTTCTATGTTTGCACATAATGAAAGACTTTCTTTACATTACAGAAATTAAAAAGTTACATTTTCAATCAGATGTTTACCCAGGAGGTGTTTATTGAAGATAATAAGGTATAATATAAAAAGGAAGCATAATTAATAACAAATGTTTTATCAGTGCGTAAGCCCTTCACCTATTAATATTATTAAAGTGTTAGGAATATAATGAGTTTATATTAATCTTTTTGTTTTAATAAACTGATAGTTAAATTAAAAATCTTCTAAACTTACTTAAATGATTTTGCACTTCTTTACTACTCTGATAAGGTCCATACTTATAATGCATAAAAAATAATGTGGGAAAAAAAATTATTTTGAGTATTTTAGAATATTTTTATCTTCTCAGCTATTTTTCTTTTTCTGACCATTATGATATGCAAAATATTCTGGGTATCAATGAAGTTTATTTCATTGAAATAGCCATTTTGTTAAACACTTAATTTTCTTGATGTTTTCCTACTTCACTTTGTTAAAAAAAATTATAGGATTATACAATATAGTAACAAAATAAAAACACTTTTTGGGCACAATACCTAGCTCAACAACATTAGTAGAACTTTCTCAGACATACAAAAAAAAAAAAGAAGTAAAGGAACCTGAGAACACACCTCTTCCAGCTATTTCTTTCCTTCAATGTCAACTTAAAAATGAGTTGTGAAAAAGAAACTCAGGAAAGAAATGAACCACTGCCTGGTGCTATATAACATTACAAGTTTCACAAGAAAACCGGTAGGCACATTCCTCTGTAATTTTGAGATATCGTTTTCAAAAATGAAATTGTGTCTGCTTTAATTAGTTATGAAAATGTACAAATCCCCCCCCCCACAAGAGATTTTCTTTAGTAATTCCAAGTAACATCACATTCTTTAAACAACCTTTTTAATAAATAAAAAAATATCATCCAACCAAGAAAGATTAAAATAAAATGGGGGTAGACAACCTTTTTTGTCACTAAACCTTTTGAAGTATCATGCACATTCATTGCTAACCATTAACATTAAAAAAAAAAAATAATCACATGCACCTCAAATTAATACAATAATGATCATTACAAAATATGTTGAAAGTTACAATAAAGTGCATTATACATTAGTACATGAAATAAAAATCATTATTAGTTCAATAAGCAAACTTTTTAACATAAGCTTTACCATCAACAATTTAATAAACAATGTTTTCGAGTGGTACATTTTTGACATTTCATTTTCACGTCAAGGTGAAATAAAATGGAGATGAAAACAAAATTTGGTCTCCATGAGCTATCAAACATGAGATCAAGCTCACTGCTCAAAGATTATAACCTACACAAAATTCTAGGATTGCATAAGTCATTAAAGAAAACCATGATGCACATGAATAGTTTGCAGTACTGAGAGGCAGGACATGATTTTTTTTCCCTCTGACTAATGAGTCTAATGAAAAGTTAAATAAGACCATAACCCTGAAAGTAAGGAAGAGTCTAAAAAGTAAGTTCTTGATTAGTACTTGTGGTGAATACATCAACCAACTGTGATGTGCAAGTTAGTAGTGGAGATCACTTTACAACCAATGGTAACTGCCAGTGCCATGTTTAGGAGTGCACTTCCTACTTTAAAAAAAAAAAATGATCTAGCAAGCTATCATTTGGCATTGACACAAACCTGAGAGGTTTTCCTAACTGCCGAGGGAGAAGTTTCTCTGACTTGGGTACGAACACTGGCCACTGCTCCAGAGGGGGAAGGCTGATTCCCAGGCAGACCACCACCAACAGAGACAGGAATTTGTTGAGCTATTGTTTTCCCGGCTGAGTAATGGCCAGGGTGGTGATCTGGTCCAGGAGTTTGAACAATGACCGCCGATCCAACCACTGAAACCTTGGGTGGAGGAGAGGGCCTTCCGCCACCAGGTAACGGGGAAACAATGTTTGGCTTGTTGGGGGGTATTGGAGGGGGAACCCCTCGCCCAACTGGTGAAGCAGAGGTGGCGCCAAATCCAGGACTTTTTCTTACCTGGGTAAGATTGGGTACCTGGGGGCCAGCTCCGGCTACGTGAAATGAAATTTTACCCCCACCGTGAGTCGTGACCGTTGCACTTGATCCAGGTGCGACATTAACCACTCTTGCACCTGGACCCATATCAACCTCAGCTCTATCCATCCCAGGTGCCCCCACTGGTCCCATGCGCATGGCTCCTGGTCCTCTACGGGCTGGGGTACCAGTTGGATGGTTCTCTGGCCTGTAGATTACATCCTTCTCTGGAGAGTTTGAACTTAATCTACCACTGTCTGATACTTTAGTGTTGGACTGAGTGTAGACCTTACTGCTAGCTCCATAGGTTGGATGTAGGCTCGAGGCTGATCGTATACCGCCCACCGTGACAGTAGACGTTGGCTGTGGACTGTAACCCTGCGGAGGATTATTATTAATACTGGGACTTACTGATTGTGGTGGCACACCCACTGAGTTGGGAATAGACCCTGCTACAGCTGTGTTTCTTGTAGGTAGTGGGTTTGTCGTCCTACCCGGTGACACTGTTGATCTAATCTGTCCCCCACTTGGTGATGCTGTGCTACTTCGTACCTGCTGTTGCAATGACTCCAATTGTTTAGAAAGACGTGCCACCTCAGTTCTCAAGATATTTGTCTGTTTTTCTTCCTCTTGTAATCTCATTCGTAAAGTCTCTCTCTCAGAATCAAACTTTGAGCTTTGTTTATCCAATGCAGCTTCCATTTTGAGAGACTTTTTGCTTTCTTGGGCCAGGCCTTCAGCCATGTTCTGAATTTTACATTTCCCATCTGTCAATGCTGATTCCATTTCATCACGAATTTGATTTTCAGCAATAATACGCTCAATTAAATTTTTGCGTTCCTGGGTGGAAAAAACATTAAAATAACTGTAACTGGTTTTAAAAATCATACTTAAGTGGGGTTCAAAGATGAATTAATTTAGTACTTTTTAGCATTTATTTCTAAATCTGACATTACCTTGCTGAACAACATAATTGCTTTCTCAATTGAATAAAATACATAAAATACTGTATATGAAAAGTTTATTAAAAATGGTTCCATTAAAGAATATAATACCTTAATCAACATTATTGCAACTTGTTTGTGCCGAGCGGCATTAGCTCTTTCTTCCTCCAAACTTGCAAGAGTCTTTTTAAGGTCTTTTTCTAATTTTTTGTTCTGGTTTTTTTCAAAATCAATCTGGGGAAGTTTAGAAAATTGCAAATATGTAAACGGATAAAAATATATAATCTATTTGCAGACTCCTCACACACTTTTAACTTTATTAAATCAAATGCACTTTTAACATAAACAATGTTTTATCAACTAAAAGTTGAAAAACACTTGAGCAAGATTGATTAACCTAATAAATTGTTTTAGTGTAGCTACAACTGAATTTTGTACATAAAATAAGAAAAATATTTTACTTCAGCTTTGAGTCTTTCCCTTTCTTTTTCCAACATATATGTTACATCATCTCCTTGGGCGGTGTCTTGTGCATGTTTCTGCTTTTCTTCTTCCAACTCACTACAAACCTTTTTTTTTTTTACAAAAACATTTTCAAAACAATTAAATTACAAAAAAATACATAAATAGAAATAATGTTTTCGGTCTGAATACTTATTTTGAATCAAGGTCAATTATTCAAATTTCTAGCAAAAAATAATAATGAAAGCATTACTATATGTTCCTAGTAGAAGGTAAAATATTCTTATTTATGCACTACTCAAAAGACCTATAAATAAATAATACTGATCATAAAGGAAACAAATAAATTTACCTTATGAAATCTCTTTTCAGAATTTCCTAATTGCTCTCTCATTTTGAGTTGTGCCTTTCTTTGTGTTGCTATTAAATTTTCTAGTTGTGCCAACTGGTTATCATACATGCTTTTAATAGCTGCTTCATCAAATCCTGTGTCATTTTTCCCTTCAGCATCTCGCTGAAGTGCTACAAAAGGATCACCTAGTCCAAAACGGCCATACTTTGCTTGATACAGGAGTTGCTTGGCCTTTTCAGCCTAGAAATAAAAGTTTTTTCTAATTAGTCTTTGCAAAAGTAGGATAAAATTTGTTTAGCTGTAATGTTTTTGATTTTGTGATTAAAAGAATTAAATCACTATTTCATGAAAATGAACTATTAATATAATCTGAGTTTTAAAAATCAAAATAAATATAAATCCTGAGTCATTCTCCCCCCCCCCCCCCCTTCTTTAATCTGAGTCTGAGAAAAAGCAGCATAAACTTTCTGAAATGCAATTCTGTCCAGTATGCCTGCAACTTTGAATTGTTTTGTGAAAACCTGTAGGGTTTTACCTAGAGATAAACTATGTTTTATGTGTTATTAACCTTTTGATGAATTCAATGAATAATCCAATCTTCAATAGCCAGAGCAAATGTATGGTCTCAGAGCGAGTTAATTATTTAGATGTACATTTGATGCTTACCTTAAGAGTTGCAATTGTGATATCTCTTGCTTGAAGCTCTCCTTCAAAGTAACTCAGCAATCTTAACAAATCAGTTTTACTCCAATCTGGACTTGGTTGCCTCTGGGGAAAAAATTTAAGTGGTACAAAACTTCATGAATTCTGAATGAAAATATTGTGCTGTTAAACTTTATTACAACTGTTAGTAACAACTAAAAAGATTTTTTTCAAGGAGGGGGGATTAATACCTGAAAATTGTTTTCAAACACTAACAGGTCCACACTTTAATTTTATAAAATACCTTTAAAGTACTGGATTGCATCTTGTCATTTATATTCCCAGCATCAAAACCCTGAACTGAACTGGGTTTTAAGTTTCTGGATGCCATAATTGTTTAAAGCTAACAATTTGTCTGTATAATCCTAAAGATAAAAAAAAAAGTGTTAAGCATTGTTTTGATACAAACAATAAAGAAGGAGTGTTAGGGTTAAGATTTGGAACCTGTGATATTAAATCGGCCTATGCCTAAATAGTCCTACTTCTACCTGTCAACATCAGTATGAGAAGTAGACCTACCCTTACCTAATCCTCTCTCTGAAAAGAATATCTATTTTGACAGAATCAATTAGAATGAAATAAAACATGTAGGCCAATGAAACCTTTATAATTGTAAGCTTTTAAATGCTCTATCAAATCACAATAGTCATTATTGTGACTTTTAGTTTAACAACTTTCAAATCATAACACTACACATACTTACTATTATACCAGGAATGAATAGGAAATGTTTTTAAATAATTTAGTTATAGGCCTAGATATTTAGGTCGATACTTAATATAGCTAGGTCGATACTTATAATATAGCCTATATTTAGAATGATAACAAATATTAATTCTATCCTAAGCCTAGGTTTTTGTGTTGTTAGAGCGACTCCAATGAGGGTTTATCTTATTGTTATTTGTAGGATTAGTCAGACTAGTCTTTTCGTATTTTAGTGGAAAATAGTCAACAAGTGGAATAGACATAGATCTACTACTAGTGATAGATAACAATGGACATCAACGAGTTGACAAAAATCCTCCCATCATTATTGTTTACAGGGATAAAAGCTGTGTTTTTGTTAATTTTGCCTAAATAGCAACCGTATAAAAATAAAAATCTCAAGCTTGAAAAAGTGTCAAATCTTTTAATATTTTAAGAATTAGGGCCTAATGATATGAAAGTTGCAAATGCAGAGAACTTGATAAAAAACTTTTGTGTTTACAGCATTTTTTCTATTTAATTTCATCAAGCCTAAATTATAACCTAGTTTCTCTTCTTTTGCAAGACAAGCATTGATTGGTTTTACTTTACAAAAATTCAGTGATCAATCTTCTGAACCTTAATTTGTAGCATTTTGTACTCAAAGCTTTGCAGATAAAAATTTTAAATAAAATTATGCTTTTCTTAAACCAAATGGCCTAGTTATGCCATGTTTACAAACATTTTCAGGGATAAAAGGAAAACAACCAAAGTGCGTTTGGCTTTTTTATTTATTTTGTTAAGTTAGGCTACCAAAAATACTAATAACAACAAATAACTCCAATCTTTAGTAGGCCTAAAGTCTGATAAAAATCAAATAGTACGATTTTTACAACCATAGTAATTTTAATATCACCGTGGGTCTAAGCCTACATGATTTTAAAAAATACCAAGTCTAACAGTTAAAAAATACTTAGACTAACAGGCCTTGCGAATAGTTTCTAAACTTTTTGTTGTTGTCCATTGCCGCATTAGAATTAGAAATAACACATATGACAATCTTCTTTGGGGTTAATCTTGGTAATCTCACTATATAGGCCTAGTGTCGGAAATTATCTGGTAATGTTAGTTGAGTTTTGTAAGCATGCATTACAATGTTTAGTACAGCAATAATTAGCATATACACTTAAAATAATTAGAAATACAAAATAATTAGGCCTAGCAAAACAGAAGGCTCTATTTAAATTGCAACTAAAATCAACCTATGCACATTTTTAGGGTCCCTAAACATGTAGGCATTGTAGGCCCCAAATAAAATATGGTTTACAGTACTTCCTGTGATTTCCGGAACAGGGTGACACACTCCACCACAGTTTTACTGTTTTTTACTGCTGTACCATTCCGGAATAATAACAGATACTAGGCCTATATCGTGAGATTACCCTCCTATATTCTTTTAGCTGGGGGGGGGGGGGGAGAATTTTTATAACTAACAGTGTCTGATAATACTAGTCGAGATTGCTATACTAAATACTAATACTTCTAACAACCCAACACACCTATTTCATGGAAGAGTCTATTATTAATTATCAGACATAGGTATCTGAGACATCCGAATTTCTATTTCTGGATTCTAACTAGATTCTAGATCTAGAATAGTTCAATTATAAGCCTAAAAAACTAAAACCCAAAAAAAGTAGGCCACTAAAGCCTAAAATTATTAATTTGGAATAATCTAGATTCTAGAGGTAATCTATCGTTTTGGGTACGTAAAATCGCCCGCGATTTGTAATGTGAAAAACAGGTGACTCCTTAAATTTTAATAATTATTTCACATTTTGAGGAGGATTTATGTATTAAAAAATTCAAAAATGTTTCCTTGATTCATTTATGTACCTGATTTTAAACAATTGAATTAAAACTTTTCCGTAATAAATGAAGACTAGCGATGTTTCCAACAGATGCAACCATGCTCATTTACTATAGCAGCCATCTTGTCTAAGTTTTATTTTTATAAGCTTTTAGCGCCAGATTCAGGGGGAAGCCACTCTATTTTACAAATGGCTGCTGTTTATATAGCAAATCTTGCTCTCAGACACTGCTGTTTAAAGTTAATTTCTGGCCTATATCGATATATTTAGCCATTGATTTAGGTTTATTATTCATTTATCTATAATATTTGACACAAAAGTATGACAATATACTTCTATTAAAGCCTTAACAATGAGGTAACGTTTTCGTACATAAATAGCCGCGGGCGATTTTACGTACCCAAAACGATAGATTACCGATTCTAGAATCTAGATATTCTATTTGTGATAAAGAAGCTTGTAATTATCTAGATCTAATCTAGTTTATTATTGAATCTAGATCTAGACTCTAGATCTAGTCTAGAGTCTAGATCTAGATCTCATAGAAAGTAGAAAGGAGACCAGAATTTGACTGGGAACTGTCGAGAACTTGGAGAAGAGAGAGAATGGAGATCTATAAATAAACTTTGTATCTTTAATATTTACACTTGACATTTACACACGAACATTTCAAAATGTAGTTCATTAAGCAAAGTTCAGGATTCGTAGCATTCAATTTCAAGTGCTAAGCTTAACAGTATACATTGTTTATATTCCTAGAGTGTTAAAATTCTATCTAATTTCGTGAGATGAAAGAAGAAGACAGCCATCTTTATCCATTTTATCACGTGACTTTTGTCAATAATTATTGCCAGTTTGAGCACTTCAAAAGAATAAGAGTGACGGTTTTGTGAGGCTATGAATATTATGATGCTTATGTCAGGGCTAACATTCATGACTTAAAACAAAGTATCTAATAAGTCTATAATCTAATTAATGCGAGTTTTCGTGGGAAAAAATAATTTTTTAAAACTAGACTTTACTAGACTCAATAACGTTTGATATGATTATGATAAACTATATTTTCTATAATTCGATCCGATAGCTTTTTATTTTTCTTTCATAGAATAGATAAGCATAAATCTATATAATTATTTACTCTGTTGAATTATAGATCTACTAAGATTAAAACTAAGCGATATGTCAATAAGGGATTGTGCAGGTAAAAAACAAACACTCCGAGCCAGTCCGAGTCTAACTTTACCACTATGACGTTTTATTATATTATTATTGTTCACCTCTTGATATTAGAGATCGCGCAAATTGTATAATATAAACATTATCTTTGGGAATGTTTTGAATGATGTTTAATGGAATCGTATGGGTTTTTAAAAGTGTCCGATTTTGTGTTTTATAATATGTGGAACTTCAAGTACCTCCATCCAGGGCGGTAATGCAGCTGGATACCGTGGTGATGGTGTTGGGTGGGGGGGGGGGGTGGCAGACCGTTTAGGGGCCCACAACTGACCATAAATAAAATAATTTTAGACTTTAAATGTTCATGCAATTCTGCATTACGGTTGTTTTGGAATTTTTTTTTTACTTTAACTGCGGTTTGATTATCTTAATTATACAGTCGCGCGCTCTTTCGTAAAAACCACCACACAAAATGTGTAAAACTTTAAATGACTACCGTGACTTGTTGCTCCCCTTTGCCCTTTGGTAGCTTCGAAGGTGTGCAGTGGAAGGAAAGGGGAGCGGAGGGGGGGGGGGGCAGACCGATTACTAGGAACAAGAATTGCTGCCAATTTTAATTATAAAAATATTTTCATAATTGTATTTTCTTTTCTTTTTGAAGCGCGGTGAAGGTCGAGTTATCTTTCTTTTTATAATAAAAAAAAACACGCAATCGTCGTCAAAATGATTGGGGTGGGGGGGGGGGTAGGGGGGATCAAAGTCCATATAAATTTGACTGAGATCGGTCAACATATGCATATATCTAGAATTTTAATACATTTCTATTAAAATTATTTAAAACAATTTTCTGAAACGCGAAATAAGGGCTAAAATGAAGTTTTCTAACATTTCTATTTTGTAATGTAAATGTCTGACGTCACATTATCTGAACCACCGCCCCCTCCACTCATCACACACCGTTACAAAGTTACGGATTCACTTTCTTATTAAAACGAGCTAGATCTATGTTTCTTCACCTTAATACAGGGGTCTCCAAACTACGGCCCGCGGGCCGGATGCGGCCGGCGAGATCCTTTCAGCCGGCTCAGGGAGTTCTTTTTGTCCTCGGAAAAAAGTGTTTGTTGGGGGTGGCTGAGGAACTTTGTCCAGAAAATTCAAAACAATTTTTTAAAGTAGCTTTGGGTGCAAATACCATTGCCTGCCGTGTTGCAGACATTGGTGAAAACAGCGTGACTCAAATAGCGAAAAATGCAAGCAAGTTTCGCCATTTTTCAACTGCAATGGATGAGTCCCTGGACAGCTGTTCCACCTCTCAACTGCTTGTGTTCATTAGAGGTGTGGATGAAGACATGAACACAACACAAGAGCTGGCTTCCCTACATAACACGTAGGGCACTGTTACCGGAGAGGATATATTCAATGAGTCTAAAAAAAAACATTAGCTGACTATAACTTGGACTGGACTAACCTCAGTTACCCGACTTTTGATGGAGGAAAGTAAGATTTACCATATTTCACAGCAGTATGATGGCCAGTGGCGTAGCCAGGATCGTCTCTAGGGGGGTCCAATTTTTACCCGGGGACAAACTTTCTATTTGCACCCCCCCTCAAACTTTCGATTTGCACCCCCCTCTCAAACTTTCGATTTGCACCCCCCCCCCCCTCAAACTTTCAATTTGCACCCCCCTCATACTTTTGATATATATACCGAGGGGTCTATGGGGGGGGGGGGGGGTTACGACATCCCTAACCCCCCCTGCCTACGCCACTGATGATGGCTAATTTGCGAGAAAGTATTTAAGTCAAGAAAGGAAATAGGTGACTTCGTGGAAGATAAAAGCAAGCCACAGCCATTAATGTCTGATGAAGAGTCGGTATAGAAATTGGCCTATGCTGCAAATATAACTGGTTATTTAAATTTTCTGAACCTAAAATTACAAGAGAGAGAAATCTTGTTTCTGATCTATACACCCACCTAAAGGCCTTCGATCCAAACTTGTCATTTTTGGAACATGTACAGGCCAACAACTTGACGCACTCTCAGCAGTGCAAGGTATTTACGGCTGACGCAACCACTGAGCTTCCCACGTCACTTGCATGCGAGATCATCAAATACATCCAGCTGCATTTTCAGTAGCGGTTTTCTGACTTTGATTCAAAGACAGAAGAAGTGAGACTGTTTCAAAACCCAAATGAAGCAAATATGGCCAGTTGCCCAAATGAACTGCAGCTGGAGGTCACTGAACTGCAAGCAAATGACCTCATTAGAGAAAAGTTCAAAGAAGGGCGCGTGGGTTTTTATACGTTTTTGCCCATGGAAGACTTACCTAATATTAAAACTGGTGCATCAAAGTGCCTTTCAAATTTTGGAACAAGATACCTGTGTGAACAAACATTTTCAAGAATGAAATAAGTGAAGAACAATTTGAGAACAAACTTTCACCTCGAGTGTGTTGTCAGCCCCGACAGTGTTTCAATCCGATTTTTTCTCCGGGCGGGGGGGGGGGGGGGGGGAGGAGACACTTGAAATTTGTATATATTTCTATATAAATTATATTTCGTTAGGGTGGGGGTGGTAGACTTTTCCCGGGGGTGTGTGGGGGGGGGGGGGGGGCTCTACCCCGAGGAGATGCCTTGAAGAAACTCTGGCCCCCGAACTGATATTTGATAGTTAATGCGGCCCTTGGGCTGAAAAGTTTGAAGACTCCTGCCTTAATACATCGGCGTTTTTTTATACGAAACACTTATTTTTGGGACTTAATTTATTCATCGGTCATTCTAAATAGTTAAATATCTAACTCGAAATAGATCTATTAGATAATGGGTTCCCAAACTGTGGGTCGTGACCCCCAGGGGGTTGGCGAAGGGCTTTCTGTGGGGTCGCCAACTGGTAGACTAAACCCTAAAAACTAAACTAAAAATACTATTCAGAGGCTTATAGCAGATATGTCAGTAGATGTTAAAGAACACATTTTGAACGAAATCAAACTTTCACGATTGCTTGCTTTTCAAGTTGATGAATCAACAGACGTGAGTTATCGTGTTCGCAGTTGCTTGTCTTTGTGAAATATATTCATTCAGATGATAGCAAGGAAGAGTTGCTAGTTTGTGAAGATATCATGGGGAAAATAAATACGTTTTTGAAACTGGATGATTAAAATGGGAAAACGGCTGTGGGGTTTGTACGGATGGTGCGCAATCTATGTTTGGGTCTAAATCTGGCTTTCAGAAAAAAGTAAAAGATTTAGCTCCCTAGCCAAGGGGAATCCACTGCATGATTCACCGGTATACCCTCGCCAGCAAGACTCTTCCGACTCCATTGCTAATAAAAGTCGTAAGTTAGAAACGAGCTAACCCGCTACGTAGCATATACCGCTATCTAGTTGTTTTATTTTCTACTTATCAACAATTCATAATTTGTTAATTCGAAAATCGTGTTTTTTTTTTTTTTTTTTTTTTTTTTTTTTTAAAGTTGTTCTTGGAAGTGCAAGGGAAACAAGACCTTTTGATATACTTTAACGACTAAGAGTGGTTGGAGACAGTAGCACACCTAGCAGATATATTCGAACATCAACATAAGCTTAACATGAAGCTTCAGGGAAAATGAACGAATATTATCTCTTTTCATGATAATCTCGGGGCAATTTTATCCAAGCTTCTAAATTGGCGAAGAAAAAAAACATCTTGGAAATATTGCCATGTTTGAGAAACTCTGCAGTGTGGTAGATAAATCTCATTGTGAGATAATTAAAAATTTGAAAGAGGAGATTTCTGGCATCTTGAATCTCTTGAAAACGAACAGCGCACTTATTTCCCTCAGCTGAAAGTTAAGAATCTACATCGGCACTTAACCTATTCGCTGCTTCCATTGATGTTATCAGCATTTCCAATGAAGTACAAAGAGGAATTCTTAAATTTGCCGAATTATTCCGTGTCACGTACCGTGTTAAATGAAAAACTGCTCACAATATTTTGGTATGCACCATTCATACCCAAACGTGAAATTGATTGTTTTTCGAGTTTTAGTTCCTCTTGTGTCTACATTTCTTTGCGAGAATAGATTTTCAACACTTCTCCAATTAAAAACAAAACAAAGAAATAAATAAATGTTGAGAATGACATAAGGATGGCGTTGTTGTTAATTAACAAAAACTCAACCTCGGATGTTTAGTTAATAGCATGAAATTTTACTCATCGAATTAAAACAGTTATCAAGAATAATTCATTTTGAAAGTCTACTAGAATCTAGAAATTATTTTTTAGTGCTTATTAATTTACTTACTAATTTCGAATTTTTAAAAATTCTATGGGGGTCGCGGGTTACTATTTATAAAAGGGGATCGCCATTTGAAAAAATTTGGGAACCACTGTATTAGATCTTCAAGAGAGAAGTTAAATTTTAAATTTAAAGGGCTGTAACTCTTTAATATTTGGCTAAAATAATTTGTTACTGTTTTGATTTCCCATAGATTGCATACAAGTCTAGAAGCTAGATCTAGACTCTAAATAAAGATAACAAGCCTAGTGGCCTAGTGAATAAAAATTTAAAAAATAAGTTAGGCCTAAATATTAAATAGAATTACGCCCCTCTAACTAAGAATCATAGACTAAGAAATTTAGATTTATCTAGATCTAGAGATCTTAACTAGATCTAATAACTAACTTTAACTACTAAGCCAAATGAGAAATAACTTCTACTTCTAACTTATTTTTTTTAAATTTACAATGGGTGCCTACCTAGTCTAGTCTAGTGAGTAAAAAAAAAGTAGTTTACTCATCACTCATGTGTTGTATTTTTATTTTAAATATTTTTTAGTAGGCCTACTAGATCTAGATCATCTACTAGATCTCTACGTACTACTATGTTACATTAGTTAATAATATTGTTAATAAATCATTCATTCATCATTGTTAATAACTTAATATTGAATATTTTTGTAGTTTATTTCTCAATCTATAGGCCTAATCTATAGTCCTATTATTTTTTTAAAAATTTACTTTGTATTGCCATCTTCCACTTAATTGTTTATCAGTTTTATTTTAGTAATGGGAAAATATATAAATATTCAATTCCTGATGAGTTTTGTCTGATAATAATATTAATATGAGAATGGGCCAGCTTTTAAGATAAAGTTATTTATTAACTGTAGCACCAGAATTTAATTTGTAATATAAGAGGCCTACTTATCTTATAGGCCTGCAATAAAAATTACTAATTTTACATTATTTTCTTATGCAGCAGCTGAACAATAAAATGTTGATTATTGGAAGTCATCGAAATATTGCCAAGGCCTGGTCACATAGTTACGCATTTTCTATTTTTGTGCGGAGAAAATCTTCCAGCATTAATCTTAATGAAAATGCAACACAAGTGGAATATAATAATGCGCATCCCTTTTCTTCAATACCAGGGCCGGGTGGCTTGCCTTGGTTTGGCCAGTGGCTTAAATACAAACTTAGTAAGTAATTATTTAAATTGCCTTAAAAAATGATTGAGTAGGCCTATTTAATTTTGTCTGTGTTTAAAACCAAGATGTGATAGATAAAATATTCATGTAAATGATTGTGGCAAGATCATCTGGCTCTTTAGGAAATCAATTTTAGTATATAAAAAGTAAAGTTTCATTTATGATCTGATGGTGCATAGAGCAGCTTACACAAATTTCAGGATCCTCTGCCTTTGCCTTAGCAATTACAGGGATTCCATGGTCAGCGCTATGCCCATCCACTTTTACTTTCACAGATTTTATTCGGGTATCTATTTGATGGGGGGGGGGGGGGGGGGTGAAAATGTGCCAAGTCTGGGTACCCAGCCCAAGACTTTCTTTTTTTAATAAGAAATTAAGTGATAAAGTTTAAGTAAGTTTGAGAAATATATGTTAAATTTATGCTACATGTTACTTAACACAAATGTGTCATATTAGAATAGTATGTGAGAAATAAAGTGACTTGCACATGCTATGTTTTAGATCCCAAAAAAGTTCATCGACGTGACCTTGTACTAAAAGAGTTTTATGAAAAGTATGGAGACATTGTGAAGGAGACTGTAGCAGGCAGAACGATTGTACATTTGTTCAATCCAGATTACATCAAACAGGTATTGATAAGTGAATCTTATATAGTTTTTTCACATTTTAAAAGTTTTGGTAAGTGCTTGTTTATAAACTTCAATTATTTTTCTTAAATTAGTTTTAAACATAGTACTGAAATTGATTAAAATTTTCTGATCATTTTAATTTATATAATTATTTTATACCCTCCTATTAATGGTTGATTCACTAATTTACAGTAATATTTTTTAGGTGAGATTAATTTTGTTCTCAAATTTTGTACTTTATTTTCCATGGCCTAGATTTATGAAACTGAAGGCAAATACCCATTAGTTCCACCATTGCTTGAATCAGTTGAATTTTATCGTAGGAAAAAAGAATTGGCACCTGGGTTAGGAAATAGGTAACAAGAATCGATCTTTTGATTATTTTCTTTTTACATTATGATATATGATACTTATTTTTAAAATTATGTGTATAAGTATATAGAAAAAAGGGCAAGAAATAAATATTCATAGTTTTCAGTGATGAAGAAATACACTGTGGTGAGAACTAATATCAATCTCTTAAAAGTTAGACAGTGTGAAAATTGAACTGCTGTATGGATACAATTATATAGTTTAAAAATAGCAGTGTACTTACTAATAAATATTTTTTTTTTTATTATTAATACAAAATTGTACAATATATCAAAATAGAACAATAAAGAAAATGTCTTTTTCACTCAGTAATGGAGAGCAGTGGTACAGGCTTCGCAGCATTGTCCAGCATATAATGTTAAGGCCACTGAAGTCCCTTGATTATCTCCCTGCACAGAACAAAGTAGCCAATGATTTTATCAACAAGTTGCCAAGTTTAATTGAAAACAATGGAGAAGTTTCAAATTTCAACCGGTGGATAGCTCGATGGGGATTGGAATGTAGGTAGAAGTATAAAATTTGCTTTAATAAGTAAAACTGTACAGTCGATCACCGTATACTATACACGTCTAAAAACTATTCTTTATGTTAATTTTATCAGAACATGTATAGTGGGGCCTATTCGCTTATTGCAATGTTATTTTTTCTAGACATTTATCGTATCACACTAGTAAAACCTGTTTTACTCTATGGAGCCGAGACATGGAGAATAACTGCTATAAATAAGAAGAAAATACAATCATTTATAAACGCATGTCTCAGAAAGATCCTGCGAATTCGCTGGCCTAAAACCATCAGAAATGATGTTCTATGGCAACGGACAAATCAACTGCCAGTGGAAGTAGAGATCCTCCAGAGAAAATGGAAATGGATTGGCCACACACTCAGGAAGCCTGTATCCAGCATAACAAGACAGGCCCTCACCTGGAATCCACAAGGCAGGAGGAAGAGAGGCAGACCAAGAAAGACCTGGAGACGTGACCTGGAAGAAGACACCAAGAAGATTGGATACACCTGGGGACAGTTGGAGAGACTAGCCCTGGACAGAGACGTCTGGAAAGCTCTTGTCAGCGGCCTATGTCCCAGTAGGGACGACAGGCAAACATGACATGACATGACATGACATTTATCGTATACATAACTGTAAATGTGGTGTAATAAACTATTTTTTTATCTTAAAGTTTAACTTGAGAAAATATGTTTTTGGTTTTTCTATTCATCAGCTGCTGCCAATAACTGCTTGGACAAACGAATGGGCTACATGGATGAAAGTGGTATGGCTGCTGGTGACAAGATTATTGACACTAACCATTCTGTATTTGAACTGTCAATCAAACTTTATTTTGCCATTCCATTCTACAAATTGTTTTTCACACCAAGCTTAAAAGAACTTTTTGAATGTGAGGACTTTATTAATGAGTGAGTATTTGATGTTAAAGTTTTAAATTATTAACATTGTTTAATAAGTCAAGCGAGTGTAATGCATATGTTTTTGGTAATTTGCTAAATGATAAGCAACACAATTAGATGAAATACAAATAGCAGTATTATTTATGACTTCACTCTGGTAAGTCATCAGATGATAAGTGATTATTTAAACTCCATTCACCTAGTTCACTAAGTAACACCAGACATTAGGGGGTGCTACTTATACAATGCTAGGCACAAGTTAATTCCCTTGTATATTTTGATATACTACAATACATATTTACAAATTGAAGTCGAATAAAATATTTTTTTTTTTGCAAAGTGAAGCATTGAGGCTGACTAACATAGCCATTGAAGAGTACAAAGAAGCATTTGAAAATGGAACGCTCACAGAAGATAGATTCAGATTTTTGTCCTACATGCTGAGCAACCCAGAAATGACTAAAAAAGACTTGATGCCTGTTGTTTTATCTGTTTTAACTGATACTTTAAGCACAGTGAGTTTTATAGCTGAACTTCTCATAGAACAGTAGTATGGACTCAATGCATAAAAAATAAACTTTCATGAAATGGGTTTGAAGGATTCTTAAGATTTAAATAATGCTCTTTGTGTTGAAAATATGGTAATTTACTATCATCAACATTCTATTAAAATTATTTCAGACATCACAAATCCTCTTGTGTAATTTGTATAACTTAGCCTGCAACCCCAATGTACAAGAAAAAGTTTACGAGGAAACCAAGAAAATACTTCAAAATGGGGATCTTACATCAGATGGCTTTAGCTCTGCCACTTACATCAAAGCTTGTATAAAGGAAAGCTTCAGGCATGTATTTTATTTCAATCTAGCTTTTATTTCAGTTATAAAAAATTATGTATTTAAGTGCCTACTACTTCATTAAAATTTCTAATTTTTTTAAAACAAAATATAAAGACGAAATAGGAAAGACAATTTTTTTTATTGAGTTGTGAAGGGGTTTTATTGAAATATCTTCTACTTCTTAATCGTGCCTAAGACACATGGGGCAGATGAAGTAGAGTTCATCTGATTCATTGACCTTAGCATTTGAAGGGATAGTGTGGTCAGCACTATGCCCAGCCGCCTTTGTTTCCCTAACGTAAGTTAGGTACCCATCAGAGCTGGGTGGACTCAGGGACGTTCCACTGATTTGAACCCTGATTCGAACCCGAGACTCTCGGGTTAGCGGTCTAGCTCTCTACCCCGAGGCCACGCCGTCCATTTGGAAATATCTACAATTAACAAAATTTCTAACATATTGTAGAAAAGCAAGGTACATGGTGATCAGCAAGACCAGAATTTTAGTTTGATTCCACACTTTTTCACTCACACCAATGGGACATAACTTATCTTTGATTAAAAGATGACAGGGTGTTGTGTTTGTTTCACACAGACAATCTGCTTTTTTTTGCTCACGTAAAAGATCTCAAATAAGTACTTTTTTAAACCAGTTACACATATTGTGTGGGGCAGCATAGTCAAAAGGTAGAACGTTTGGCTGCTAGCCTATAGGTCTTGATTTCGGCTCTGACTTGTGACTAAAGGACGTCCTTGAATCCACCCAGCTCTAATGGATACCTGACTTAAGTTGGGGACAGTAAAGGTGGATGTGCATAGTGCTGACCTTACCATCCCTTCATATGCCACGGTCAAGAAACATATGAACTCTACTTCATCTCCTCATTAGATTGCTGGGTCTCAAGAGGAATCTTTAGACACATAATTTAAAATATGACTTTTTTAATCAGGTTATTCCCTGTAGGCCTGGATATATTAAGACTATGTCCTTCTAACATGGTAATTGGAGGCTATCAAGTACCAGAAAGAGTAAGTTGTTTTTATAGATAAAAACAATGCATACCTTAATTAAATATTTTAAGTACATTATATAAAAACAAAGCAAGTACAACTATCCACAATCTCTTGAGTAATGTTTTGGTAGTATGAAGTTAGTAGTTAAATTGTATAGTTTAAACGATCCTAAATCACTAACCAATTAGAAAACATTTTTCCCTACATATTAGAAATAGTATTTATGTGATTCCGTTTTTCTCACTTTAAATTTTGCTTAAATTTTAGATCTAGATCTAGGACTTTATTGTAAATATAAAAATTAGTTTTCTAAAATGAAGCCTACTTTTGTTAAAAATATTAATATTAGTTAGATATTTATCATCAGAATAAAGTATTGGAACAGTCACACAACCATTTGAATTATTTTTTTGAAAAGCAAATTTTTCCCAAAAAATAAAAATGCTATATACTATAGTACTATGTCATATCAAAATAATATATTTTTCCCAACATGTAAAACTATTTTTTCCCCAGACCTACTTATGTTTAAACAACTATATTCAATCTCTGGATCCTGATGTCATACCTGAGCCCCAGAAGTTTATACCTGATCGTTGGCTCAGGGAAGAATACAGTGAGAAACTGCATCCTTACCTCTTGACTCCATTTAGTCTTGGAAGAAGAATGTGCGCAGGTATACAACTAGCAAAAATTTAAATAAAAAGCAATTACACACAATTTAACTGAAAAGATTAATGACCATATTGTTAAAAATTTGCAGTAGTTTATATAGCGTCTGTAAAAGTTAAAAAATATACTTCTAGGGATTATAAAAATATTTTTTTAAACTAAGCTGAATATTTTTTGCACTTAAATTTCTTCATAGGGCGTCGTTTTGCAGAGCAAGAATTAGTGATTATGATTGCGAAAATACTTTCTCGTTATCGACTTGAATGGCACTACGGAGAGGTCCATCAGAGGTATCGTCTGCTGCTCATTCCAGATCAAGAAATAAAAATTAAGTTTGTTCCTAGATAAGAGATATAAATATGGAATGAAAACACTAGTACCTGTTGATGTTATAAAATGTGCATAATTTTTATATGTTTGGGCGGTTCAACATTTTTAACTTTACAACTAGAAATTCTGAAGCCTTGTATATAACCTTTTACATCATTTTCCAATAAAGGAATAATTTTTAAAACAAAATGTTTAATCTAATCGACTTTTGATTCATATATCTATTACTTAAATTGATTTTTTTAAAAAGTAATATAAATATTGCTGGATCGAAAGCTTTTTAAAGGATGTTAGAGGAAATGTATGGTTAGCTGAGTCTTAGAGGACAGAGAAATGTTAACCAATGTCCATTTTATCTGCAAGTGTCTTATTGGCCCTCATGAAACAGGATTTTACAAAATAAAATCTGAGATGACTCATTGACCCCTAACAAAAATGTTACAAATTGGCCCTTGACAAACTGACATCTAAAAAGGCTGTTGAAAATTTGATATATACTGGGGCTCCTTTTTTTTTTATTTCTGCCACTGTAATATTGAATTGCCAACACAAAAATATGTACTTAATTCAGTATTAAATACTAATGTGGTCTGTCGATGTTTTTGACAAATACACTAGTTGCTTCTTAGTCACTTTTTATTCTTTTTTTATTTGATAAAATAGACATTGATAATGTTCTCATTATATTTTGTTGGGATTCACACATTTTTAAACATGTCCGTCACTAAAACATTGTATGGAAGTGCAGGAAGCATGTTTTTATTTCTCTAACAATTGTTTGAAGAAAAGGTATATTACAAAACGCTCTAAGTTTTAAACAATTTTTTTTATTCCTTTAGAAAACTCTAAAAGGACTTGGTAAAAAATTATTTGTGTGTGCATTCCTTGGGGTTTTATATAATGGAACATTACTTTTTTAAAATTTCTACATTTTAATACAACCTGTTTTTATGATAATTACTGTCACTCAGTACAGTGGTTCATTCATTGGCCCTAAATGTCCCTGTGTAACTAACTCTATTTGTTTAAATGTTTTTTACCATTGTTTAAATAATAAATATGCTGCAATACACAATTTTTGTGATATGGTAATGTATACAAATAATATTGGTCATATAAAACCACACATTCAAACTTAATATTTTAAAATGTTTTTATTATACCAAATTAATATCTACAAATTACTTATGGTTTTTATTTACTGTGTTAACCTTTACTTTTAAGAGATGGTTAATGACAAGAATTTCTATTCTCAGGGTTCTAATAGCATTAGATTAATCAAACTGTCTAAATTGTAATCAATAAACAGACTTTTAACTAATGTTTTTTGTTTGTATTTTTTTAATATTAATGTTACAAACAGACAAGGACAGAAAAAAATAGTTTCACTTTGTGTAGATTCATAAAGAAATATTTATTGATTGGTCATTTTTTTAGTCAACTTTGTATTACAAAACAAGTCTGAATGTCTAGTTATATCCAACAATGTGTAAACAAATTATTTTTGTACTTATTGTGCTATAAAGTATCATTGCCACTGATGTTAGTATTTAAGGTCGTAGTAGCTGGTTGTTGAATTACTGTAGTGGAAGGGACCCCACTTAAAACTGCAGTACGAATCCCTCCAACAGAGGAGTCTTCTGTTTTTGTTGAGCTGCCCTGAATAACCACAATCTTCTGAGTGCCGGGGGCATTGCTGGTGGTCAGTGAAGACTGCTGGGTGGTGACAAATTTGACCAGGGGCGTGGTCTGTGTTGGCGGTGCTATCGGAGTCGAGGGTCTTGCTTGAGAGACAATGACAAACTTCTGGCCGGGGATGCCAGTGGGCGTGGAGGGCATAGAAGGCAGTGGCCTTGGGTTGAGAGATGTTAGCGATGGTGATGGATTGAGGAACGGTGAAGAGATTAGAGGAACTGGTGTGTTGGGCTGCTGCTGGATCACGATTTGAGGTGGGCGCTGAAAATGTAAGGAATTCAAGAAATAATTAACACCTGCATGTATTGTGTAGCTGAAGAGAAGAGCTGAAATTTCAGTCTAATACTTTTCCAAATTTTAAAATATTTTCTAAAATTTATTTGATCTGATTTTATAAAAAAAAAAATTAACAAATTTAAAATATATAATTTTATTTTAAATGTGAGATTAATTACTTGACAGATTAATAAAACAGCTATTTAAAATTTTAACACTTTTATTTTCAAATATGGGCTGATCATGCATACCAATTTCAAAACAGATTTTTCTATGACCCTTAATAACTTATCTTGGCCAAATTGGTTTACGAAAGTCTGATTTGGCATTGAACCTATTAAAGAAATTTACTTACCTGGGATAATTGTAAAGTTGAGCGAGGGGCTGCTAAGGCATGAATGGCAGATGTTGTGGCAGTTAAACTTTTCTCTTTTTGCAAAAACATTGAGAACATTAAAGGCCCAAGGTAGCCATAGGCCACATTGAACTCATCAACATTTTCAGTACTGTTGTGAAAAGTTTTCAGCACAGGAGGTAGATATTTCTAAAATAAATAAAAAATTTAAATATAAAAATAATATCTGTAACCATAGTAATGATTTTTAGAAGTTTTTATTTAAGTCTACCAAGATATTTACTTACCAGGAGCTGCCTTTTTATATGTTCTGCAGCTATTTTATCCACATTCAGAGCTGTCCCTTCATTAACTGCTTTTATACGATCACCAAGAATACAGATGTAGGGAAGCAAACATGACTTTATCACCTTCAAAAGAGAAATGCAGTTATATCTTAAAGCTTTTGGATAAACATTGGCATTATAAAATAATTTATAAAGGGGATATGCTATGTTTTTTTTCTATTTTTTACAGTTTAAGATCTAAAGCCTTTTGAACACTTTTATCATATTTGGCATATAAAAGTAAGTATTAAACAGCAACAAAAAAGGTCGAAAACATTTTTGGTTGTCATGGAAACCCAAAAAACCCCCGCCATTTTGAATTTTTCGGTACTTTTAAAAATACTAAGGCTTTTTTATTTATGCACCTATAGCAATCAAATTTAAACTGCTTATATTTCAGTATATATTAAAACTTTTGTCAATCACAATTCCCTCGTGACAAAGTTGTATTTTCGCATCAAGAATATTTACTGAAAATATGGTTGGACAACTTTTTGAAATAATTACTAGTAAGAATTTTACAAGGTCTAAAAAATCGTACCCTTTTTAGTATTCAATAGTTTCAAAATGTGCATATTTATTACCAAATACTTTTTTTCTATGAAAGCAATCACAATTCCCTCGTGACAAAGTTGTATTTTCGCATCAAGAATATTTACTGAAAATATGGTTGGCATTGTTTAATAAATAAAAAAGTAGTAGGTTTTTTAGTGTTAAAAACGTGCGAACTGAGAAAAACAGCCAAAAGTAACGAAAACTAGGTCAGAAAAGTACCATATCTGTGTAAACTGCAAAGCCAATTGTAAGATTTGGGTGCTTCCGAGATGTAGGAAATTAAGTTTATTAAATACATGAGAAATCCAGCTTTCCAATGATGTCAAATACAATATAATGACGGATATAAAACTTTTCATAGAGAGCTTGTAAGATTGGGAAAAATTGATTATTTTTTAATTAATAGGGTCATAAAAATCGTAATTCAAACACATAAAATATTTTTTTCTCTTTAAAGTTATTATTTTCTTTATACAAAAATGGACAAAGTATCCAAAAATGCAAGAAACCCATCATGACGAAAAACAAGAAATTTTGTGATTTTTTTTCCACGCATATCCCCTTAAGTATATATTATTACAGTATTTCCGGACTGTTCTAAAAGTACTGACAAAAGTATGAGACAAACTCAAGCATGATAAACAAAAACAAAGAAAACAGGTAGATAATGTGTATATACCTCAGGACCCAGCTCACCCAGACCTGCCAGTGCTCCATATATTGTAGCCAAGGCTGCAGCTTCACTTTGGATAGCTTTGCTAAATTTCTTGGTTACCCTTGCCTGGATATTATTAGTGTTGTTACTGTAATTTCTGAAATATCAAAATTCATAATTATTTTTTACACTGCAACATTTAAGATGAACAGACAAGATTTCAAAAAATTAAAACAGATTAAGCAAATCAGATCCCTGCATGTTAATAAATTCAAATATAATAAATGCTCTGAAGCAATTTTTATTTTAATTACTCAAGACTTAAAATAATAAACAGTAAAATGCTAGACATATTTGTTTACCTGCAGATCTGGGCCACAAGACGTGCAGCAAAATCCCTCAAAGCCCAATGGTTGTCCATGTCAGGTCTCAAGCATAACTGACGACTCACGACACACGTCATGACAGTTGGTAGCAAGTCATGAAGCTGACAAAGGAAAGATTGGAGACACAATTCATAGAAGGAAAAAATTGAGTGGGCAAGTGGGGTAAACCTTAATAACAGTGACTACTTGGAGAATATTTGCCATTTTTTTACGTTGGATATGTAATGTGCTGTGTATATATAAAATATTAAAATGTCGTAAAATGCAATTTTTGAATAGTCAACTAAAAATGAAAATAATGGAAACACCTAAGATACTTTTAAAAATCAGTTTTAAGATGAATACATTTAAACATAAATAACCACTTCAATCTTATAGGTATCAAAACAGGACAGAAAAAAATGTATACTCACATATTTGTCTAAATAAATTGTTTGGTTGTCTAGCAGTGATTTGACCATCCTCATAAGATAAATCAGGAGGGCCAAATTATTTTGTACTGCATTAATTTTCACACCCTCAGATGCAAAGGCAACAAACCTAGGCAACATCTGATGGAGACCAGGGTCACACTGCAAGCTCTGTAGGGCTTCCTTTAAGAGTTACAAGAGAAAACATTTTTGTTACATCAGAAACGTTTAGAGATTATTTGTTTCAAATTTTAAAATCATTAAAATCTCTTAGCTTGAAAAGTTAGCTCCCAGAAACCCACAAATGGAATTATAAAAGATTGTCTAGTCTCAAAATCCCCCCCCCCCCCCCCCCCCCAAACATAGATTTTCCATAATAATCGCACAATAGTTATAACGTGAATTATCACCAAATTTATTGCCAATAAAAAAAATGTTGGAATGCAATATTTCTAATTTACTTAGTAATAATCTAAAAATCCTATAAAAGGCTTGCAAAATTATGTTAAGAGTATCTGCAACTTTTTTTAAATAATGATTTTTAAATAAATAATATTTAATAGCCACAGCTCATGGGTTAGAGTGTATCCACACCCTAGAGCAAACAATCACTGCCCACTATCATGGGGGCCAAGTAGTTAGTAGGCTGACTTAGTAGTGCAGGAAGAGATATGCTGTTAGATGAATGCAGTCAAAAGTTCCTGACAATAGAGCTGTGTGCTAACTAACTGAATGTAAATCACTGAACCAGGAAATAAAAATTACCAACTCTGAATTTATCAGTTTCTAAAAGATTTGACTTTTTGTACTTGGCAAAATTGTGACTTTTTCGTTTCAACCCTAACACTATATCTTTAGTATTTAAAGTATGAAGTTAGAAATTGTGCGGCAAGAAGTTAATTCTCTGAAACTCACAATGGCAGTTATAGTTAAAGTCATTGCTTTTAGCAGCTTAATCAGTTTTTTCACTATTCCACTGAAACATTTTTCCCATCCTATTACAATCTTCCAGTATGCAGTTACCTACAATTAATCACAATCAACAACAAAATAAGGAAATAAAATATATAAAAGCTTACAGATCTCTTTTGCTCATCTGGACCAACACAGCTTTCTGTTATCTCCTTATAATAAAACTGTTGCTCCTAAAATAGAAAACATATGTAAGTTAGAAATAGGCAAGTGTTATTTTCACAAAATTTAAATAAATCAACTTGGAAATAGGCAAATTATTTTTTAACAGATATGTGATGTCAGAAGTATAAATAAAAAAAAAAAACAACAAATGCTGCTGATATAATGTAAACTTACTACAGACAGCTCATGAGTAGCCAGATTTTTCAACATCACACTCTCTTTGTGCTTGTGGTGATGCTTGTGTTTGTTGGAATCTGGGTGGGGACGTTTCAAGGGCCTGTTGGCTCCAGTCTTTATAGCTGTGTCTAGTATTTCTTGTTTTTGCAAATCTTTACTTGCAGGTGGGGGGTTCTCGGGTAAGGCTGGCTGGGTGCCCTCAATGGATAACCAGTGAGCTACCAAATAAATTTCAAGGTTAAGCACAATACGTTTTTATCTAGGGAAGTTGTAACTCATGCTAATTGGAAACTTTAGTTTTACTAACCTTTTAATGAGACTTCAATTGGTATTTTGGGAAGAGGATCACTAACAACTGCATGCAGGTCCACTTCCTTTTCCTCTGTAAAATATATTTCTCTACCTCCGCCGCTCGCATGCCGAAATGGGATATTGCCTTCTTTGCTCGTGTGACCATATACTGGCTGAAGATTTGAATTATAGATAGAGTAACTGATTATTTGGACAGAAGGAAAATACAGTTGGAAATATAAAATGAACAGTTATCCAGAAGAATCATCACTCAAATTTGTAGTTTTAATATTGCTGGAGAGATTATTTTATGGACAATAGAGAAAGCAAACACAGTAAACAGTCTAAATGGTGCTTAACTTGATCCATAACATGTGGTCTTCAGGATTGTAAAAAAAATTGGGTTGCTTATGATTAAACTATATTGAAAAAGTATAAATTGTATAGTCCAGTGTTTTAACTACATTTGTGTTTGGTAAGCTACGATGGTCTTCAAGTCTCAACGCTAAATTTTTAAAAACCCCAACAAAAAAAACCACAGTGAAAACATGCACTTCAGGCCCACCTCAACATTTTTCATCTGCAATGCTTGATCAAAATCTGTGCACATCAGCTTCAAGCGTTTACCATGCTGTCTCAACTTTTCAGCTTCCTAAACAGATGACACAATTAATATCAATTACAGAACAGTTCAAAATAAAATCAAAACCTATGCCAAAATAATGAGTCATTCTAGAAATCCACACTACGTATGAATGAGAATTGTGAATGTCAGTTAAAAATAAATCAAACAATAGATAACACAATTACAAGTTTTTAAAAATTACCATACCTGTACAACAAGTTTTAATCGGTATGATATATCTTCAGCTAAAAAAGATGAGGCTTCATCTGCTAATCCTGATATACCTATAGATTCTGCAATGACTCGAATAGATTCTGATGACAAAATAGATCCAAATCTACTTTCAGATGCCATTTGAAAGAATATAAAATCCACAAAGATCACTTGAGGTAAATCATGCTGTTTTTCTTTTTTTCTTTAATCCGAGGCAGGTGTAAAATTTACAGATGCTAAACTGTAATTGCACAATCAATGTGGAGACTCATCATTACAAACATCTTACATGTCCAGTAATCTAGCATGTGTTAAAAAACTTGTTTTGCTTAGTAGATCAAAAAGATGTCCATCATATAATTACTTCTAAATCCATGGATGCCTACTTGATTTCAGGATGGTGAAGACCTCAACTGCAACCAATGAAGTATTAAGGAATTTATGAAAATAAAATTCTAACCATACCTACAGTAACACATTCATACTCTTTAGTAGTCTTTGAGTGAGATCCCCATGAGTATATGGAAAAATGGTGAATATTACTAGCCTACTTTTATTATCATATACTGCTTAAATTTAATAGCAATGTATGAGTATGTAAATTATCATTACTCACTAAAGTACAAGTTACTTTTTGAACCTGATGGTCGATGGGCAGATAGAGTTCACCAGTTTCTGTGACTAGTGTGTATAAGGGAAGAGTGTGGTCATTATACCCAGCGGCCTTTACTCTCCCTTTCCTGAGTCTGGCACTGATCAGATCTGGGTCGACTCAGGGACACAACTCACTGACTAATGACAAACAATAGGTGTTATTTGACATAAAATGTTATGTTAAGAAGGGAGTAGTCGGGAGTTTAAGGAAAGAAAACGGTGGAATAGGGTGGAATGATGTTTCAATGAAATTTAATCCTAACTTTAAACTAACTTAGTAGATATTCTTGCTAAATCTAAACTTTACTCAATTTTCAATTTTAACATATCAGTGAATAATAGACATCCATATTTAATCCAAAACACACTAATTTTGAGGGTTTTAGCTTGTTTTAAACTAAATTACTCATTTAAAATTTATTCTCACTCATAGCCATGGCACACCTTTCCATTACAACCATATTAAATCACCCTTGTGTTTGAAGCCACAAATTGGGTTTTACTTTTTTAACTGCCAATGCAAATAACGGTCACGTGGTTTAAAAAAAAAAAAATTTGGTTGTCGATTAAAAGTTCTATTATTTTTAATGAAACCAACTTTTAAATTTAGCCTTCATTTTCCAAAACAGATTTCAAAATGCTTTTCTGGCATATATAGCTCTGCCACCTATAGCTTGTTTTTATAACATGAAAAACCCACCATTTTGCCTTTTTAAACATTTTTTAAAAGCAATTTTAAGAAGGTCATTGGAACTAAGACAAAAAATTGATTTAAGTCATGCACCCCTTGTGGACGCCATATTGTTGTAAGCAACCAGCCCCCACCTCCAGGGCAGCGAGCATACTATTACTTAAGACTTAAGGATAGACTGACCTACCCAACTGAAATTCTAGCTTCTTCTTCTTCGTTCTTAATTGCGACTTGCAATGTGAAAAACAGGTGACTCCTAAAATTTTAATAATTATTTCACATGTTGATGAGGATTTATGTTTTAAAAAATTAAAAAATGTTTCCTTGTTTCATTTAAGTACCTGTTTTTAAACAATTGAATTAAAACTTTTCAGTAATAAATGAAGACTAGCGATGTTTCCAACAGATGCAACCATGCTCATTTACTATAGCAGCCATCTTGTTTAAGTTTTATTTTTATAAACTTATAGCGCGAGATTCAGGGGGAAGCCACTCTATTTTACAAATGGTTGTTTAAAGTTAATTTCTGGCCTATTGATATATTTAGCCATTGATTTAGGTTTATTAATCATTTATCTATAATATTTGACAAAACATATCACAATATACTTCTATTAAAGCCTTGACAATGAGGTAACGTTTTCGTACATTAATAGCCGCAGGCGATTTTACGTACCCAAAACGATAGATTACCAAAAAAACATAGGCGTAGGCCAGGGGTCGGGAACCTTTAGATACGCAGGAGCCAAAAGTTACAATTTACAAACTTTCCCAGTTTTTAAAGAGCCACAACATTTTTAGTTCAATATTCGGTATTTGATTAGGATTAGGTAAATAAAGTTGGTTTGTTATTTAAAATAGTTTTAAATATGAAATAATATTTGTTCATATAAAAACAGACAAGTTTCGCTAGAATAGTAAAATTAGTAATAAAATAATATTATTCTAGGACTATCTCAATTTACTTTAGAAGCTGGTAATTGTTATTTTATTTTTTCTTTACGAATATCACCAGCTCAGGAGGTGTCTCCCATTAGCCAGTCAGGCCTCAACACGGCAAACGCCTTCTAACTGGCTTGGATATCAGTTTGAATAACTTGCATTGTTCGCTTCTATCCTTTGGCCTTTGGTTCTCACCAGGCATATCTTCCAACCCACTGAACGCAGGGTAAAGTCGTACCCCACCGTCCAGTAAAATTGAAATTATATAACTATTAATATTTGTGCAAGGAGCTGGAGAGCCGCATCTGGACGTCAAAAGAGCCGCAGGTTGCCGACCCCTGGCCTAGGCCTATAGAAAAAAAACAGGTAATCTATCGTTTTGGGTACGTAAAATCGCCCGCGGCTATTTATGTACGAAAACGTTACCTCATTGTCAAGGCTTTAATAGAAGTATATTGTCATACTTTTGTGTCAAATATTATAGATAAATGAATAATAAACCTAAATCAATGGCAAAATATATCGATATTGGCCAGAAATTAACTTTAAACAGCAGTGTCTGAGAGCAAGATTTGCTATATAAACAGCAGCCATTTGTAAAATAGAGTGGCTTCCCCCTGAATCTGGCGCTAAAAGCTTATAAAAATAAAACTTAGACAAGATGGCTGCTATAGTAAATGAGCATGGTTGCATCTGTTGAAAACATCGCTAGTCTTCATTTATTACGGAAAAGTTTTAATTCAACTGTTTAAAAACAGGTACATAAATGAATCAAGGAAACATTTTTGAATTTTTTAAAACATAAATCCTCCTCAAAATGTGAAATAATTATTAAAATTTAAGGAGTCACCTGTTTTTCACATTACAAATCGCGGGCGATTTTACGTACCCAAAACGATAGATTACCAAAAAACATTAGGCCTACATCTAGTCTAAAAACTAACTTGGAATCACTGTGACTGAGAAGTCATGACCTGTTCATTCTGCTGTAGTGAAATTGTGAAGGTTTTTTAATTATAGTTATTCATATTCACATGTTGATCAACAAAATTCAACATCATCAGATTCTCACTCAGAGAACTTCAGTTGAGCGCGGTCTGCTGTGTAGCATAATAATAATTTACAGAGAACATTATTTCTGAGCAGAAAATAGGAATCTAGATCTTGATCTAAATTAAAAAAGAAAGATTAGACTAATTGGAATTTTTAATAAGAGTAAATCACTAGATTAGATTTTAGTTTCAGATAAAAGTTAAAATAAAAATCAAGATACAGTCTTGACTGCAACACAGTGTGAGCTAGTATTAGCACTCGCAATAGATTTCCGGTTCTGTTATGCCAGATAAACATTAACTAAAATAATCAGTACTAGTACTAATGTAAGAAAAAAAATCAATAACTCAAAAACAGACTTATATTTAAACTATCAAGGAAATTTTTATACATAGATCTAGATATTATAAGTATTCAATTATGCGGTTGCTTATTTATCCTAGAAAAAAATCTTTGTGGGGAGAAATTGAAATAAATTTTATTTGCAATTTTAGTCTTAAATGCATGAAAGTAAAGGATTAAACTAATTTTATGAACAAAAGAGTTTCGATAATATAGTCACATGACTTTTGTTTGGGTTTGATACATGAAGTGTGAAAATGAAAAAGGAAAGAACGTAGGATGATGATATCTAACAACAGACATAAGCACTGTGGAAACACAAATGTTCTAGAATATTTAAAAAAAAAAACAACCGATACAGTAAAGTTAAAGATGCCACTTTCATAAAACTGTCGAACTTTAATAAAAATGTATGAGTTGTTTGAATTTGTAAAACTTCTGTCTGTGAAACCAGCCCACCACAATCGAGGGAAAACCGACATTATAAAATTAGCATGGAAAGAGGAAGGAGAAATTAGTTTCCTAGCTCTTTTATGCTCAAATGGTATATTATAGATTTGTACTTAGATGAATATATAACTGTAATCAGTTAAATAGTAGTAAAAAAGCATCAGACCATATAACATTTATTTTATTTATTGTCATTTTCATTTATAATTTATTTTTTGGCCTAATTATAATATTATATTAATATTTAATAATATCACTATGGATATCCTTACTTTAAGAAGGAAAGGAGCACTATTCTTTAAAATATTATAGCTTTAATTTTAATTTTGGGTTGGCCTTTTATAAAATGCAAAATAAATTCAAACTTTTGTGGCAAATTCTCCGCAGAAAAGCGATTGCATAATGCTACAATTACTTTGTTTTCTTGTCATCTAAAATTTTTGTTTTTAGGCCAATGTGTTGTCTTGATGGGACAGGGATTAACACGATAAATTCTTAAATAGTAGATTTAAATAGGGTATTAAAATAGATTTTAAAAAATATTTTATACTTAACTTCTAGTGGGTATACATAAGATTTTCAGTAGAAAGGCTAAAAGGGTAATTTGAGCTCATTGCTCAACTATATATTATATAAGGATAAATTTGAGCCCATTGCATGGTTATTAATTAAGGTCATTGCATTTTGCATCTTCTGCTGGCAGATTAGCATGGGAGGGGGGGGGGGGAAGAAGGTTCTTGCGAGTAGCCACTTCAAAATATTTTATCAGCAGCAAGCATACATTTTATTTAAAAATTAAAGTAAAATGGATAGCTAATAAGATGAAATATAAATTAGGTCTTTATTGCTTTTATTTTAACAAAATAATTAATAACTATATATGGTTATATCCTATTCTCAGATCAGTCATATTTTGTATCATCATTAATCTTTGATTTCTTATTGGAATACATTTTAATTTTAATATGAAGAATCTGGCATATTACTACATTAAGTAAGCAATTATGATAAAATACAATTTTATAAAATAGCCTACTTTCTCTAAACCAAGGACCATAAAGGATGTATACTAATGAATAATTAGGGACCAATTGTATTGTATGATACTTAATGTGTATTATGGCCTCATGGAAAACTTAAACTTTAACTTTTGATGAGACATATCTATATGAACCTTTTTGAACGTTTTATTTTTCTTGTGACTACTTTATAAAGAAGCTCTAAATATTATTCTAAATTTTAAGTGGCCTACAGCCTACCTTTACATTATTTAAAAACCTTTCAGAATACATATTATTACGATATGACGTCTCTAGTCGAACCCCTGTTATCAAGCAGTTACCTTGGCTACCTGAAAAAAAAATTGCATCCATGTGTTTTGATCCCACCATGACTTGGCTGCTTATTGCTACTGAAACATCTGAAGAGATCTACATTATCCCGGCTCTGTCAATTGTTGTATGTTTACATTTACAATTTTTTAAAACTTTTTTTATCTACTTAAAGCTAGTTTAATTACAAAGTAAAAAGTAGAGTATTGAAAATTTTTATTAACTTTAGAATGGGTTAACTCCTTTTTAAAACCAGGATTCTGATGCCATTGTTAACAGAATTTTTACAACAGATGATGTGACTGTTAGAGCATTTCACTTAACTAGAGGTATTGTTTTAAAGAACCCGACTAATAGTGTTAAAATATAATTTTCATATTATAGTTTAGCGCATGTTATTTTTTTTTAAATGTGATATTTTGACCCATCCTCCTACCCCCATATATTTGTCAGAACATTTCTAGAAACCCTCCACTAGATTCAACGCAAATTTGTCCTTAAAAAAAACTAGAATCATCCTTGTATACACCCTCACACTATATATCACAATTAGAAAATGTTATAATTATATGCAATATATGTAGGGTACTTAAAATTTCATGGAAAATTATGTACGTTATAGTAATGAGTATTGATGTTGATAATTTATTGATAATTAAGATCACATAAGTAATTGTTTATTAAATTAATCAACACCAAACTAATGCAGCTTTAGAAATAAACACTTTTTATATCTTGTGGTATACTGAGATTGGTTTTCCTTTTTTGCAATTAATGTTTTTAACAATGTTTAAACATAAATAATGCCTCTTACTGGTTTTTTTTTCCTAAATCCTCATAGGCAATGTATGCCACGCTCTGTGGTGGCAGACTTTAGAAGGAAGGCAAGTGGCTATCCTAGCCACTAATGTGAGTTCAGCAATGTTGAAAGTACTTTTAAATGGAAATATTGATTTTGTCATCTTTTTGCAAATTTTTGCTAAATACCTGTATTCATTTTTAAGCCTAATATGTTAAAATAATTATTCTGTATCCCTCATATTAATCAAATAATGTTTATTGTCTTTTCCAAACAGATAGGTGAAATTGTGTTTATTGATCTTGTGGATGCCGATGTGTTTACTAAGGTGACCATAGATGTAACAATAACAGATATGTCTTTATCTCAAGATGACCTACAGTTAAATACATTTCTTGTGGTAAATTGTTTTCTATTGCTTTAGTGCTTTTAAAAAATATAAATTTTAAGATGCAAAATTGACCAAATAGTGTAACGTGGCTAACATTTATAAACCTAATAAAATGTTTGCACACCCTAAAAAAGCAAATTTTAGAGTTTTTTTCCTACCGATGTCTTACAATGGACTCATCTAAAATTATTTTGTTGGTAGTATTTTAATATATTGGTTTAGTGTATGAGCTAAGATTTGAACTATGGTAGGATTAGGGATATGGTTAGCTTAACATTAAGAAATAATATTAGTTGATGTATTTTAACCATTAACATAAAGCCCATTTCTTTTAAGAACAATATATTGTAGAATTTTTGGAAACTTAAATGTTTTTACTTTAATGATTTGTGTATTAGCTGCATGTAATAATATTAAAACACAATTCTCAATGAGTGTATTCATCACCCATAAAAATACAACTAATAATGTCTCAATGATTGTTTATTATATAAATTTGAAATATCTTTATGCTTCTAATATAGATAAAAATTAACTAACCTCACCAATCTAATCTAAATAAAATCAATTTATATCACCAGTCTAATTTTGATAAAAATTAATTAGCTTCACTAGTCTAATTTTGATGATAATTAATAGCCTCACCATGGTCTAATCTCATACTCAGAGCAGTTGGTGGCTAAATAAAAGTAGATGAGAACTTTTTTTTTGTAATTCCAGATCACAACTGTATCTGGAAACCAGTGGAAACTTCTGTTAGAAACCAAAGCAACTGTCTTTAGTTTTTCTCCCGACCCTGTCCTTCAAGAGATGGGCTATGATGATATTGATGGCTTTTCTGTGCCATCAAGAACTATTTTAGACTCATCTGGTACATAGCTGCTACACATATTATACGTTACTTTATCTATTATGGCTTGTAGTGTAGAGTAGTGCAACTTTGATGTGTCTAGGTGGTTAAGTGAATTTTATTTTACAGAAGAGAATAATGGTCTGTTCAGCCCATCTCAGTTCCAAAACTTTCAGCCGCCAACTTTCCTGCAGCCTCAGTATGCCAGAGGAAGACATTTTTTAACTGCTCACTGTACAGCTACTTCAACATTGCAGGTAGTTTTATTGTTAAAACATTTAAGTGCTTTTTTTTTCCATACCATATTTATTATTTAATTTTTAAAAAAATAAGTTAATTAAGTCAATATTAAAGAGAGCAATTTTAGTTAAATTAACCAAAAACCATCAATTTTTAATAAAAGATTCCCATTTTATAACCATTTTACAATTTTATTTTTAATTGCATAGCTCTAAATCAGTCTGTTGTTGTATATAATACACATTTAAACTAGCATTATACTGTACATTATTTTCAGGTGTTGAGCTCTGTCACAGAGAGTAACCCGCTCTTTGTTTACAAACTACCAGTTGGGACTGAGAGTTCCATTCTAACCGATAAATTAATTTTCACCATAAAAAGTCAAGCTAATGACAAGAAGTTGATTATTCTATCAAATCAGAAGTCTGAAAATTCATTGGATGATCAAGTTTGTTTCAACATTTTAAAATATAGTTTAAAAATTAATTTTAACATATAGTGTTAGCCCTATAATATTGAATTTTGGCACTTTTGGATACAAAACATTTCTAGATAATATTACTTTGGCACTATAATTAATTACCAATCGTTTGGTTTAGGCATGCCTCACCAATGAGGTGTAAAGTTTAATGCCACTGTTTGCATTTGGGTTATTGGGCTAGTGTCTTTATCACAGTACCATGATTAATGTTAACTGTGATGATAATGTTTGTACCACCTAGACAAGAGTTCTGAAAATTTCCTTGCTAATTGTACTTTCTCTAGTAGTTCACTACTTTGTCTTATTGTGATACACATGTTGAACAATACTAAGCCTTTGTTATGATTACTAGTACTAACTAATCATTAGTCTTAAAAATCATTACCATAAAGTTAAATGTAAATAATTATAACTTTTTCTCAGTTGTGGAATAATGTTAACTCTTTTTTTTTCCTGTGTTTTTTTTTGTTTTTACCCAGGATTTTAATGAAGAAGCCATGGTTCAACAGTTCAACTTACCAGAGGGTGAAACTCTACTGGGTGTACTTAAAAAACGCTACCCCTTCTATTATCACGAGCATCGTGAAAATGAGTGGTCTAAACGTCTCAGAGGGGGCAGCATTATCCAACCCTTGAAAAATCATGATGCGCAGCTTGATTCTTCCGTCCTCATGATCCCAGTGACCACACACACAGTACTTGATGGGTGTATTATAGTCACCAACTGCTCTGTGTATGAGATTAGGCCATGGTGAGGCTCGTTAATTTTTATCTAAAGTAGACTGGTGAGGCTCGTTAATTTTTATCTAAAGTAGACTGGTGAGGCTCGTTAATTTTTATCTAAAGTAGACTGGTGAGGCTCGTTAATTTTTATCTAAAGTAGACTGGTGAGGCTCGTTAATTTTTATCTAAAGTAGAATGGTGAGGCTCGTTAATTTTTATCTAAAGTAGACTGGTGAGGCTCGTTAATTTTTATCTAAAGTAGACTGGTGAGGCTCGTTAATTTTTATCTAAAGTAGAATGGTGAGGGTCATTAATTTGTATCTAAAGTAGACTGGCGAGGCTCATTAATTTGTATCTAAAGTAGACTGGTGAGGCTCGTTAATTTTTATCTAAAGTAGAATGGTGAGGCTCGTTAATTTTTATCTAAAGTAGAATGGTGAGGCTCGTTAATTTTTATCTAAAGTAGACTGGTGAGGCTCGTTAATTTTTATCTAAAGTAGAATGGTGAGGCTCATTAATTTTTATCTAAAGAAGACTGGTGAGGCTCGGTAATTTTTATCTAAAGTAGAATGGTGAGGCTCGTTAATTTTTATCTAAAGTAGACTGGTGAGGGTCATTAATTTTTATCTAAAGTTGGTGAGGCTCGTTAATTTTTATCTAAAGTAGACTGGTGAGGCTCGTTAATTTTTATTTAAATTAGGTTGGTCAGGTTACTTCATTGTTATCTAAATTAGACTGATAAGTTTAATTAATTTTTTTTTATCCAGTTAGACTAGTTAGGTTATTACAAAAAGGTTTCTTCATAATTAAACATTTCTTTTTATTACTATTTTTAATAGAACAAGACATTGAATAAAATAATCTTCACTTTAAAAGTATGTATACATTTTCTTCCTTTAAAAAAAGTATTTCACCTGAAAGACTTTTCCTGCATTTGGCCATGACTCTTCCTGAAACAACTGTAGCTGAAAATCTGGCAATAAGTGTAGGCCTTGACCTTACAAGTCTGTCAGAGCTTGCTGCAGAGTTTATGTTGAAGCAGTCTTTCTTTGGAAAAGCTATGAAGCTCTACACTTTGTCTAAGGTAGAAAAATGTAGTTGTCAATATTAGTAAAAAAAAATATTTAAGTGGATATAAATTTAAAATTGGTACAATTTTTAAAAAGTTAATAAGTAGATTTAGGGCCTATATTGAGTCCATTTAAGATAGTATTTTGAACATTAAGACTATCACTTAAATTAATCACACCATTTATATCTGTTACATCTGTTTGTGCCTGCTTAGAAGATACAAAAGGTATGTTTAATTAGATACAACTAAACTACTAATCTTTTTTAAATGGCTTATGCATATTTTAGTAGTCAATTCATTTTGTGTATACTATATTCATTTTCTTTCTGATTCTGAGTTCCTTCGTTTGTAATACGTGTTGCTGATTTAATGTTTATTTGCATGGAGTTACGTAACAAATGTGGATAAAAACTATTTCACTTTTTAAGATAATTCAAAATGTGTCATTTATAATTTGTTTGATAAATTTATCTTTTATTTGTGCTAGGTGATTAAACAACATTTTTTTTCTTTTACCTTTTTATAGTAAAAGTTTATTAAAAATTTCTTTGAGAGTAAAAATACAGTAGTTTTTTTTTTCATTACATTTTTTGGGTATTGCATGTAACAAAGCCCTAAATAATACTATATCTATCCTAATCTTGATCTTTACTCTCAGCTGGTGGCACAGTAAATCTTTTTTAAAAATTCCTTTTGAGTGATGTCCCCTCCTTAACCAAGTTTTGGTTTAACACATTTTATTCAATGCAAGGACTTCTTGTTAACTTTTTTGGTCTTGACATCATGTAGTAATGCATGATTTTATGTAGATCTACAAAATATTGAGTTTTTAAAATATGTACATTAAAAAATTCTTTCCAGGTCCATATGAGGCATTCAGAAAAATGTACTGAATGGGGTGGGAATGGCAAGGTTTCTGTGTTTATATATGTTTATATATATATATATATATATATATATATATATATATATATATATATATATATATATATATATATATATATATATATATATATATATATATATATATATTAAAAATCTTATATTGAAAATATCTTAGATATATCTTATTTTGGTGTAGTTGGGTGATTTTATTAACATTTCTTGGTAAAAGAAAAAACAAGTAATTTAATAGTACAAAATTATTTCTTATTGAGATGCTTTTAGATGGTCTTGTAGTTCTGTTTTTAATATAGCGTGAAGACTAAAAAGACTGTTAAAATATGCCATTAACCCACCACATGTAGCTTATTGTTGAGCAGGCAGTCATAGCTGATAAGTTTGTTAAGGCAAACTTTTAAGGTTGGAAATTCATTTCTTTTCTTTTCTGCTCTTAAACATACTGTTGTCATGCTTTGTAAACCTTGACTTAGCTTCAAAACAATAGTTTTTCAAAATTATACAATTACAAGGTTCTTGTAATCTAGAAATGTGCACTTATTAAAGTATTGTAATTCAGGGATGATGATTTGGTGAAGTTTTAGAGCTTTTTTATAATGTAGTCACTAAATATTAGTGCAGCATTAATCATAGTTGCTTGATGTGAATATACTACTATCTGCAATAAAAAAATCATTAAAGATGTCATCTTTTTTTATTTATTTCTCAGAAGAAATTATATGCTATAGAAAAAACTAGTAGTAAAATATTATGAATAATGTGTAATTTTTTAGAAAGGGGATTTTTTTTGTAGGTTAATGTTAGTGATGTTCCAAAGGTGTAAAAAAATTAAATTTTTAACATGCTAACAAAAAATTGGAACACACTTGTTTTATGTAACAGAATTCGTCTAGTTTTGTTAACATTTTTTGTGAAAAAATTACTTTTCCTGAATTTGTAATAAATTAATGTCTGCCTAAAAGGCAGGATAAAAAATTCAGTAAACCCTTGATTATTTATTGACACAAAAAAAACGTTTTTTAAATATTTGTTTGTAAAACATTTTGAGGTTTAAAAATTTAGTTTTAAAAATAATCTCATCAACAGTGCCCAGCAACAAAACGAACAGGGGGACTGGCTCGATATGGATGCATTTCTGAAACTATGATACATCTTCGGCAAGTGCTGAGCAGCCCAAACTTTGAACTGAACACATGGGAGAGAAAGTTTCTCTCCAACATGCTTTTACATTGCTTTGTGTACCAGCTGCATAATTCAGGCCAAGCTGCTGGCAATATTTATGCTGGGTTGAGGCAAGTATCCACTGGTGTTCATTGATTTTAAAATTTAAAGTGGTTTTTCTAAAGAAAAAATGCTTAGTGCCTCATTATATTATTATATTTTCAATATCTTTAAAGTTAGTGATATAATTTATTTAAAAATTTTAAGCATCAGTTTAGATTTTAGATTCAATTACTTTAAGCCGAATTTGTTGAGGTTTTTAAATTTTTGTTTATAATCATAAAAAAAAATAAGTGAAGTTCCCTTTTCAAACCTGACAGTCTATAGGACAAGTGATGTAGTGTTCACCTGTTTCAGTCCACTTGGCATATGAAAGGATAGGGGATAGTGTGGTCAGCACTATGCCCAGCTGCGTTTACTTTCTCTAACTTGACTCAGGGACAATATACTGGCTGAACCCAGATTTGAACTCGAGACTTACAGATTGGCAGTCTAGCTGTCTACAGCTAGGCCACTCATTTAAATCATTTTTCACTTGTCTTATTTATCAGTGATTTCCTTACTGGGAGCTTCTCATTTGATGAGTCTGTGGCACTCAACTTACTGGCAGATTTTGGGGAGGTGGATCTGTTGTTGTCCATAGCAAAAGCAAGGGGATTGGTTGTGGAAGCTCTGTCAGCACTCATTAAGTCACAAGCTTTTTCTTCTGTTTCATTTTTGTCACTCAATGACCTAGTTCAGCGAGGATTTAGTGCTCATCTTTTACAATCTGGCAATGGTAAAAATTACTTTCTCTCTCAATGTTACATTTTAAACAAAACTTCATGACTTGTCTTATTTTATTTTTGTTGAACGGTTCTACAAGGGAGATAAAAATGTGTCCTGTAACACTGGCAGGTTCCCTTGTGCCTTGTCTTCCCCCTGATGACTTGATCAGACTCCTCAGCACCCGGCCACAACTGGCAATTCAGAACTGCCAGATTTTAAAGCCTCTGTTGCCAGTATTGAAGGAAACACAGCTCTTGGAACTGGCCAGGATTTTTGACCCATCAAAGTCTGTCATGAGGGGAACACTGCTTAGACTACAGACCGTACGAAGGAGGTTTGTTTTTTAATTATCTGTACAGATATTTCATATTTAAGTAATAAAGTTTTATTTTTTAGAGCCTACATTAATTAGTTACTAATTGAAAATATTTAAAACATCTGTCCTTAAAATATTCTCCATTTGTCTGGACAGAACAAATAGTTTGACTTCACTGGGATCATGTACAAGTGACACCATGGACAACTCAAATGTATGTCATCTTACTACTTCAATTTGTTACTCAAGAATTTATACACACTTCTTGTTTACTGGGATGGAAGAGGTGGTCCGTTCCGGGCATACATTTACCAAAAATATATTTACATTTTAAATTTTGAGTCTATTATGGCCTACTAAATATGTATAGTTGTGTTCAGGGGTGGACAGGGGTGTTGAGTGACCTGGGGAAAAGATATAGAAACCAGCTGTATATGTTTTTTTGAGAGTGTGGTCAATCGGTAAAGAGCTCGAGTGCTAAATTGAAAGTCTCGAGTTTTGATTCTGGGTTCTTGTCCAAAGGAAGTCCCTAAATCCTGGTTACATGACTCATGTTAGGGTGGGTAAATGTATCTGGGCATAGTGCTGATCACACTATCCCTTCGTGTGTAGAGGTCACAGAAACAGGTGAGCTCTACTTCATCTGCCCCATGGACTGCCAGGTGAAAAGAGTAACTTTACTTTTTTATATCGGACTTCAATTTTCCAATATTACCGCACCATTCTTGTCACTCCACTGGAATTATTCCTGGTGCTGTGGCAGACCAGTCCACCACTAGACGTATTAATCTGATGCTCATTTAAATCTAGGTGAAACAGCACAAGTGCTAATTACATCTGACCATCATCATTTGATTTACTTCATTTTTCAATTATGCTTTTTCTACAAAGGTTTACATTTTTTTTATTACTGTTACATCAAACTTGTCATGTGATGTAGTATCAGAAACATTCTCATGATTTTCTTAAACATTCTTTTCAGGATTCTGGAGATCTATCAGGGGAATTCCTGATTAATTTTTTCTTAGAAGTTGTTTTGTATCTAAATTATAACCGAAGACTTGCAACATGTACACCACCACAGCAAAGTATAAGCTTTGATTCAATTATCACCTGCCCAGCTGATCAGCTTGATATTGAGGTAATCCAGTTATTATTTCAGATATAAATTTTCTTAAACACTTTTTCCAGAGATAGGTAAAGTAGAGTTTCTTTACTTTTTATGGCCAAGGCCTGCTGTTCACTTGTGACCTAGTACAGTGGTCAGTTTGACTGAAATTGTTTACCCATCTTAGCGGTGAGGACAAAATCACATACTATTGACAAAAAATTCTGTTTATAATTCAAGAAATCATACCAACTTCTTAGAATGGTATCATAGATTATTTCATATTTTTACAAGTATTTCCACACTGATCAGTGATATGGACTGGACTGTCCATCTCAGAATTAATGAGAATAGCAGAGGACTCAGATGGATAGCAGAGAATTATAAAGTCAACTTTGGTATCCCAACGACCCTAATAAGGGTTAAGGGATGATGATTACTGCACTAAATTTAACTAAACCTGTAACTCTAACCCTGATGTTATGTCTGGTCCTAACTCTAACCCACACTACTAACACAGACCAAAACCCTAACAGACAGAAAGACAGAAACTACAAGATTAAATACTGTATTGTCTCTGTGTTTCTTTCAGAGTTTTTTTCTCAGGTGGGGATGAGGGCACTGGTATATGTTCTATATTAATTCTATTTTGTTCTGGTGGGGGGGGGGGGGGGGGTTAGACCCCAAAGAGATGCCTGAAGGAAATTCTCCTTGTTACCTATATTTTTAAAGAAGTTTGGTTTCAGCCACAGCTTGCTTGAATGTTGTTTTTGAACTTATCACAGAAAACTGAAGAAAGCTCTAATGAAAGTCGCAAGAGACTGTCAGTCCAGATCCAGCCTGTGTCATGTGGGCCTAAACATTCCGCTGCCATTAGAAACGGAGACCTTTACACCTGGGGCAGGTCCAACTCTGGGAGGTAAACAAACATGCCTTCATAGCATGGTTCATGATGGCCAATATAATATATGATGGTCCACTTAATTTAATAAACATTTCATCATCATCACTACTCAATGCCCATTGGCTCACAAAACATCAACAAGCAACACATTTCATCCTGTCTCTAGCTATATAACCTCAGCTTGTGTGATAAAGAATTTTTTAAACTAATAAATAGTAAGAAAAATATTTCAATATTATGTATTTTCATCATAAAAATATTTTAAAAACTCTGCACAGTTTCCTTCCTGAAACACTGAGTTTTTGTAAAAAATATCTTTGAAATTATCTATAAGTAAGAAGCTGAAGAATTAAAAAAGAAAATCTCTGTAAGAAAGAAATTATTGGAATGTTCTAAGATTGAAAATGTATAAATGGTTATTGCTTTCAGTAGGCCTAAGTCTGTTACCTAATCATCTTCTAGTATACAAGAGGAGAAATTATTTTTATTAGTTAAATGCTATTACTTCCAGTGCATCTAAAGTTTCTCTTGTATCATATTCCAGTCCTTCATGATTCTTGTTTTGAACACAGGCTAGGCCATGGAGAGTTGTCTCAAACTGTTTGCCCCCCAATGCTGGTTGAAACCCTGCACATCCTCAAGCTAAAGGTCATGTCTGTTGCTTGTGGGAACGAGCACACATTAGCCCTGACACAACAAGGGGTTGGTACAGTACAGTTTGTTTTAGAATATTGAGTTAGTGAAGATTGGTTCAGTACAGTTTTTTTTTTTTTAGAATATTGAGTTAGTGAAGATTGGTTCAGTACAGTTTTTTTTTTTAGAATATTGAGTTAGTGAAGATTAGTGTAATACAATTTATTTAGAATATTGAGTTTGTGAAGATTTGTACAGTACAATTTATTTTAAATATTGAGTTAGTGAAGTTTGGTACAGTACAATTTATTTAAAATATTGAGTTTGTGAAGATTTGTACAGTACAGTTTTTTTAGAATATTGAGTTAGTGAAGATTTGTACAGTACAATTTATTTAAATTATTGAGTTAGTGATGATTGGCTGGGGTATATCCAATATAATTTGTATGTCTTTAGGTCTACGGCTGGGGTAGATCCAACATAATTTGTATGTCTTTAGGTCTAGGGCTGGGGTAGATCCAACATAATTTGTATGTTTTTAGGTCTATGGCTGGGGTAGATCCAACATAATTTGTATGTCTTTAGGTCTACGGCTGGGGTAACCAACATAATTTGTATGTCTTTAGGTCTACGGCTGGGGTAACTCCAAGTATGGACAAGTTGGTGTGGGTACACGTCATGTATACAAGCGCCCAATGTTGCTGGAAACTCTGCAGCCTGAGACTGTTATTGCTCTGGACTGTGGACATTATCATTCCCTGGCCTTGACCTCAGATAACCAGCAAGTTGTTTTTTCTTCATATAATTCTATTTTTAGCACTTAACTGGAAACAAATTTCCAATTTATTTATATAAAATTGCCTATATATTTGCATATAAATATTGTATTAGTCTGTATTGGTGGTGTGTTATTGGGCAGCTTATTAAAAACATGAAGAACTTTAGCTTGAACCCCAGTGATTGGCTAGTTTTCAGCTTGAGACACTAATGTGTACCTCATGTATAGCTTGACAGTGATGACCACTGGATGCTGTACTGTCCATAAGTCCCGCTAACTTCTGCAGACACAGAATTAGAAAATTTCTTTTCTATTTGCCCTCTCTGTTGCACTAATGAAACCCCTTCCCCCCCCCCCCCCCCCCCCCGCTAAGTCTGGTTGATTGAATACCTTTTCCTCCCTCCCCCTGCCAGGGTCTACTCGTGGGGCTGGGGTGTCCACGGACAGCTGGGCCATGGGAACCCTGAGGATTGTTTGATACCTACCCATGTCCGCTTCCTTCTGAGTCTCTCGGTGGTGAAGATTGCTGGTGGCTATGCTCATTCGCTTGTGCTAACTGAACCTGTAAGTTGTTGAATGTTGTTTTCACATTTTAAAACATTTAATGCATAATAATACACTACAAAAACAAAAATGAATGTTGTTATTTATTTTAGCTTTCCTGTTTTTATTTTTATTAGTGATTACAATCATTTTTTAAAGAAAAAATGGAAGTTTTCAAAATTTATGTTGGGTGATTATTATCATTATCAAAATTTTTTATGCTCAATATTTTTCCCTATTTCCTAGGGCGATGTATGGTCATTTGGCTGTGGTTATTTTGGCCAGCTTGGTGTGGGGGTCAACCACAAGACAACCATCCCACTGAAGGTTGTTCTGCCAACCCCAATGCCAGTAGTAGCAATAGGAACCAAATACTTTCACTGTGTAAGTTCTCAGTAGTTTGTTTCCATTTGTAGATCATTTGTCCTGTTTTGGTTCAAGCTAGGTGGAAAGAGGTTTTTTTTTAAAAATTAAGTTTCAATTAGAGTAAAATGAAATCCGTTAATGAAATGTAAAAATAATTAATTATAACTCTAAATTAAAATTAATTTCAGTTTGAAATGTTAAAAAGAAACCAAGTAAATTCAAAAGGAAAATCTTTATAATATGTTAACTCCTAATTAGAATTAAAATTGAAAATAGCGTAGAGTGAAATAAAAATCCTTGAATCAAATCACCAAGCAGTAAATCTTGTTGAAAATAAAATCACACATAAAATTTGAATGGAAGTTATTTTAAAAAAAATCACACCAAAGGACTATTGACAAACTCCTCAATATACCACTGTGCACAAATAAAAAGCTGCTTTAAAATAAGTTCATCAGTAGTTTATATTGTTATATTTTTGTAAAATATTTTTTCTACACAACAGGTGGCTGTGACTGCTTCAAACAAAGTGTATGTGTGGGGTCTCCATCCTCAAAATTTGCGCCAGGTAGCCTCTTCTCTAAGGAACGCCAGATTGGCTGGTGTTCAGTCTCAGGACCAAAATGCTTACATGTTGCCGAGTGTAGTAGAAACAACTTACGTGCATGGTCAAATTAATACGGTAATTACTTTTATTATAACCTTAAATTTTTACTAGTAAGATGTTTATAGCAGTGTTATTATATGGTAATACTGAGTAGTTTGCTACATTTTCACTTGTCTTCATTTTTACTAATAGACATTTATTTGATGAATTAATTATTTTTTTTGTAGTCAAATATTTTTGTGTTGCCAAGTGAGTTTATATTTTTTGGCATTTTGAGTTCAGTAAGTGTAACATTGCCTCTGTGTGGCCTATATCATTGTTACACATGCCTGTCTTGGTGATGCCTAGGTTGCTTGTGGAAGCCTTCATAGCTTGTTGTTAACTGAGGATGGTGGGGTGTATGTATGGGGGAGAAATCTTGAAGGGCAGCTTGGAACAGGATCTAGACAGGACGAGGTTAGTTTAGTGCACTTGTACTTGATTTTATAGCTTTTTAACTATTAGTTAATTCATCACTTTAGTGTACTTGCATATTTTGTTAAGCCGTTTCTAGCCGGAATAAGATACGCATGCGATACGCATGCGCAATGGAGAGAAACTACAACTTGCCTTAGCGGCGATGTTTTCGATGGTACTGCGCATGCGTGTGTTTACAACCGCAGAACCCTAACACCAACCCTAATCCTATCCTTAACCCTATCCCTAATCCTATCCCTATCCCTAACCCTAACCCTAGCCCTAGCCCTAATCCTATCCCTAACCCTAGCCCTAATTCTATCCCTAACCCTATCCCTAATCCTACCCCTAACCCTCATTCTAGCCCTAACCCTAGCCATAGATCACTGCGCATGCGCAGAGTTATCTTTTGCCGACTAAGTGGAGACGTTGGGGAGAAAAATCTTCTTCCGAGTAGACACTTTGATTTTGTTAACATAACAAATAACAAGAAAAAAAAAATGGTTGTTATTCTGATGTATTTTTCCCTCTTGTAGCGCATCCCTAAAATGTTGACTGCTATAAATGACCAACACATGGTCTCCATTGCTAGTGGGGGTGAATTCAATCTGGCATTTGACGTGGATGGCGGAGTTTGGGTTTGGGGCAAGAATGATTCGGGGCAGGTAAGACATTTTTTTTTTAATGCAGGTAAAATTTTTAGTTTTTGAATGCATATAAAATGTTTATTTTAAACAAAAAAACATCTTGTCAAATATCTGTTTCCTGCTTTTATTATAAAAGTCTTATAAAACAAATTCTTTTTTCTTTTTAGTTAGGGTATGCCAAACCATGGGGAGAGGGTCAAAGTTCAAAGTCTCAATCAAACAGCGTTTACCGTCGCCAGATGTCGACTCACGCAAGTGACGCCAACATTCCCTCGGCCATGAGGGGAATACCTCAGTCTGACACGAGCAGCTCCCATTGGCTGGCTCTGTTGTCATCTCTGAACCACAACAGTATGTGGGTGAGTGCCTTCAGTTGATTGGCTGGTTATAGCTGTTTCTGGGGGTAGTGTGTGATTCCTCACCTGATTGTCTTGCTCAGTCCTGTAATCCCCAATAATAATCTGAGAGGTGATTACAGTTTGGCATGGTGAATACATTCTCTTTAACTCGGGGACAACAGAAACAAATGTACTGCTTTCATCTTAGAGGTCTTATTTTTTTTTTAATTTAGTGAGTGCTTTATTAATTGTTAATTTGTATCCTGTCTTCATTAAAAAACAAAATCTTTAATCTGCTCATATTCATTACTTAAACGGTTGGTTTATTTCATTAAAAAAATGTTTTAAGTTTTTGCATATTTTCCAGACTGAGCCTGTGGAAGAAGAATGTGAAAGCTCATTGGACAGCTTGCCAAATCTGGACAAACTAGGATCAAATGTTTATGATAGCTGTGTAGTTCCTGTCACTCTTAAGGTGAACATTTTTGTCTCTGTCACCCATCATCTTGCTTTTACTTCTCATTGCTAGATATAGAACCATAAGGGTTGTATAATTTAGTATTTTATTTACAAAACTAGATAGCCTAAATAAGTGGTTGTTAACGTTGTAATTTATTCATTGTTGAATATTTGCTGAATAAAAAACTTTAAAACAAATCTGGTGGTTAACTTCTTATACTACCATCTATAAACACAAATGTTATTTAAAACTGCTTATATTAGGCTTATAACATTTATGTAGTTTCTTGCTCTGTCTAATGTTGTGTCCTAATACTTGAAACAGGTGATGGAGAATGTAGGTGATGCAAGTCTTTGCCTTCAGAAGTGTGTGGACCTGGGGAATTGGTTAACTGCTGGCCACATCAGTTGTCTGTTGGAAGATTTCATTCAGGTAACTTTTTATTACAAGTAGAGGAAGGAAGCTTAAAGCCCATGTTGTGTGCTGCTTAAATTTGTTAAAGAAATGGGGGGAAAAAAACCTCATTTTGATGTAATTTTATACTGGTTCTTTCTGCCACAGCGTATAATTAGAAATGTGAAGAAATTTAATGGTTTTGCATTCTGTTGTTTATTTTCAATGGTACTGGTGTTAAGGGTAAGGCAACAGCACTTTGTAACAGCTAAATGTTACCGCTGGTTGCTATATGCTGAGATTGTTTTAAGTCAAAAGGTTTATGGCTATTCTTTTCTATACCATGCTTTGTACTATCTGATTCTTTTCTATATTAGGCTTTGTACTATCTGATACTTTTCTATAACAGGCTTTGTACTATCGGCTGAAAGCAGTAACAGCTGAAGCTTCTAAGTCAACCAAGCAAGACCTCATGACATTGTGTGCACAGTTGGTAAAGCATCACATCAAGTAAACCATATTTGTTAACATTCAATTTGGCATGGTTATTAATTTATTGTAGATTCTTATGAAAGTGTTGTGTTCATTAAATATGCTAGGTAAAGTAAAGTTGAAATGTTGATTATTATTTTATTTTTTTTGCTAATTATTAGATTACTATCTCAGAAAAGGTTTATAAATAAGAATTTTAAACACTAGAAATAAAAACTGAATACTTTGACTGAATAGTTGATTACCTCCCTTCCTACAGTCTTGTTATTTCCAGTGCTAGTCCTCACAAGAACTTATTGCAGTTGTGTAACAATGTAAGTTGTAATGGAATTTTAAAGACACTGATAACACAAAGAAATGAATTTTGTTTTTAAAAATCTATTTGCACTTTGACATGTCAACATTTTTGTGAATACAATTTCTCTTACAGAATCTTGTTTTAATCTCAGTTTAAATAAAATGTGTTTTTTTTTATAGTTTTAAGTATACATTTCTAATTTTTATACCTAACTTTTATCAGCTTTATCTGGATACAAATGTTTTATAATTTTAAATAAATGTTTAAATAAATAATTTAAAAAATCATTCAATCCTTAAACGTGAGATTTTCGTAAATAAATTTTTTTACTGCAGGCTCTTCACTTCTGGCAGCTCCACTCCTTCCCCATCTCACAGCTGGAAGACATCTTCTCACTTCACCTGGAACATCTCTCAGCATGGCTGGTGGAGGTTGTCTTAAGGTCAACGTCTTATCATGCTCTTGGTTTCTATCAAAATAATTACTCAAAAAAAAATGCTGAAAAAACTAAAATTTAATTACTTGTTTTTTTTTTTTTGGTGAGAGGTGTGGAACTTTATTTACTCTTAGCCTGTGTGTATTTCTATCAAGACTAGGCAAAATGTTTGTTGTAGTAGTCATAGACACTTCTTTCATTTTATTTTGTGCTTTCATTAAAAAAAAAATTCCCTTAATCTAAAGTTAACACTTAGCTGTGGTTGGGTAATTGAAAAACACTGTGTACATCTTAATTAAACCTTCATATTTATATTAAAGTTGTTCATCTTAAATTTTGATATTTATATTAAAGTTGTAGGTGTTAAATCTTGATAGTTATATTAAAGTTATACATGTTAAATCTTTATATTTATATTATAGCTGTACACATTAAATCTTGGTATTTATATTAAAGTTGTATGTGTTAAATCTTTATATTTATATTAAAGTTGTATGTGTCAAATCTTGATATTTATAATAAAGCTAAACATTATGTCTCAGGCATCACACTGGAGAGCAAGCCCACCCAGTTGCCCCCTTCACCTCTCAGTTTTCATTGAAAGTCCTGAAGACTTACATGGACGCTAAAGTGGGGGTGAAGAGTGGCGCCAAGTCCAGTGTGGACTGGCAGCAGCTGTTGTCTGACGGAGCCGTTGACCCGTCCTTGCTGGTCAGCAACATTCCCAGGCTACAGCGAGAAAAACTGACACCGAGGGACCGGCTTTGGACTGACATTCTTAGGTTGGTGGCCCTCACTTTACCTTGTCGAGATTCTGATAAGATTATAAAAGTTATATATATATATATATATATATATATATATATATATATATTTTATTATGTTTTAATACTGTTTTATGTTGGTTGTATTTGATGTTATTCTTTAAATTTACATTTTTAAAGATTTGATTTTTTATTGGATGAAATGCATTTTTCTTCAACATTCTTTCTTTCTTGTTCGTTATTTTTACTTTGTTATTCTAAGTTATGATTTCAAATTTTCACAATGCCAGATCAACATTGACTAAAAAAACTTTCTCTTTGTAGAAACATGAAAAAAGAAACAGGGGTAGTTACTCTAACACACACTCAGCTAGATCACCTAGAGGAACAAGAGTTACTCAGAACTGGAGGAGGTGAATTACCTTTTTTAAATTCACATTTGCTTAATTTATCAGTGCACTGAGCTGTAATCTGGAATGTCAGAAATTCTCCAGTCTAATGAATTCATATTCATAATAACAGATGTGCTTTAAAAAAATAACTATGTGGATTTTTACATTTTATAAGACTTGTCTTTATTAATCTTCTTTATTAAATGTTAGTATGTAGAAACAAAATGACTATTGTAAATGCTGGCTAATGTATTTTATATTTTACGTATGTGTTCCATAGCTGCTCCAGCCCACCTTAAATCTGTAGTTTTCACTTGTGGACATCATTACTCCGAGTCCAGCTTCAAGTCTGAAATTGACCATCGACTAACAGCTGAACTGACCAGCAGCAGCCAAACCAAGCTACCCAACTCGGCTATGTTGGTCAAGCAGATACTCTCCAAGCCAGGCTTAAAGCCCAGTGCCTGCCCTAGGTGCATTCTACATGGTTTGAAAGTGGTTTAGGAGAACAGAGATATTAATGCTGATGATAGTTTGTTTTATGATCATAGCTGATCGTGACAGTAACAGAGTAGTATTTGTATTGATTTAAACTCTACAGTGTCTTTCAAAGATTCAAGATTTTTTTTCTTATTTTTGAAATTTATATTTAACAGAATTTGAATATTCCTAATGATCACCTAATTGCATTTTTATTATTGTTGCCATTTTCCATATGTATGACTCTTATAATTTATAAAATTTTGATAATTTGCTTTATAGTTGTACACAAATGTTAAAGTAAGAAATTTTTTTTTTAATATACTAACAAACAGGAGAAAGTAATTTATTACTGTTAAACAAAATATGCATTTTAGCATTATCTTATGATTTTAAAATCTTTAATATGTACTTATTTCATATGACCACATATACTGCTATGCTACTGAATAGTGCCTTGCAATCAAATGCCAAATATAAAACTATGCTAAAAGATTAAAAATTCAATGCTTAGATTTTTTAAAAATACAGTTGCATAGTTTTGAAAAAAAATGTATGGATTATATTATTTTTACTTGTAATTTGAATCAGCCATTTTATGTCAACAGTGAATAAAGATAATATTTAAAGCTTTTGCTTTTAAAGACTCCATGTAGATATTTGTTTTCAGTGCATTTAGTATGTTTAGTAATGTATTAATATATAAATAACAACAGAACAAGATAGAGTTATGGAAATAGGCTTTGTTTATTAAATTGAAATAGTACATAGGTTTGTAAAATATTTCAATTATTGGCACAGATCATGCATGAAGAAAGTTAAAAAAATTGACTAGAAAAATTTTCTTGATATGTTACTGCAGCTTTGACATCCTTAGTTCTTTTGTATTCAGACAAAGCTGGACTGGATATAATTTAAAATAAAAATTTAAAAAAAAATAAAAACTACAGGTAAAAAGGAATCCAAACATATCTTTTACCTTTGATAAGGGTTAAAATGTGTTTGAAAAAAGTTCCAAACCCCACACACTGATAAACTTCATTTAAAAGGAGCAAAATGGAAACACAAATTAGGTATGCTACGAAAACTATGTAAAGTTTTCATGCAATATATTTTTTATTTTTTAAGTTTTTTTTTAATATTACTATAAATTTAAGGGATGCTACACTTTACTCATCAGTTTACGGAAAAAAGATAAACTGTGCTAGTGCAAATTAAGAAAATACTGAACAAATAAGAGCCATTATATTTGACTCCATCACTACATCATGTTGCTAGTTTTTTTTTTTTTTTAAATTACAAAATCAAATACAACACAATATGTAAAAGTTAAATAGGAAATAAATTTGTTACAATCTACATTAAATTTAATCTACATTATTTCACACATATAACTAAACTATCGCACTCAAACAAGAGCTGTTTCACTTGCAAGGGTTTTCACTAGGCCTAGCTTTGTTGGTAGTTTTCACAGGTAGGTGAGTTAAATGGAAAAATTAAATAGCGTAATTTTTTAATTTATGGTTATTATAAATGGAATATGGTTTATGAAAACAACAAAGAAAAATCCTGTACAGTACAAAGTAGAGAGATGTTTGAAATAAATGCATTAGTAAACAAGTTTTGTTTTGTGAAATATGCACAACTTAGCTTAGCCAGTCAAAATATTTCTTTAAAAAACTATTGCCTTGAGGATTCAGACATTGTTCTTTTCACTCTAGAATTTGGCATGGTTTGTATGGACATTCGGCATAATGTGTAACTGAAAATGCTTTTAGTTGAGTTATTTTAAATTACTATAACTTTGAAACACAAACGATTATATATATATATATATATATATATATATATATATATATATATATATATATATATATATATATATATATATATATATATAGTTGTTTTTTCTTCAGCATTTAAAAATGACTAATTATAATGTGTTTAAAAACTTCATTTAAAAACAAAAAACACATTCTCATTCTCTGAACACAGATTTAAAAAATTGCTATTGCAAAAATTTCTGAAAGACAATATCCGTTACTTATTTCTACATTATTTTGGCACATTTGCAAAACAAAAGTCACAAAGGTAATCTAAAAACAATTTAAAAATTATTGCACTACTCCTATGTTAAAAAAAACAAATAGCCAAATTATGGAATTAACCTGTATAAGCAGCTATAATATTTAAAAAAAAAATAATTTGCTATTGCACTCATTTATACTATCAAGAAAGACATCATATGATAGTAACATATTATGACCCAGCCAATTTATTCAGTACATAATATTCTGTTTACTGCATATCAACACATATCACCTTAACCATAAACAACAAAGGTGCACACTATAGGAAGTAACTCACAGATTCTCAACTTAAAATACATTTTGGGAACAGATTAGACAAACCATTTATATGACGACAGGCAGACCATGCTCACGGATGCTGTTGGGATTCATTGACTGTTATTATAGGATAATATCATTATCTATTAGTATATTTGTAATTAATCTTACATCCATCCAACTGCAACATTTTTAAAAAAGGATAATTAAAAATTAATGCTAAAGTGACTACAATTAAAGATGAAGCTAAAGTGACTACAACATAAAACATAAGGCTGTTTAAAATTTATCAAAATGTTTCATTAAACTCATACATTAATAATAACAGAATTTAAACATCTTAACTAAAATATTCTTGGATAATTTATTCCTTTAAGTCACATATAAAGAAAAAAAAAGTATAATTCATATCTAATTAAGGAGTAAACACCCACATACAAATACTTTTGCCTTCAACCTATGAGAGGCAAAGTGAATTTTGAAATAGCAAATAAATGTGTACAGATTACAGTGTGGAAAATTCTTAAAAAAAAATATCATTAAGCATTTAATCTCTTTTTTTCACCGATAAGCTTTTAACCAATAGAATTAATTGAATTACATGATTTTTAAAGGGTATATCATTCATCATTGGATTAGTAAAAAGCATGCATAGTTTAAGAAATGATTTAAAGTATTCCCTATAAAAATACGACAAAAACAAACAATACAATTTTTGGTATTAAAAATTAAAAGGTTATTGCACAAGATTTGTTTTACATGGTTACATATGACTAACTGAATTTAGGGATCTTCTTTGTGGTAATTTATTCTTTAATTACTCCATATTAGATTTAATATAAATGTATTTGTTTCAATTGTAATCTCAGCAAAACAATGTTGTCTCCCTTTCACCAGGCTTGACAATTGAAGGGACTGTGGTCAGCATCATGACCAGCTGTCTATATTTTCCCTCATTTAAGACACGACCCATCAAAGCTGGGTTAACTAATTAATTCTGATTATAATGCAAGTTGTAATTACATTTTATAAATTATAGTGTCCAGACTGGAGGCAAAATAATAACAAAATTTGTACACTTTTGAAATAACTATCTTTTGTGTCAGAACTGTATAAATGAAGTATTATGGCTTACACAACCATTCTTGATGAGGACTTTCATCAACTGACTTTAACTAACTGAGAATTTTATACATTTTTTTTCTAGTACTTCAACTATAATAGTACAGCTTCTCTTGAAGTTTTGAGTAAATTGCATAAGCTGAAAGTTGTTTTATGAATGAAGAATTAAAGCACAAATGACAATACAAAGCTGGGGGGTGGGGGTGGGGGGGGGGGGGGAATTGAGTACTTTTGGGCAATATTTCTGTGAGTTTTAACAGAATTTTATGTAGGCCTCTAATATATATTTTAAAAAATTAATTACAGTTAGGATTTAAAAATAAAAAAATTGAGTACATCTTTTAGTGACCTATCCATATAAGTATCTAGTATCTACCATCTCATTTTGATAGGTTTTTACATTTCCATTTGATATGCTTTTCTTTATAGAAGGTCAATGGACGGATTAAGTAGAACTTTAATTCCTAAAGAAAAAAAAAACATTCACAATTGATCAGAATTATAGTACCGGTAAAAGATTTAAAATGAGCACCTTGAAAAATCTGGCCATTATCTTTAATAAAAAATTTGGCCATAGTAACAAACAGTGGAGAAGATAAAAGAGGTGTCCGACAATATACATCACAGTGTTAGCTTTACGAAAGATGTTTTAAGTAATATAAAAAAACACATCGAAATTCATTAGTGTCCAATCATAAGAGAATTGGTTACATTCGAAAGACGTTGAAACTAGTAAAATTATTTAGAAAATTTGAGAAAATTACAACACCTAAAATACTGTAAAGCATCAACACAATTCCAAATTTGCCCGTCATTTAAAAAATATATAGATTCTATCTGAATTTGCCCATAAGTTACATTTCCCAACAAAAAAACAACAAAATATTTTTGCAACACACTTATATAAATACGCACTCTTGATACGCAACACTTTCCGAGCATCACATCTTTTTGTTAAACCATTTTGGTTTTTAATTTTGTCCTGAATAGTGTTGGAATGTTGATGGCAATCTATTGGGTAATATCAGTGTTAGCCAGCACTACTTCGGCTTTTTCTACACCATGGACATCAATACAGGCATCTAAGGTCAAGTTATAATTCCGTTTTCTTTTTTGTCTGTTGCTTAGCGTTGTTTGTTTGTTTCGTAGGTTCTTGGGATTTAGTAGGTACCGCCTGCTTTGTTGTTTCTGTTTTCTTCAAATGTGGGGTCTGCTTTACGGGTTCGACTTTTTTAACGGTAGCCGATTTTGGTTGGTCTTGTTTTGTGGGAGGAGCAGCTTGTTTAGTGGGCTGGGGCTTCTGGGTGGGCTTGGGTGGCTGTTGCTTTTGTACGGGAGGGGATTGTTTCACTGGTTCTTTTTTAGGTGTGGCGCTTTGTTTTGGTGGTGGTGTGTTTTGTTTTGGGGGTGGTGTGTTTTGTTTGGGAGGTGAGGTGCTCTTCGCTTGCTGCTGTTTCAGTGCCTGTTGCTTGTGTTGCTGCTGAAGCTGCTGCATCTGCTGTGGTGTAAGCTTTAGTTTTGCCGAGTTGTCTTTAAGGGCTTGGGCTTTCCTCTTGGCCTCCTCCGCCGATTTCAACGCCGCTTGTTTCAAGACGCCTGCGTTGACTGATTTAGCCGCCATTTTCTTCTCGACCTGGAGCTTCTGGGTTGGGGTGGGGATGGTGAGTTTAACACCCTTTGGTGGTGGCTGTTTGACCTTCGCGTGGACAACTTTAATAGGCGTGTCAGGTAGTTCGTCGTTTTTATCATCATCGTCATCTTTTCCTTCTTTTTTACCCTCTGATTTCTTATCATCGTCGTCGTCATCGTCGTCGTCATCAGCAGCATCCTTTGGCTTGCCCCAGATAAAATTCTTAACGACATCAACAAGATCGTACTTTTGCTCGTGAGGTTTCTGCTTAGCTGGAGGGGGTGGAGGTGGTTTTTCTGTGGTCTGTCCCTGTTCTTGGTGAAGGGCCGCTGCCATCATTTTCTTCAGGGCGTTTTTTATACGGATCCAAAAAGTGGCTTGCTCTTTGGCCAGGCTTTTCTTCTTGCTCGGTTTTTTAATCGGTTTTTGTGGGCAGCTCGTCTTATCGCACTTGCCCTTGTCTTGACCATCAGGTATACCATCACCATCATCGTCCTTATCGATGCTGTCTGGAATGCCATCGTTGTCGTCGTCATCGTCCAAATGATCCGGAATACCATCACCATCAGAGTCCTGCTCTTTGTCCAATATACCATCACCATCCGCATCGTCGTCCATATAATCAGGTATACCATCACCATCTGTGTCTTCCTGAGCGTCTGGAATGCCGTCGTTATCGTCGTCGTCGTCTCTTATATCGGGAATACCATCACCATCAGAGTCTGGAAGTTTATCCGGGATACCATCTCCATCGGCGTCATCGTCTAAATGATCGGGAATTCCATCTCCGTCGAAATCTTCCTTGTCATCTGGTATACCGTCACCGTCGTCATCGTTGTCTAAGAAATCCGGAATTCCATCGTTGTCGTCGTCGTCATCTAAATAGTCTGGGATCCCATCTCCATCGGTGTCTTTTTCCATGAAGTCTGGTATTCCATTTCCGTCTTTGTCTGTGTCCTTCGAATCAGGGACTCCGTCGTTATCGTCATCGTCGTCTAGATAATCTGGGACCCCATCACCGTCGGTGTCATCTTCTTCATCATCTGGAATACCATCACCATCCGCATCCGCATCTTCATCGTCTGGGATACCATCATTGTCATCATCATCGTCGAGGTAATCTGGAACACCATCACCATCCGTGTCGATTTCCTGATCGTCTGGGATACCATCACCATCATCATCGTCGTCTAGGTCATCAGGTATACCATCGTTATCGTCATCGTCGTCTAAATAATCAGGAATGCCGTCGCTATCGGTATCGATTTCTTGATAATCGGGGATACTATTCTTATTTAAATCCAGAGTCTTTAACTGATCCGGAATACCATCTCCATCGTCGTCGTCATCCAAGTCATCGGGAATGCCATCGTTGTCATCATCGTCATCAAGATAGTCTGGTATTCCATCACCATCCGTGTCTTTTTCAAGATGGTCTTTTATTCCGTTATTGTCGTCGTCATCGTCTAAATTATCGGGGATACCATCTCCATCCGAATCGATTTCCTGACTGTCCGGAATACCATCGCCATCATCGTCATCATCCAGGCTATCAGGAATACCATCGTTGTCGTCGTCTTCGTCGATGTAGTCCGGAATACCATCGCCGTCTGTGTCGATTTCTTGAAAATCCGGAACACCATTTCCGTCAGCGTCGTCGTCGATGTAATCAGGAATACCATCATTATCGTCGTCATCGTCTATGTAATCGGGAATACCATCCCCGTCTGTATCGACCTCCTGGTCGTCGGGGATGCCGTTGTTGTTGTCATCGTTGTCTTGTGAATCTGGTATTCCATCATTGTCGTCGTCGTCGTCTAGATAATCCGGGATACCATCCCCATCCGTGTCTACCTGATACACGTCCGGAATACCATCACCATCTTGGTCATCGTCGAGATGGTCCGGGACGCCATCATTATCGTCATCGTCGTCGAGTAAATCGGGTATTCCATCTCCGTCTGTGTCGGTTTCCAGATTGTCGGGTATACCATCACCATCATCATCGTCGTCCAAGCTATCGGGGATACCATCGTTATCATCGTCGTCATCTAGATAATCAGGGATCCCATCACCATCCGTGTCTACCTCTAAATTATCCGGAATTCCGTTGCCGTCGTCGTCGTTGTCGAGGTAGTCTGGGATACCATCACCATCCGTGTCTTTTTCCAAGACGTCCGGAATACCATCTCCGTCGTCGTCTTCATCTTGGTCGTTCGGTATACCATCCCCGTCTATATCGTCGTCTTTGTAATCTGGGATACCATCACCATCTGTATCAACTTCTAGATGGTCCGGTATACCATCACCATCATCATCGTCGTCTAAATAATCAGGCACGCCGTCTCCGTCCGTATCTTTTTCCATCTCATCGGATATACCATCCCCATCATCATCCTCATCCAGGTCGTTCGGAATTCCATCACCATCAATATCGTCATCTAAGTGATCAGGTATACCATCACCATCCGTATCTTCTAAATAATCAGGTATACCATCACCATCCGAATCTTTGTCCAACACATCCGGGATACCATCCCCATCATCGTCGTCGTCTTTATCATTTGGAATACCATCGCCATCAATGTCATCATCTAAATAATCCGGGATACCATCACCATCCGTGTCCTCTTGATAATCTGGTATTCCATCCCCATCGCTGTCCCCTTCCCAACCATCGGGTATACCATCTCCGTCATCATCGTCATCCTGAGCATTAGGAATACCATCACCATCAATATCATCATCCAGATAATCAGGGACCCCATCCCCATCCGCGTCTTCCAGGTAGTCGGGCACACCATCACCATCACTATCGCCCTCCAGGTGATCGGGAATTCCATCCCCATCATCGTCATCATCCAGGTGGTCAGGAATACCATCACCATCTTCATCTTCCTGTGAATCGGGAATACCATCACCATCGTCGTCGTCGTCTTGATCGTTAGGGATACCATCTCCGTCGACGTCATCGTCTAAAAAATCTGGCACACCGTCACCATCCGTATCTTTTTCTAAGTGATCCGGTATACCATCACCGTCGTCATCTTCATCCTGATCGTTTGGAATACCATCACCATCGATATCATCGTCCAAATAATCTGGCACGCCGTCACCATCAGTGTCTTCCTTATAGTCAGGAACACCATCACCATCACTGTCCCTCTCCCAACTGTCGGGAATACCATCCCCATCATCGTCTTCGTCATCTTCATTAGGAATACCATCACCATCAATATCATCATCCAAGTAGTCCGGAATACCATCCCCGTCAGTATCTTCCTGGTAATCTGGGATACCATCTCCATCGCTGTCTCCTTCCCAGTTATCAGGTATACCATCACCATCATCATCATTGTCTTGGTCATTCGGGATACCATCCCCATCAATATCATTGTCAAGATAATCTGGAATACCATCACCATCGGTATCGTTTTCCAAGTGATCTGGGATACCATTTCCGTCGTCGTCTTCGTCGATGTAATCTGGTATACCATCACCATCCGAATCCTCCTCCTTATCCGGGATACCATCCCCATCGTCATCTTCGTCTTTGTCATTTGGAATACCATCACCATCAATATCATCGTCTAAGTAATCTGGTATTCCGTCACCATCAGTATCTTTTTCTAGGTAATCAGGCTCGTTATTGGTATTGTCCTGACTATCAGGAATACCATCATTATCATCATCATCATCCAAATGATCTGGAATGCCATCACCATCTGTATCTACTTCCTGATTATCGGGAATACCATCCCCATCATCATCATTATCCTGACTATCCGGAATACCATCATTATCATCATCATCGTCTAGATGATCTGGAATACCATCACCATCAGTATCTACTTCCTGATTATCGGGAATACCATCCCCATCATCGTCATTATCCTGACTATCCGGAATACCATCATTATCATCATCATCATCCAAATGATCTGGAATACCATCACCATCTGTGTCCTTTTCCTGATCATCGGGAATACCATCACCATCATCATCCTTATCCTGACTATCCGGAATACCATCATTATCATCATCATCGTCTAGGTGATCGGGAATACCATCACCATCCGTGTCTACTTCTTGATCATCGGGAATACCATCCCCATCATCATCCTTATCTTGACTATCCGGAATACCATCATTATCATCATCATCATCCAAATGATCTGGAATACCATCACCATCTGTGTCCTTTTCCTGATCATCCGGAATACCATCACCATCATCATCCTTATCCTGACTATCCGGAATACCATCATTATCATCATCATCATCTAAATGATCTGGAATAACATCACCATCTGTGTCTTTTTCCTTATCATCCGGAATACCATCACCATCATCATCATTATCCTGACTATCTGGAATACCATCATTATCATCATCATCGTCTAGATGATCAGGAATGCCATCACCATCTGTGTCTTTTTCCTGATCATCGGGAATACCATCACCATCATCGTCATTATCCTGACTATCCGGAATACCATCATTATCATCATCATCATCCAAATGATCTGGAATACCATCACCATCTGTGTCCTTTTCCTGATCATCGGGAATACCATCACCATCATCATCATTATCCTGACTATCCGGAATACCATCATTATCATCATCATCATCTAAATGATCTGGAATACCATCACCATCAGTATCTACTTCCTGATTATCGGGAATACCATCCCCATCATCGTCATTATCCTGGCTATCCGGAATACCATCATTATCATCATCATCATCCAAATGATCTGGAATACCATCACCATCTGTGTCCTTTTCCTGATCATCGGGAATACCATCACCATCATCATCATTATCCTGACTATCCGGAATACCATCATTATCATCATCATCGTCTAGATGATCGGGAATGCCATCACCATCTGTGTCTTTTTCCTGATCATCGGGAATACCATCACCATCATCATCATTATCCTGACTATCCGGAATACCATCATTATCGTCATCATCATCTAAATGATCAGGAATACCATCACCATCTGTGTCCTTTTCCTGATCATCCGGAATACCATCCCCATCATCGTCATTATCCTGACTATCCGGAATACCATCATTATCATCATCATCATCCAAATGATCTGGAATACCATCACCATCTGTGTCCTTTTCCTGATCATCGGGAATACCATCACCATCATCATCATTATCCTGACTATCCGGAATACCATCATTATCATCATCATCATCTAAATGATCAGGAATACCATCACCATCTGTATCTACTTCCTGATCATCCGGAATACCATCACCATCATCGTCATTATCCTGATTATCCGGAATACCATCATTATCATCATCATCATCCAAATGATCTGGAATACCATCACCATCTGTGTCCTTTTCCTGATCATCGGGAATACCATCACCATCATCGTCATTATCCTGACTATCCGGAATACCATCATTATCGTCATCATCATCTAAATGATCAGGAATACCATCACCATCTGTATCTACTTCCTGATCATCCGGAATACCATCCCCATCATCGTCTTTATCCTGACTATCCGGAATACCATCATTATCATCATCATCATCTAGATGATCGGGAATACCATCACCATCTGTGTCTTTTTCCTTATCATCGGGAATACCATCCCCATCATCGTCATTATCCTGACTATCCGGAATACCATCATTATCATCATCATCATCTAAATGATCTGGAATACCATCACCATCTGTGTCTTTTTCCTTATCATCGGGAATACCATCCCCATCATCGTCATTATCCTGACTATCCGGAATACCATCATTATCATCATCATCGTCTAGATGATCAGGTACACCATCACCATCAGAATCAATTTCTTTCTCGTCAGGAATTCCATCCCCATCGTCATCTTTATCCTCACTGTCCGGTATACCATCCCCGTCGTCGTCGTCGTCAAGATGGTCGGGAATACCATCCCCATCCGTATCCCGTTCCAGCATATCAGGCATGTCAGAGCCGCCGTGCTGATTTCTCTGCACGTCAACATCGATGGTGCCATCCCCTTCAACATCCTCTACATCGTTCCCCGCATCATCCTGGGAATCTGCCCGCTCTGCGAGCAAGGATTCGTACGTCTCCAAGTACTCGTCGACCTCGTCCAACTTGGAATCGTAGTCCTCTTTATCGTCCGGAATACCATCGCCGTCATCATCGCGATCGTTTTCGTCGGGTACGCCGTCGTTGTCGTCATCAAAATCCAGATAGTCTGGCGTACCGTCGCCGTCGGTATCCAACTTTGTGTTTACCGGACCTCCGCCATTTACGGACATCAACTTCCGGTTGCAGAAAGTGCATTTTTCCTGGAGCGAAGAAAAGATAAAGATCTGTTACATTATTAGTTTTAATAGCTTTATTTTTTCTAACTATATGTACAGTTTCGAAAATAAATACAATTGTTTCAGGATTAGATAAGTTAGCCGAACTGGTTTTTTGTTTTGTTTTAGTAAATTAGGCTTCAGGCGACATGCTTTACTTCAAAAATTTCCTTTTAATAATAATTTTTAAAAATATAAATAAATAAATAACCCGCTTGTTATCATTTTTAAAGCATAAAAAAAAAATAATAACGTCAATTAGCCAAAATTTCATTTCTTTTTAATAATAATTTTAAAAATATAAATAAATAAATAAATACATAACCCGCTTGTTATCATTTTTAAAGCATAAACAAAAAATAAATAAATCCAAGCGTTGCTTCAATTATCTATTTTAACCGTCTGAACATTTCATTGGAAGCGCGTTTGTAAATTGACAGCGCGTAAATAAAAAAAAAACCAGTCTACACTATAGCCGCTATCTAGTGAAGTATGTTTGTTTCTGTGTTGGTACAGGTGCTCATTGCAAAAACATTGCTCAAAACGAATTTATAGAACTTGATATTTCTTTGGTGTTGTTTTTTTTAAAATTATGTCCATGTTGTGTTAAACATTTTATTATGAATTGTTAATAAATGTGTAACTTACATCTCAGGGTCGACCTTAGAAAATCTAGCGCCCAGGGTGTGATTTTAGGCGCCCGGCCTTCATAGGTGAATACCTAAATGCCATAAACACTTTCCCACAAGTATCTGTAAAAACCCACACACTATTACATTTCCCCCACTTTCACCAGTGAATACCCACACACTTTATAACTTTTCCCACCTTGATTTACCCCTGCCATGTAATGTTGCGGAGTTGCCTCCGGGAGGGGAGAACGGGTCTAACCGTGACGGGACTACCCCGGTCCCACGAATACATTGACATGGATTGTTCACGGAAAAGTATTATGAAAGTTTTTGTTTTATTGTACTGACCTAGGTAAACTATGCGACCTAGTTATAACTCTTGTAAAGTATGATAAAAAAAACTATAGGTAACTAATTACAGTTTTTTTTCGCGATATATTTTACTTTGAAGATAATACTCTTATCATTAGGCTAACATAACATTGATCGGCTTGAATCTTGATCTGCACAAAGATAGCAATATAAAAAACATTTAGCTAAATTAATTAATGCTTAATTTTGAAAATAAAATAGCGATTTATAACGTGTGACGTTAGGAAGGGGTGAAGGTAATGACTTTAAAAGAAAAAAAAACACACCAGAGAACTAGAGCCTAGTGCTCACAACCCATTAAGAGCACGTCAGTAAACCTGTGATGTAATACAGTAATCTTCCCCGTGTGTTCACCTGTAGGGTTACCTAAGAGTGCTCGCCAGGTTAAAAAAAAATAACGCTCACGACTCACACGCGGCAGGTAAAACGTGCCTGGGAGTGCAGGAAGAAATGGGGGAAGGGGGGGGGGCGCTATATTATCAACACAAACTTTCTTTATGGTTTTTTTTAAAAATACTCTTAAGTCCACATATTTATTCGAAAATGCTTACCACTCGGTAAAATATATGCTTGCTAGAAACATGTAAGTTGTTTTATAAATAGGCCACTATTTAGAGAGTTGTCCAAATTCATCATCATCATCATGTATCATCATCATCATTCCTTTGTGGCCCCTGGGGAGCAAAGGGCTGCAGCCACACATCTCAAGCGGACTCAGTTTTGGGCTGCTCCTCTGATCTGTGCCCATCAGAGCCCAGCTGTTTTCGCCTCTTCTTCAACCGTTCTTCTCCATGTCTTCCTTGGCCGGCCCACCCTCCTTTTTCCATGGGGATTCCAATCCAAAGCATGTTTTGCGATGTTTTCTTTTTCTCTTCTTAATCAGAGTTTCTTCCAGGCATCTCTTCGGGGGGGGGGGGGGGGGCAAAGCACCCCCGAAAATTTTTTACCGCCCCCCGAACGGAATGAAATTTATATAATTTATATAGAAAATATATACTTTTAACAGTGTCCGCCCCCCCCCCCCCCTTCCCCGAAAATTTCAAGTGCCCCCCCGGAGAAAAAAGTCTGGAAGAAACACTGTTCTTAATGTGTGTCCGATCCATCCCCATTTACGGGCCTGTTGCTTTAAAGTTCGCCACAGTTCTTTTTTTTTATATTTAGTCTGGCCATCTTATTTAAAGTCTATGTCGTAAGCATTTGTTGACGAATGCCTGTAGCTTATCAGTATTTGTCTTCGTAACCCTCCAAGTCTCCGAGCCATAGAGCAGCAGTGCCTTGACATTTGTGTTGAAAATCCCAATTTTGCTCCGGAGTGACAGGGCCGTGGACCTCCACATCGGGCGCAGTCAGTTGAAGGCATATCTAGCCTTGTTGATACGACATTGTATGTCCTCGTCTGCTCCCCCGTCCTTATTGATCACGCTTCCCAGATATTTGAATGTGGTTGTCCAAATTGGTGTGAACTATAACTAATAGATTACGATTAGGAAAGTTACTTTACCTGGCCTTATAATTAATGTCTTATGTAATATGCTGCTATTAGGTGAGTTGCTTAAACAAGTCTGTAACTTATTGGCTAGTCTACTATAAAAAGAGTTACCCTAAATGGCCTAGAATACTAATAGGCAGTGGCGTAGGCAGGGGGGGGGGGGGGTTGGGGGGGTCATAACCCCCCCCATAGCCCCTCGGTATATATATAAAGTATGAGGGGGGTGCAAATCTAAAATTTGGGGGAGGAGGTGCAAATCGAAAATTTGAGGGGGGGGGGGGTGAAAACGAAAGTTTGAGGGGGGGGGGGGTGCAAATCGAAAGTTTGTCCCCGGGTAAAAATTGGAACCCCCCCCCCCCCCCCCCCTTGAGACGATCCTGGCTACGCCACTGCTAATAGGCTACTTCAAGGATAGTTTCACTGATTGGTCTATAAGTAATATTTAAGGTTACTATTATTAATTATGGCGAATTAGCCTACCCAAAATAGTTACACAACGTTTACACTTGCGACATGTGTAGGCCTACTATACTTACTGAAACACTCGCAATAAGCTTAAGTTATTTGAAAACATTTTTCTCACGGAACAAGTTAACTTGTTGCGAGTTTTTTTTTTTTTTTTTTTTTAAATTCTAGACATGTATAGTATACGTGTCGCAAGTGTAAACGCGGTGTTAGGCTATACTGTTGGTCTTAGGCTATACTATTACCACAAATATTTGCTCGTTTATATTGCATTAAGTATTACACACGAGGGTATGTATTTGATCTTATTCAATCTTTCTCATCGTCAGCCCAATTTTCCTTATGTCTGGGATTGTCAAAAAACAACGCTTTAGCCGATTTTAACCCGCTTACAATTAAACGTCCTTATAAAACACCGGACCACATACAATAAAACAGACATTACTCTGCGTAATTTAACACGTTTTTCATTTGTTTTGTTCTCTTGAAAAAAAAAAAACATCTGCTGAGTCAGATTTCTTAACACCCCCCCCCCCCCCTTTCGTTTCCTCACTTCTTCCCGAAAGTCTGGATCCCTTCCCCTTGTTGTATGACTTCAGGCATGGATGAAAATATAATGTAATACTATATATTTATCATTAAGTAAAAATGTATTACAAACACACATTAAAACACTACTTATAACAGATGCAGGCCTATTTAAAAAAAAAAGATAAAAACTAGATTTGATTGCATTGCTTGTTTTGTGGATAAAGGCAATAGCGCTAAAATTCAGCAACATGTTATGTAGGGTAACCCGGGGTAATTCCATACACTACTTTTCTAAAAAATTTGTAAAAAATCTAAAATCAACACTACCACAATATAATATTGAGGGTAAAACTAGACATGCATTACTTATATGATGGCAAACAAATATAAAGATAATTCACAAAATAAAATACAATTTTTAAATATTTCACTTTTATTGCAAAAACATGGCAAGTGGGGCAATTCCACACACATTATGAAAATTTTAAAATTCATGTATTTAAAAATGTGTAAAAAACATTTTCACCCTTGGAAACAATTTTGCATGGGGGCAACCAGTCTTCATCACTGGGTGAGGAGAAAGTCTCAATTTCTTCCTCCTGAATTCGACTCTCATCTGTCATAGGCCGAAGTTATTCGTTTATAATTGTGGACCATTCTGAAATAAATACAAAATTAAATGTTAGAAAGTCTAATTACTAATGTGTGTATGGGGATGTTTAGCTCTAAATATTGCATAAATTATAATAAATAATATAGGTACAGTAAAAATAATAATAGATAAAGAAATAAAAGAAGTATGCGGCAATTTTACTTAACTTTAATAGCAGAGTCTTTTTAAAAAATAAATAGTACTAGATCTAGTACTATTCAAGTATTTTTTAAGATTAAATCATGAGTTGTGAATTACAGAATTAGCCACAACCATTTGAAATGGTTTAAAATAAAAGCTAAACCCTCTAAAGAGTATAAAAAGCAACATGGGACATTCCAAACTATAGTGTATGGAATTGCCCCACACCATGTGTGTGGAATTGCCCCACACCTACTATTGAAAAAAATATGCTTTCCTGTTCTAAATTAAAGGCTGAATCTAGCATCATTAACTGTTTCTATTAACAAAAATTATTAAGCTTTCATATAATCAATAAATAATTGACAACAATTAAAAATAAGACAAAAAAAATATTTTTAAAAAAGTGCAGGGGTTGTACTTACCTAAGGATGTTTGAAGATAGATGCAGATAAAATTAAAATTCTTGCTCTGAATGTAGGTGAACGCTTCTCTAACAGTATCAGAAAGTACAAGAAATGACCTCTTAGAAACAGGGAATAGTAACTTTTAATTAAACTTTACTCTCATTAAAAATAGAGAGTATCCAGTATATAGTGTGTGGAATTACCCCGTGTGTGGAATTACCCCACCTTACCCTACGCTATGCTAGACGGCCCCACTGAATAATTGATCCCTATCACGCTTCTAAAAAAAATAGACGAATAAAGCTCCAAACGAACAGAAAATTCGATAATATAGGCGCATGAGTTATTCATTGATGATGGGGAGATATAAGATAAGAAGTAATGAAAGGTTTTCATAGAATTACGTCCTATTTACCCACCCCCTCCAATGTAATTTCAGTATTTGCTATACATAAGGTAATGAGATCAACCTAAGCCGTCACTCAAAGGTGGGCGTCAGGCTAGTCCATCAACCAATCACTAAAAGATGACTCGCTCATTCATCAGACTCACACGAAATGTTACAGCTGATGCTTTCAACCTAGTTTAAAATTACCATACTTTGGGTTTGTGCACATTTACATAACGTAAGCATGCTGCGAACAGTATTTTCAGAAAATAAGTCTGCTGAAAAGTATGTATAAAAATACCATCCGTACTCGCCGCCTTTTCTGACCCTCCCACCTTAAGCAGCCTGTCAGATTCCTCAACATTTAATCCTTCCATACTACACCATGTGCTCCTCCATAAACCTTCACCACCCCCACCCCCCTGCAACACACACATTACAAACCGAAAAACAATTTAAAGAATAAAAGGGGAATGGGTTTGTAACAATAACTAGACGATCCTTTCAGCGATAAGCGCTCATCAAACCACAAACATGTTTGCCATTAAGTTCGAGCAGAGTTAAATTTTAAAAGGTTTGAACAATTAGTTTTTTGTTTTCTTTTAAACTCTGGAAATAGAGGTGCGTTGACAGAAATATGGCTATGTTTATTGATGGGGGGGGGGGGGGGACAAGATGAGGGAATAATCGGAAACCGACGACTGTTAAAAGTGAATTAGCCATGCAGTGAAGCAAACCGAATGGACAAGTAATCAGAACGCATCTTATAATTGGTCTACGCGTGCATGTCTGCTTCGTTTGTTCTCTCTTACATGTTTCAACGTGTGGTGTTTGGTCTGGCTGTCGTTCAAATCGCGAATCAGTGATCGAACTTAACCACGCTGGCAATGTAATCATTTTCTTATAGCAAAGAATCACAAACAGTTACACGGTAGGCCAGCCTCGCGTTGCGACTTGGATAATAAAACAAAGCCAACTGCGTAGGGAGACGGGACACAACATGAACAGATTACCAACACACTGGTGGATGATTCAACGGATAATCACGCCAAGAATTGAATGAAATACATAATTTTAAGGAATGAAAAATTATTCGATTTTGAACATGAGACGGGGGAAGGGGAGAGAAATAAAAGATTTTCATTTCTCTTTACTCTTCTCAATAATTTCGTTTTCAACTTGTACACGCGATTCACTTACCAGTTTCTATAAAAGTCATTGAAACTGATTTGTTTACGATAGCTCTATCCGCGTCTTGCTGTACCAATGCGGAGAGAACATGAGTTGGCAGCAGGTTTGCCTCGAAACGTATATAATTACTTCAGCTACGTCATGTTTGGGAACCCCGTCTGTTTCCTGTTATTGGAAAGCGTGCTGAGAGTGGTGTATTGATCTGAAGTTCGTTTAGGTGGATCTCCCCTCCTTCCCCAGCGAATATTAAATACTTTGTGAGCCCCAACCATTTTTTAATGATCACGTGCCAAACTTAAAACAAAATTAACTCAGGTCACATAACGGTGTACCAATTGTTAATATCTAATGACTAATACAGCCGTAATTAGCTGTTGCTTTATGTTAAGTTTTCAGTCAAATTGAAAAAAAAAGAATAATTTGGTGAAACTTCATGCAACTCAAAAAGACACCCAGCATTGCAGAAGTGGAGTAAACATGGCTTATACTTATGATCAGCAAGATCGATGTTTAAACATTATCTTAAATTAGCAAATTTGACAGCATTATTATTTGTAACTTAAAAAAAAACAACCGCTTGTGTAATCAGTGATTAGAGAAAAAAAAGAACAAGAGTTTTTAAATATACATTTATTTAACCATAAAACATAACAAATTACTCATTAGGTATTTGAAACATTTTAAATTTGGACGAATTAAATTCATTTATTCCTTCTGATATGAAAACTACCATACATTCCAATTAACCATATAGATCCATTTCAAAAAATTTCTTTTTTAATAACCTGGGAACCCTATTTATTTATTTGAGATTGAAATAAAAATTGCCTTATAAAAAGGCTGGACAATATTTTGTTAAGGATATAAACCATTTTTAATTTGTATCATAAAATATGACAAACTTTACTGGAATGAAATAGTAATAAAAATGTTCAAAACATGCACACAGATATGGTCCAAAGTCCAAGTTATGTAAAGTAAAAAATTCACAACTGAATACTTTCAACATTTATGTGATAAATAGATCCTGTTCACAATTATATCAAAGATTTTCCAGCAATCATATTCATTCTAGCATCCTTACTTAAGAATACAAGTTTTTCACAAATGAAAACATTCAATGCTTTGGCTTTAACAAAGGTAATTTTCAAATACCACTAAAACTTAAAAACTCTAATGTTGAGACCGTCAAAGATTTAAATTATATACTATAATATCCAATCTAATAAAAAGTTTTAGACATGAATGTGCTTTTTAAGGATTAATTTAGAAAGTGTAAGTAATTAACAAATAAAATTTTTGGGTAGAATTTTCAGAATTAGATGAAGCACATTTAGCCAACAACCCACAATGCAAGCGAGAAATATTGTCATGTAAGTATCAAGGTTCTATGAGATTTTAGCTAGGTAAAAATACAGCTAACTTTTTGATGAACCATTCAGTTTACATGATGCTTGTTAGATCACTCACACAAATTCTATTTATAAGAAGATACCCAAGGTTTGCAAATTTGTTCCTCAATCAAACAGAATGAATGAATTAAATGTTCTAATCTTTACACCTGAATGTATGAGAGATAACTAGCAGGAACTCAGAAAAATATTTTCAAAAAGTTCCATAAAGCTTTGTCATAACAAAAAAAAACAAGGGTTAGTAGCAACAGCAAAATACTGAAACATTTTATAATGAGAATTAAAACAAAAAAATGTGTAAAAAATTGTATACATTTCAATTTAGAATTTTTGGTCAACTAATATGAAAATGAGAAATGTAGTTTGATGAACAAAATGCCACATCAGCTGATAATACACTAGTGCAAGCAACTATCAGAAGTAGGTGTTACAACTCATCTCTGCCTGTGTCCTCAGATTCCTGCAAGAGAGCAAAGGCAAAACGCAAATGGTCACTGGCTAGGTGTACACTGGTATAAAAAGAACTAAGAAATAAAATAGATTTGAGTATGTTCAGTTAAAAATAAAACTAAAAAAAAAAGAAGCTATTGTGTTAAACAATATATGTATGAAATATATCCTACAGTAGAGCTCTAAAAAATGCGTATGAACACTAGAAGTGCCAGTACATTGACCTTTGTGACTTGCCTTGCTGCTTGCTGTGACCATTAATATATTAAAAAAATACATTTATCACCTTACATGCTGCCATTCTAATTTATTTTGTCATTTCTCCATCCAAATTTTATTATTTACCCCAGGTTTAATTAATATATATAAAGAATTGTATTGTCACAATTAAACTATTATTGAAACCATTCACTATTGCCGGGTTAGCGGATTCAAATTGGATGGAGCAGTTAAACAGAATGGCAAAAACAACAGACTGAATAAATAAATTAAAAAATCATGAATGCTCACTCCAAACATCATGCACAATTTGTTCAGTAAAAGAGTGATTTCTTCTAACTTTACCCAGTCTAAAGACTAAGTTATTAATTCAATTGGATTCTTTGATTTAAAAAAAAAAAAAAACCCCTTAACTTTGTTTTACCAGCGTCTGAAATTAAGGGTACAACTGATGGCTAGCCTGTTGCAAATATTACAATAATTTGGAAAGACGTGCAGTAATGGCTAGAGAGCACATTCACACACTCACACAAAAACAAAAGGAGGGGCAAGCAGCAAGGTTTGAGGTCAGGCTGTTAAAGTTGCCAACTGGCACTATAACTTCAGGATAAGGCAGTCATTTTATTTTAGTAATTTTACAAAATACTCTTACACCAAATTATAGAATGTTAAAAAAATAAAACACTGTAATAAAACTATTGTAATGTTTAATTTTTTAAGTAGTATTTTAAACTGTCTCTATGCTATTAGTGCCACTTTTAGTGAAAATATTACTACCTTTAAAATTAGAAAACAGCTAATGAATTTGGAAATTACACGAAAAAGCTTGCAATGAAACTTGATTGTGAAAAAGAATTACACAGATAATAAATTATACTACAAAAACAACCTATCTAGTGGCATTTATCATATGATCAGTGACTAAATGATACATTATTGATTGCTTACCTCTTCAGCAGGTTTATCATCATCTGCAGCAATTTCTTCTTCATCAGCAGGTGCCTCAGCAGCAGGTACTTCCTCCTCTTCTGGTTCTTCCTCAACCTAATGTTTTAAAAAATGGAATTTAAAAAAAAAAACCAGGTAGGTGGTGTCACTAAATTTTCACCTTTTTATAACTAGAGAAAAGCATAAAAGAAATATAATAAACCTGTTCATACCTGTGCATTTAAGTCCAAACCCATACTCATTTTCATCATCCTTTCTATACGTTGTGCAAAGTCCAAAGAGTTTTTGACAGCAAAACCTGATCTCAAGGTTGCTGTGTCAAGTAACACCTTGGCAAGATCTTTGGCAGTTTCATCTGAAGCATCGGCCTAGAGAAACAACAAATTTAACATTCATAATTGCTAAACAAAAAATGTATTGATATAAATTTATTTAATTCTTTTGCTTCATTAAAAAACACTTTTATTTCAGTGATAAAAATTACTAACAAAATACAGCTTATAGGAATAAGTAAATGTGGCAAGTTAATAATAATCAAAAGGGTATAATTCTACCTCAACACGGGATTTCAGTTCTTTGATCAATGGATGTCTAGCATTGAGCTCCAGTGTCTTTTTCTGATTAGCATAAAATCTGATAGAGAATGAAAGCAAAATAACTTCCTCTGTCATGCAATGCAATGTAGAATTTGGAAAGTTCATTTTTAAGTTGTACATTAAAGAAAACATTTGAGAAATATTAAAACTTATAAACATACTGATTAGAAGCATCTCCCTGTTTGGCATAAGCTTGAGATTTCATTATTCTCTCCATATTTCCTGACCATCCATACTGACTGGCCACCAAAGCACAAGGAGAGTTGGTTAAACGTTCAGAGATTGTGGCTTTTTCAATCTGAAATTAAGTAGCATACAGTAAGCAAACTATAAATAAAAAATTTCAGTTGATAATTAAAAAATAAACCTTTACTTGATATAAAAACTAACCTGATCCTTAAGAGCATCATCCTTAAGCCAATCTGTAAGAGGTTTAAAGTCCTTTTCAAGCGCTTCTTTCCTCTCTTTTGCCTTTTCAGATGTGTCCAAATTCAGGCCTTCTTTGGCAATGTTTTGGAATTTCTTGCCTTCAAATTCAGGCAAGGATTGTATGCAGTATTCATCAACTGGCTCAATGAGGTACAAAACTTCATAGCCCTTCTTCAACAGGCGTTCAACAAATGGAGATTTCTCAACCTAAACACATGAGTATCAAAAATAATTGTGAAAAATCACCTTTTCTTTGTCAATAACCAAGGATATTAACATTTTCAAAGTAAGTTTGAACTTATTTACAGGTAACATACAAAGAGTGGGTGAGTGTAGCTGTGTTTTTGACCAAATAGATTTTAAAAAAACTTGCTTCACATGGTTGGTGTAATAGTAAATCTAAAATATAACTATCTCACTATATTATTATTTTGTTTTTAAAAATGCTAAGATACATTGTCACATGTTTTTTAGAGATGTATATTGAGGAAAGGTATAAAAAATAAGCTGACCTCTTCTCTACTTGTGCCAGCAATAAAGTAGATGGCCTCTTGCTTTTCTTTCATTCTCTCTACATAGTCTGCAAGGAATGTTTGTTCAGTGTCAGAGTTGGAGGAGAAGAATCGTAGCAGTTTGGCCAGACGTGTCCTATTAGACGTATCTTCAATAACACCCAGCTTAATGCTGTCAATAGAACATTTTAAAAACGATGAATTTATAGATAAAATGGAAATGTCATCTTTTTAATACAAAGCCTATTCAAGAAACGAAATAAAAAGAAACAGATAATGATCATACTTAGTGCTGAATTCCTTCCAGAATTTTTCATATTGTTCTTTGTCAATTTTCTTGATCATGTCAAGGGCTTTACGCACTAATTTCTTCTTAATGACTTTGAGTAGCTTGTGCTGTTGAAGTGTCTCACGGGATACGTTCAAAGGAAGATCATCTGAATCAACCACACCTCGAATAAAGCTCAAGTATTTGGGCATCATATCCTCAAAGTTATCAGTGATGAATACTCTCCGTACATACATCTGCAATAGTAACAGCAATGTGTAAAACACAAGAACCAATATTTACATATAGAAAAATTAAGTTTAAAATATTATACAAACCTTAATGTGGTCAACTTTCTTGCCATAGTTAGTAAAGGTATCATAAGGTGCAGTTGATGGAATAAACAAAATGGATTTAAAAGTAACTTCTCCTTCAGCTGTAAAATGAATTTTGGCCAAAGGTTCAGAGCTTTCTTTGGAGATTGATTTGTAGAAGGCATTGTACTCTTCATCAGTAACATCAGCAGCCCTGCAAAACAAAAATGTTAAGATATAAAATATCTAAACACTGTTAAATTATTATTTTTAAATGGTTTAACAGCTGAAAATTATTTGTATCGATAAAAGTTATCTGTGTAAATTTGCCTACTTGCGTGTCCAGATAGGCTTGACACTATTCATCAATTCCCAGTCCCAGACAGTTTTCTTGACTTTCTTAACTTTAGGTTTATCTTCATCTCCCTCTTCCTCTACTTTCCCTTCATCTTCATCATCGTCAGTTGTAGCTTCAGGCTTTGCTTCTTCTTCATCAACAGGTTCATCAACTTCTTGTTCCTAGTTTTCATTACAAAGAAATTGTAAAATGTGCAACATCCTATACAAAATTTTTGACAGTGAAATAACAAAACTATGCTAATGTATTTATATATCAAAATAATTTCTGTAGAAAAAACAAGAAACTAATTTTTGTAATGATTAAAAAATGCAATACACTTACTTGACTTGTCCATAAGTAGATATTAAAGTTAATAAACTGACTGTATTTCTTTACTAAATTCTTCAAAGTACTCTCTTCTAAATAGTCATGAGCTTCTTCTTTTAACTGCAAACTGAAGACAAAAAAGTATTAGGTTTGCATTTTTTACAAAAATATTTCAAGGATATATATATATATATATATATATATATATATATATATATATATACACACACACACACACAAACACATAAAAATTAATTTTCTGTTATCCAACCTGATAGTTGTGCCGCGTCCAAGAGTGTTGCCTCGTGGGTCTTTAACAACACTGAAACTTTCAGCATCTGATTCCCAAACATACTGTTCATCATCATTGTGCTTAGATGTAACAATTACCCTGTCAGCAACTGTCAATTAAAAAAAAAACCCACTAATTATAGACAAGTGTAATGCCAATCAAACAGCTTTGTAGAATTAAAACTGCACAATTGATATTCACAACCATATCAAATTCTAAAAATTAATATTAAAAATCTAATATTTTTCTTTGTTAAAAATAGAAAATGTAATGTAGTAAGTTTGCTCCCTCTGGAAAAAAGAAGCTTTATTACGCAAGTACAAAACAGGTACATTACCTAAAAATGCTGAGTAGAATCCAACACCAAATTGGCCAATGAGATCATTGGTTTCTGTTGCTGTGTTTGCATCATTAAGCTTTGCTAAAAAGTCACTAGTTCCTGATTTGGCTATGGTTCCTAGATTCTTAACAAGTTCATCTTTTGTCATACCAACACCAGTGTCTGTAATGTGCAAAACCTTATTGTCTTTGTCAGCCTAATAGAAAGTAAAAATAAATTTACATCATATGATGTTACATAATGAAACAAAAAAATATATTTTAAAAGTTTCCAAAGATTACAATGTGATTAAAAAATAAATGTAGTATAAAATTATTGAAGCATAAACAATGTTTACATCACTAAGTTTATAAGGAATTAACAAGGTTAGTTACCTAAAAGATAACTGTTTTTCTTAAAAATAAATGTGGGGTATCAAAAACTATCCAGGCAATCAATTCAATTTCAAAAGTTATGTCTTATAATATTTTTACACATGTGCTTTCCAACTATACTAACCATCAATATATTTGGTACAAACCCCCCCCCCCCCCCCCATAAAAAACCCCACCAGGATGCCAGAATACATGTATGCTACCTACTTCCTAACCTCTGATACACATTCTCAATGCTAAACAAAAATATTTAACACAGGTAGAACACAGGAGGTTTAACTGAGTAGTTAGAGATCAATATTAGTTAAGGAAAGAAATATTACCCATGCTGTATTACCAAAATAAATACAAGCCAGGAGATAAATAAAGTATGTCAAGATACAGGTGTGTGTGTGGCAGAGTTGTATTTTGAGTCAACTGAAGAAGTTATTAATAGTAATTTTCAACAGATTTTTTGTTTTGCGATAAACTATCAATAAAGTCTTCAGACACTGGGAAGTTACACGTTGGGCATAAAACGTAATTATTACCAGTGAAAAAATTGATATTACATTAACTAGGGTCTAGATCTTTCTTGTTATGTATTATTTTATTTTTTATTATAGTGTTCACCAACGTAAACTAGTAGAGGCACAAAGTCGATAAGTCATGCTGGAACTTCGCATGGCAACTACTGCCTCGCGTTTTCTTGAGCTAAAATTAACCTAGGAGGGGATGAGGAGGTATAAAAAAAATTGCCGTGTCGGCGGCGACCTAGGGCTAAAGTCAAGTACATCTAATTGACGCATCTTACTTTTACTGCGCTTATAGCATTCTGAACAGATAATAGAAAATACACACTTGGCATACTCATTTTAATAAATAAAATCATGCCCCACACTTTGACCGTGTGTAGATCGCATTTGGTACAAACAAGACACTTCTGTGAAGCTGTACACTAGAAACCGGCTTGTTATAACTGATTTCTAAAGGCAGGGAAGGGAGCTCTCGTGTCAACGATGATCTATTTAATAACACGATAATCTGCCTAATAACACGGGTACTTTTATGTGTAGGCCTACTTTAGAGTATTCAGGGGAAAAAAATGTGAAAATGTGTTGTGTAATCGATAGCCTTCATTAATTTGAGAGCAAAGTCTTCCAAGTAAGTTATAACAAGTAAAGCGAGCGCGGTGTAGTGGGGCAGAGTAGTTCTAGATCAGTTGAGGAACAACTATAATCGGGAAAATGGCAGAAACGTGTCAAATTCATCATAGAATTTGTAGTGTTGCGACTAAAATCCGGGCGTTTTATTTCCAATTTAACAAGTACAAAAAAAGGTGACTACACGGAAACGGGTTCTGATAACAGTGTATGTTTTTTTAAATTAAAATGGGTATAACATCACAAACAATGTCATACAATAACTTAGGAATAAATTTAGTTTAAAAAGTTACGTAAAGAGCCCACTCATGAATAAATGAACTACAAAAATTAGACCGAAATTCTACCTATTATCTATGTCACCCGAGTTAATCGAGGCAGCTTGTTAGGGGCCATCTATAAATTACGTCACGCAATTTACACCCCCCCCCCCCCCAAAAGCCAGACACTCCCTCTCTTCCCGCCAAATATGTCACTTCTAAGCCTACAACTAGGCTACAACACCCACCCTCTGAGATCGGTCAACAGGGTAAACTAATCAATTTCTATAACATCTTACAAAAACAGTTTTCTAAATCGCGAGCTTCCCATTCCCCTATGAGTATAAGTTATTTATGAACGACCTCTTTAAAAAAAAAAATAGGCAAACAACGTCTAATATCACAAACAAATTACGACTGACAAATAAATACTTCAACTGTAAAAACAGAAAGGACTGAAAAAGAAGTGTGTATATTCTAATGCGCTCTGACAATCAACAGTTCCCGACTAAAATCGTAACGGTTGCCAAAAATTTTAAAAAAAAAAAAAAAAAAAAAAAGCAGTTAGCCTAACTCTAGACGTACGCAGAAGAAAGTTAACACACCGCGGCGTTCATGTTTATAGGCATTAAATAAAAGCACATATCTAAAGAACGAGCTATCTGACGTGTATAACACACTAAGGTTTCTGTCTGGTAGGGTCGTGCTTAAGTGACGTCACATAAGTTATGACGGATTCCCCTCGGGCAACACCCGCCTCCCGCAATCAAATGACATTCGTTGAAAGAATACATTTTTTCCTTCTTTTTTTTTTGTTTCTACACAATAAGTGCTATACCAGAGTAAATCCTATTAGGCACAACGTAGCCAGAACCACGCTTTCCTTAGTTGCGTGACGTCATTTATGGACGACAAGAAATAATTTTTAATACAATGGGTTTATAAAGTAACCTTCATAGACACCAATAATCAGTTAATAAAGGGGCTATAAAAATGCATTAAGTTAGCTTGGCCTTTCGCTACTGTCAAGGACACAATGATTTTTCGTTTTCTGCGGATATCGTTTGGGTCAAGGCAAGTGTAGATCACGTCATTGCACGCAAATAGATACTTGTCTCGTGCCCCCCCCCCCCCCCCCCCAGCGGCGAACACAGATTTACAACACAGTGAAGTGCAATCAGGTTATAGTAAAAGAGCTTGGAAACCTATCGCAGTATGGCACACTACTACCTCCTGGTCTATTTCCAGCATTGCTGTTTTCTCCTAAGAATACAGAGTACATGATTAACATTAAGGGGAGGGAAATTGCTTAATTTGAGCTGGATGCAGGGTTTGCTAATTACTGCAAGAGCATAAACAAAGTGCGCCTGTTTTTAGTGTACGGTTCACAACAAAAGTAAAATAAGTTAGCTATGCGATATTCAATGTAAAATTTAAGAAAGCACTCTTCTTGACTACCAACCAGAGAAAAATAAAAATCAATGAAAAGAATTGAGCTAAGATAGCTTTGCTTAAGGATACAATATGCTGCCCACTTGACATTCTACAGCAGGGGTCTCCAAACTTTTCAGCCCAAGGGCCGCATTAACTATCAAATGTCAGTTCGGGGGCCAGAGTTTGTTCAAGGTATCTCTTCGGGGTGGTGATCCCACCCTGAACAACTTCTAACCCCGCCCCCCCCCCCCCCCCCAAACGAAATATAATTTATATAGAAATATAAACAAATTTCAAGTGTCTCCCTCCCCCGAAGAAAAAAGTCATAAAGAAACACTATCGGGAGACAATACACTCTATGGAGGTCATTTGCTTGCAATTCAATGACCTCCAGCTGCTGCTCATCTTTGTAACTGGCCACATTTGCATTATATGGGTTTTGAAATAGTCTCACTTCTGCATTTGAATCCAAGTCAGAAAACCGTTATTGAAACTGCACCTGGAGGTCTTTGATGATCTCGCATACAAATGACTTGGGGAACTCAGTGGTTGTTTAAGCCGTAAAGACCTTGCACTGCTGAGAGTGGGTCAAGTTGTTGGCCTGTACTCGTTCCAAAAACAAGACAAATCTGGATTTGAAGACCTTTAGGTGAACGTATAGATCAGATACTAGATTTCCCTCTCTTGTAGTTTTATGTTCAAAAAATGTTAATGACTAGTTATGTCTGCAGCAGAGACCAATTTATATACCTAATCTTCATCAGACATTAATGGCTGTGGCTTGCCTTTACTTTCCAGGAAGTCACCTATTTCTTTCCTTAACTTAAATACTCTGCTCAGAACTTTCTCGCAAATTAGCCATCTTACTGCTGTGGAATATGCTAAATCTTGCGATTCTGTGTTTGTATCTTTCAACGTGTCTCTGAACTATCTATGGTTGGACATTATCTCCGGTAACAGTGCCATATTTCTATGTAGGGAAACCAGCTATTGTGTTATGTTCATGTCTTCCTCCACACTTCTAATGAATACAAGAAGTTTAGAGGTGGAACAGCTGTCCAGCGACTCATCCATGGCAATTGAAAAATATCGAAATTCGCTTGCATTTCTCGCTATTTCAGTCCCGATGTTTTCACCAAGGCTGCAACACGTTGGGCAATTTTATTTGCACCCAAAGGTACATTTTCAAATTGTTTTGAAATTTCTATGCAACGTTCCTCAGCCACCTCTAACAAACATTTATTCAGTAGACAAAAAGATTGCCGCGGGCCGGATGAGAGGACCTCGCGGGCCGCATCCGGCCCGCGGGCCGTAGTTTGGAGACCCCTGTTCTACAGAATCAATTTATGAAGCAAGGCACCACAAACAATACTGTAACAAAGACAGACTACTGGTAGATCTATCACTATGCTAACATGTATAAATCTGAATGATTAAGAGGGATACCGATGCAATTTATCTAGCAGGAATAGTGTTTGCCAAGAAAATGTATTAGCATGGTAACCATTGATTACTATAAGGGAAAAAAAAACAAAGGAAAACACAAAGGTATTGTGCTGGCAGGTAAAAAAAAACGAATGTCATGAAGAGCATGTGCTTGAGCTCTACACTAAATGAAAAAAGTAAAGATAACAACATTACTACTTCAGCAGCAAACTAAATAGTTACACAGCTTACAAAAATACAGATTATGGTAACGTAATAGGTTATTTGAATACAGAACAGACTATAAAATGCATCTCAAGTTTTGAAAATGAGAAGTATGTTAAACTAGTAGCGTAGCGTAAAGTAATGCATGCACTTAAAAAAAGTACAAATGCTTATTATTTTTGTAGCATTTTGTCATTAGTTATACATTGTGTTAGCTTGAATGTATGTGTATATATATAACATGTACCATGCACATAAGAAGACACGTGTATAACAAGCATAACTATTGCTTAAATATGTTAACAAGGTAATGGGGGAAAAAGAGAATAGTTTCCCCATTTTTAAATTTTGAGACATTACTTAAATAGGAATGGCTGATTAACAAGTATCACAAATGTTATTCCTCCCCATATTAAGGAACAAAATAACTTCACACACACACACTTTATGGGTTAACTTCAATAATACAGTGGTACTTCTTATAGCTAGCAGAGTAATACTGTATTACACTTGCACTGAGATGGGTTTTTTTAATTTCTGCTAATATTGACAATATTAGGGATATGACAAGGAACAAAGAAGTGCCCACAGAGCAAAATCTTAAGACAGTAATAGTGATATGAATGGCTTTCCATGTATTGTATCAGCCAGATTGCTGCTTACTATTTTGGTCCATTCCAGCACTTCAATGGCATTGAAAGTTTGTCACATTTTTTTGCTTTTTAATGATTTTTTTACTGTAAATTTTCAGATGTCCAACAGTCCAATAATCAAAGGTATACTCAAAATATACTGAGAAATTGGAATATTGAAATCATAATTCACATCAAATAAATTGTGTGTATTTAGATTAGCCTGACGCAGAAAAACAAAATTTTGTATAACTGTGTAGTCACATTTTTGGGGCATAAAATGTGCAAATCAGAATGCTCACTTACACATGTGTATATATATTGAGACTCTAATTGATTTATAAAAATCTATAAAAAATCATAAAAAATCTATAAAAATCATAAGCAAATATTTTTGTGCAGTTTATTTGTTCAAAATTTATGTGCTGCAAGTTTAAAACTGAAAAGTAGGTTACATCTTCTTGGTAGCCGGTTCTCCAAGAAAACATCTTAAGAAGATTAATTTATAAACATTTTAATTTCTATAGTAAAATAAAAAACTGAATTCTAAAAAAAAACAGTTACCTTTATTTTAATAGCTAATTCATCTGTTGCAGCTAAAGCATTTGGATCAGTCAGTGATAGGAAGCGTATCTTATCCAAAGCATCTGATGCATTAGAAATCAACTCTCTTAAGAAGATCTGTTTGATGTGAAGAAAGCATAAATCTTAAAATAGCAAATAGGCTTTTTAAAGGATTTAAAAAGTTTAAAATTACTTGAAAGTTTTATGAAAAAGAGGCAAATATTTCAACTAACCTCTTTGTTCTTGTAAAGTGAATTAATAATCAACTTCATCATGCGATTCACTTCAGCTTGAAACTGGAATTTCTCAGATTTTTCTCTTAACTCTTTCATTTGGGCAACATTCAAACCATCAAGGCTAATAGCTTCTTCCTCCCTGTTATAAATGTGATAAATTGATTTAGCTACAAATGTTATAGCTGAACAATTAAAATTATTATTAAAAATAAATCATCAGCAAAAATAGATGAATTACGAATTGTTTTAACATACGTAGCTGTCTTTTTACATAAATTAAACAAAGAAATGTATTTTAAAATGAAAATAATATTTACCTTTGAACAGCTTCATCATCTGTTCTTGATCCATCTCTGCTCTTGCCAATATCATCTTCCAGCTTAACATCATCATCATCGTCATCATCTGCTGCTCTTGCAGCTATTAAATAAAGAAAGTAGATAGTAGATTTCAACCTTAACCATTTTTTAACACCGCAATTTAACTTTAACAATAATGTTCTTAGTGATACTGTTGTTATGGTTTGATGAAGCAATCAGCAAGTAATATTGATATAGAGAGCCCATGAAGTTAAGTACACTATATGAATGTGCCAGTTGAATTCAGGTTGATTCTAATTAATAGGTAAGAAAAACAACTAAATTCTGAACAAAATATGAGTTTAAACACAAGGCAAATATGCGTACAAGAAAAATATCACAACTGGAAATCATACCTGTCACCAAAACTAGACCCCCCCCCCCCCCAGGAAATTTTTTTTAAAGAATGTGTTCATTTCCACCTACAATAGAGGAAATAAGCTGTTTCCGCTCAATCGTGATCTTATAATTTACTTCCATTTTTGTTTATTGTGTAAATGGTATTAATAATACAACTGTTTAACCTTTTATATCTTACTTAGGGTTAGGGTTTAGTCTAGCATATGGAAAATAACCTTTACCTACCTAAGTATTTTCTGTGAAGACCAGAAGTCAAACTGATTTGCAGTAAGTGTTCATTATGTTTTTGTGTGAAATCATATTTTAATGGTTTTGCTCTTTATACACAGTTCATTTAGTGCACCAGTTTAATATAAATGTTTTGAATTTGATTAAAAAAATCATTTTATTTGCCTATTAAGAAGGGTTTGATGAATGTGCCTGTGAAGCTGATGGGGTTTAGCACTTGCAAAAGGGTTAAGAACCACTGTTTTTCACTGTATTTCATATTTTTCAAAAATTCCTTGTTTGGTAGTCTTTTGCCATTAAAAGTGCAATAAACAGCTAGTCTATAACAGTTAATTTTAGCCTTGAGAAATCCAATAGTGTTTAGGTTGGTTTAAGAATGAACAAAATGTTTTTGATAGCACTGCTCTTAATGACAGAAGTAAAATAGCATCTATGTTCAAGCTCAGGGTAATGATACTACTAAATAAAAGGGACCTGTTAAAATTCTGGCAAGACACAGTGCTTATTGAATTCTGTTATGATTTTGTCGTTAAATTCCTAGCATAAACAAACGATAAACCATAAAGTGATGTCAAGACAATATACAATATGACGATAATATTCTGTATTAAAGCATATTTGGACACAGTTATGCTTAATGTAAGCTATTGCCCTGCTCTAAAAACCAAGAATTCTTTAAAAATAATAAGGGACGGTGAATAGCCCAGTAACAAATAAGGATGTACTTGTTGACCAATAATATAAATATATATCATAAGTGTTGAAATGTTGAGCAGCTATGCTGTTAAAATACATGTTTTGGTTTAATAACTAATTAGCTGGCTAATAAAACTAAAGGGCCAATGATTATGTTACAGAAAAGATATCTGAATTGTAGGATACTGAAAACAAAAGTGTATATCTGTTGTTAAGATGAGAAAGAGCATGCCATTTCTAGTCAGCTAGTTTAGTAGTCTAGAGTAGCTACTAAATAGAATCTAATAGTCAGGTGATTATTTATGGAATGTAGCTTCTAATCTAAGTCTCTGGAAATCTCCCAGTTTAGCAGTAGAAATTATATGGCAATCTTTGTTGAGTTTTGTAAGCATTTGTTACTGTAAACCATTGTTTATCTGTGACATTTGAATGAAATATGAATAAAGTCAAGTGTACTTAGCCCTAAATGAAAATTAATGTTTTAACTTAAGTTTGAAGTTTAATAGACATAGGAAACAAAAAAAAAAAAAAAACAGAAAATTAGCAGCAAATAGTAGGCCTAATCTAGATCTAATTATAAAGTTATGTAGTAATTAGTTTAGTGTTTTTTAAATAGAAACACGGATATAAAAACTTGCAGGAGTTTTGAGGCAATATTACTAGACAGAGTAAAAATGAATGCTATTAAGTCAAAGTGATTAGAATCTAGAACAATAAACAATATGCATTTAAAATCAATCTATCCAAACATGCTGTATAAAAAAAAAGATGGACCCAAATAATGCATGATACTGCAGATAAATTCCGGAAATGCTGACAGTCTACGCCATTTCTTTACTACTGTTTATTTTGCTGCTATGCTATTCTGGAATAATAACTTATTATTCCAGAATAGCATAGCAGCAAAATAAACAGTAGTAGACTGTCAGCATTTCCGGAATTTATCTGCAGTATCATGCATTATTTGGGTCCATCTTTTTTTTTATACAGAATGTTTGGATAGATTGATTTTAAATGCATATTGTTTATTGTATTAATAACAGATGCTATAGGCTTACTAGGAGATTACCCATAGATCTATTTAATAAATGATGGAGATCTACAATAATCTCTCTGAATTATTCTAGAATCTAAACTAATCAAGAGTACTTTAGATCTAAAAGAATGACTCATTTAAGAATTTAAGTCATTAAGTGAGGCGAATAATTAAATACCAGACCTACATCTATTCTTTTAGACTCTCCAAAAAATAGGTGTGTTGGATTGTTGTAAGTAGATCTAGATAGTAGTATTGTAATCTCGACTAATTTTATAGTTAGAAATTAGGGTTGGCGAATGGTAGGACTAGGGTTGGGGTTAGCATTGACATTAGCAAGCCATGTGTGTATTTTAGTTAACTACCCAGTAACCTAACACCCTTTTTTAAGATTATATTATTGGACACTGAGCCTCACTGAGGTATACAAATCCCCCCCCCCCCCCCTAGATTTTAAATGTCCATCTAAAAATAGCTTTATGAAGTATGAAGCCTAAATGCCAAAATGGCTAAATCCTAAACATAATCTACAGTAGTATTCTATTCTGGAGTAATCTAGATTCTAGATCTAGATAGTCCATTTCTAGACCTTAGCCTAGCTTTCCCATACATTCCATTTTGTATTATTATTAGTTATTATTAATTTAATGCCTAGGCACAACCCTCTCACTTGAGTCCTTGACTTTCCTTTCACTTAATTTTAAATTTTAACCTGTCTTTCTCTTCTTAACGGGTGACGTACAAGATCTAGATCTAGATCTAGATTACGAACATAATCAATACACTAAGAGCTAAGACTAACCAGACGAGTCTACTAGATCTAGATTCTAGATCTAGATTCTAGTCTACACACTCTTCGGCGGTCAGAGATTACACTACACACTGCGACGTAGAAATCTAGTCTAGATCTCGGTACCACTGTCAAGTGTGAAACCGTGAAACTAGACAGTTGTTGTTATTGTACACGCACAGTAGAGTCTTTAACTAATTATATTTTAAAATAGAAATAAAATCATACCAGCGAAAAGAAGACAGCATACTAATCCAATAAAAATGAAATGTTTCATTTTTGCCATCTTACTCCAGCGCCTGAGTTGACAGACGAGGAAAAATGTGAAAACAAACACAAGCTTGGAACCGGTGTTGGTCTATTTAGCACGTTGAGCAAAGTAGGGGTTTCCCTTCCGCTAGTAAAATTAACCAATCATACTTCACCACGAACTGTACTCTCACCAATGAACTATCCCCAAGTACGGAAAAAGTCATCTCTACTTGGCCCGCGTTGATTGGTCAAATTATCCCTCTAAAGTTCAAAGGCTACGGCTGGGTGTTGCGGAGACAGGTCAACTTTGTATTTATGAAATAGATCTAGATCAATAAAACACAAAACACGTTTTCTCGCATTTGTTTTTTTTTTATTTTAAAAATTGTGTATGCCATTTTAACTAGATCTAGATCTAGTTAAAATGGCATACATCTATATTCGTTTATAAAATATAATAAATAGATAAAATAGGTTCCATGTTTTAGTGTTAGCAAGAATGCAGTAGGGCTTAGATTTAAAAAGGTTTAGCCAAGGTAGGCATATAGATCTATATAGAATATAGATATTAGATTTTTAAAAATAGATCTAGCTAGATCTTTGTCTAAAATATTTAGATCAAACTTAAATTATAGGCCAACTATAATAGGTAATTTAATAGGACCTCGAGTTTACCGAAGATAACAGTTCGCGTTTTAAGGACAATGTTCTTCATTTAGTAAGATTCTTCTTCATTCCTCAACCACAAAGGAGATCTACGCGTCAAAATTCTCTGCGCCATATGGCCCTTTGACTCACGCTCCAACTTGCTTTTCTTTCTGGGTTTGCTTCCATAGCCTTTGTCCATCCAAGACCTAACTGCAAGGCAACAGTGTTTTGATGTGTTTTCTCTACTAGTTAGGTTACTGTCCTGACCCTAGTGTTAGCAATCATGCGCTCTTTTCCTGATCACATTGTCCCCCCCCCCCCCCCACGGAAACCGTTTTCAACTAAATTTGTACTCAATCTGCATACAACTTGGATACGGATCAATTAAAAAATCCAAGCCTGCAAAAATCATCGATAAGACCAACTATGTATTAACAGTATTAACATTCATAAACGTAAGAGCAGCGGCGCATGCAAATAAGTGTATCCTACCATGTATGCCCAACAAGAGCAGCATGCGAATAAGTATAGAGTAGGCCAATATTTTAGTTAAGGACCTTGCAAGCAATATGTTTATACACACAATGACTTTTAAAAATAAAAATCCACACCAGCCCTTAAAGCACACGGCACTACATTTCGTTACGAGCATTTGTATAACTTCGAAGGATCATTCCGCGAAGATTTGCCTGGAATCGTTATGGGCCCGGGGTAGCTGAGTAACTGAGTATTAAGTCTTATAAGACAGTAAGTTTGATATTTTGGGTAAGATGCGATAAGCGATCTCCCAATCTTTGTATAAAGGAACGGATTACCAATCCTGCAAAGCTTCTAAAAGGTGATAGGTGAACGGCATTCAACCAAACAGCAGACTGAGCAAATTGAGCAATATGTGATGATTAAATCACCACAATACTTTAGGCCCTTCTATATACTATAGTTAGTGTTGCGCTGGTACATCTCAAATAAGTCGATTCTCGTGAATCCAATGTAAACACTAGCAGAGTTTAAACAAAAATTGGATAAGTTAATCTGATTAAACGTTTAATGAAGGCACACGACTTGAATTAATCTGCAATTAAATTATTGCTGACTTTCCAATATTAATTTAATGAACTACATTTAAACCAGCTGGTGAATCCCTTCTGTGTTCATGTGGTTAAAAGTAAAGTTCCCTCTCCAAATCTGACGGTCTATGGGGGCAAGTGAAGTAGAGTCCACCTGTTTCTGTGACCTCGGCATATGAACGGATAGTATGGTTAGCACTATGTCGGCTCGTGTGGTTAGCGGGACATAAAACCAGAGGCTTCACCACGCAAGATTTTGGGAAGATAGAGTGCTTATGCCAGTAAAATCATCATATCCATCAAACTATTGTAGGCAGAGCCGGCGCTAGGGGTGCGCGGGGCCTATGGCCAACCATCCGCGCGGGGCCTTATATTTTTTCCATTGGTGTCTAAAACATGTACAGTGAGGCGTTTTTTTTTCTTCTCAACGCGAATTAATATTTATAACGATATATATGGTATTTTTAAGCTGTTTCTCAATGTCGTATTAGCATTAAGACACTGATTAACAAATAATGTGTTTACTTAGAAGTGCTTTTGAAACGTTGCTTGTTTCTGTTAAGGCTTTTTGTTTGAAAAGTAAAAAATAAAACAGACATAAGTTTGAGACACGCATTAAAGGGACGATGAACGTCAGCTTCAAACCTGATTTTTTTAACATTAATGTTTATTTATGAAAATCTTACCAGTACGTTCACAAACGAAGATCTACTTTTCTTGCCTTTCGTGAGGAAAATTCCATGATTATATCATCATAGTCCAAACTGGAGGCTATGTCTTTTTCTATTGACAGAATCGACAGGCCGCAGAGCCTGTCTTGGGACATCGTTGATCTCAAATAGTTCTTGATCAACTTCAGTTTGGAGAAACTTCTTTCGGCGCTTGCAACTGTGACTGGAACTGTTAGCAAGATTCTGTAGGCGATCGCCGTATTGGGAAAGGAATCCCGAATACTCCAAATGTACTGAAGGCACTGTTTGGCTGACTTAATACCTTCGGGCAAAATTTCTCGAAACATTGTGAGCTCTGTACACAAATCTGCCCCGTTTAAGTCACGTGAGCTCACCGATCGCAACTCTATATCAAGATTCATGCAACTTTTTAACAAATCCTCATTATTTAATTTTCTCATTGTGTTTATGTTGTAGAGAAACCCAAAGAGTGAATCGTATTGTCGTAGCTGTTCAAATCGAGTGTTCATGCCAATAATTGCTTGATCCATTATACACAAGAAATACTCTGTCCTAAACTCATCTTCACCCGATAACGTGCTCTCATCTGTACTCTCATATTCAAATTGTCTTTTTCTTTTTCTGCTTCTTTTCTGTTTGAATACTTGATCCACATCCATTGCTTTGGCAATTTCTTTTGCAGTAATCATGGCAGAATTAAAACCATTTTCCCGATAATTTGTCAAGTAGGTGACGAGTCCTTTAATTTGCTGTATTGCTACATCAAGCTGCATATCGGCTGATTGTAGCGATTTACTCACAGTATTAACTGCGAATAGGATGTCATACCAAATGATCACAGCAAGGATGAATTCAAAATTTCCTACCTCAAAATTAGCAAGTGATTCTGCTTCGGCTTTTACCATAGGGTCATTGGACTCATCTGATACAGTGAAAAGGGCTTCCTTTATTTCGCTTATTTGGTAGCGCAAAGCTTTTACACTCTCTATACGGCATTCCCATCTTGTGTCTGACAGTGATTTTACTGTGATGTAAGGCACAGCTTCTTCCAAAATCTTCCATCTTGCAGGTGAACCGGCAAATATCACATAGATTCTTTGCAGAACACCAAAAAATGTCACTGCTTTAGAGCTGATCTTCGCCATATCTCCCAACACAAGATTAAGTCTATGGCAGCCGCAGGGTGTGAAAAATGCGCGACTATTCTTGCGAAGAATATGGGCTTGCACTCCTTGTTGTTTTCCTTTCATATTAGCCCCATTATCGTATCCCTGTCCTCGACAGTCATCAATATCCAAGCCTAATTTCTCGAGTGCACCTAGCAGTAACTCTGACAATCCTTTGCCTGTTGTGTTTTCAGCAATAAAAAATTCCATGAAATGTTCCACAACTTTTAAGTCACAATCTGAAGCATCCACAAACCGCACAATCAGCGATAGCTGTTCTTTGTGACTCACGTCAGGAGTGCAATCAAGTATCTATCTATAATAATAGTTTCGCTGTCTCTCTATCTATCTATCTGTCTGACAAGAACGCTCTAGAGAAAACACAAGGAATTTAAAAACCTGCACAGTAATTCGAAAAACGAAATATGACGTCGACACATTTAGCGTAGAGTAGAACATAATCTCAAACCAGAGAGTGCACACAGTAATGTAATGACGTCATTGAAACATTGAAAAAAAGGAAATGTTGTCTAATCTAAATGGTTTGCGTGAAGAGTTTCTTGCATACAATTCT